ATATGCAGAAGTATGGACTATTACTAGTCTACAGGTATACATTACGTAAATGCTAGTTGTTGTAGGCAAGACAGTTTATTGCAGTAAATATAACTAACAAATTAAATCTTACAACTAGAACTAGGCTTTGGTATACAAATGAAGTATACTAAACCTTGTAAACGAGCCTGCAACTGATACCTTTATTCTTGTTATTTTTTTTACCACTAGAAATTAACATGTAATTACAATAGTAATTTTAAAAAAAACATCAATCCCTCCAACTACAGGCGACTCAGGGGAGATAATACTATTAATTACTTCAATAACTTTTAAAATTCGTATTAAATTAAAAATAATACATGCACTTAATTAAAGTGGTACTTATAAGTACCGTCAGTAGATAAAGGGTTAAAGTAGCCAAAAGAGCAAAGAATTAACACTGAGTAAGTGAAGCTCCTCGGCTTATCTCCTCCTTCGTATACATAGCCAATGAAGTGAAGCTCCCAATCTGCCTGCACCTCCACTAGCATCTTCTGAAAGCTCAATTAGGGCGCTCCAGGTCACCCGACCACCTAGGTGCCATAGGCCATCCCTGTTGCAGTTTGACCATTGAATCAAGTAGGTCTATGACCATCTGTGCGGTACGCACAATAAACAGTCTCCAAGTGCCAAGAGAGCTGCTGGGAAACTTATGGTGCAAAACCGCTTTCTTCTGCCATGGTGCAGCCACTTCAAAATTAAATTGTTTTTATTTACAGCTCCTTCCCAGGAGTATTCTCAACAGCCCCCCCCCCTCCCCGCAAGGTGTTTCACTGCCATTGTATGAATGGTGTAGTAATGCCTAAAAGTAAAAAAAAAAACAAAAAAAAACACATACACACACACACAGAGACACACAAAGAGACACACACACACACACATATATATACACACACACACACACATATATATATATATATATATATATATATATATATATATATATATATATATATATATATATATATATATATATATATATATATATATATATATATATATGTTACGGTCAAAGCCCGAAGTCGGCCAATGCTAGGATTGGCCGGCCAATCCGCGCATTGGCCAATATCGCCTCCCATAGGTCGGTCAAAGTCCGAAACTTTGCTTGATTTCGGCCTTTGGCCGGCCAATCCGCAGACTGGCCAAGGTGGACTGGCCAAAGTCTTAATTAGAAGATCATCTGGCTAGGGACGACCGGCCAAAGGTTCGAATTAGAAGATCATGAGCAGATTTTTTTTTATGCCATAAGGATCATGAAATTAAGTCTTTATTGATTATTAATTAAAGTAAATGACAGAAACATTCAAATTTTTTATTGTACTATAGTCTCAATCTATCAATATCATCATTTGTTATAACAATTTGAACTTTTATGGCATTTAGAATTACATAGCAGCTTGTTAATTTTACACTTGCAGCGATTTGTTGTGCACTTAGTTGTGCAATTGCAGCGAGTGTTGCCTTGGCCCCCCAGTCAATGATTGTGAAGATGCGATGGTTCATAGTGATTTTTCCTCAGTGCCAACTGACGACAATAAGAGCAGTTTTTCGTGAAGAATTGAAAACTCACGTTTAGCATACAGTTGTTTTAGAACACCATGTGCCGTTCCTAATTTGTAGAAACCGCCCTCGACGCTCATGACAACTGCAATCACGCTTCGGGGATCACCGTGACCTCTGTCAACATCTGGAAAACGGATGCGTACATTGTCACCCACTTCACCATCTTTAAATTTTGTATTTGATGTTTTAAGCATCTTAGCACCTTGAGTTTGCAAGCCAGTATGAACTGCTGACCTGTGTTCCATGATGTCTTGTTTGTTGTGACACAATCTGCAGGTAATGTTCCCTCCGTACCCTTCGTCTGCTTCATTGGTATTCCACAAATAGCATGGACATCGTTGCCACAGGATCCAAAAGAATGAGCTGCACTACAATGTTTTTCACAAACTATACAGAATCTGTTGGCCACATAATTGTCACGCAACTGGTCTGGACGTTCCGCCACGGCAGTAGATGTGTTAGCTGAGGATGTCATTGCATTTATGGCAACCTCCATTTCTTGTTCAATGTTCTCAAGATCTTCCTTAGTAACTATTTTATCGAGAGCCCATATTTGGATACTAACATGGATTTACATTTTTTTTTTGACAGCCATCTGCTAAATCTGTCTCATGGTCTGACGGCCCTATTGATCCATGTCGCCTTGCATATATAATGCTATACAAACAAGAGCTAAACAATACGTTACTTTCAATGAAAACGCACCCAGAATAATGAAAATGCGATAACAACTTAGTCTAGATAGAACATTGGCCAGGACATACCGGTCAGTGCGCGCATTGGCCGGCCAATGTACAAAATACGCTGTCAAGTTTAAGCGCTTCGGACTTTGGCCAGTACGTACCGGCTAGTGCGCGCATTGGCCGGCCAATGTACAAAATACGCTGTCAAGTTTAAGCGCTTCGGACTTTGGCCAGTACGTACCGGCCAGTGCGTGCATTGGCCGGCCAATGTACGAAATACGATCTTAGTGCTAAGTTCTTCGGGCTTTGGCCAAGATGGCTGTCAAAAAAAAAAAATGTAAATCCATGTTAGTATCCAAATATGGTCTCTCGATGAAATAGTTACTGAGGATGATCTTGAGAACAAGAAATGGAGGTTGCCATAAATGCAACGACATCCTTAGCTAACACATCTACTGCCGTGGCGGAACGCCCAGACCAGTTGAGTGACAATAATGTGGCCAACAGATATTCTGTATAGTTTGTGGCAACGATGTCCATGCTATTTGTGGAGTACCCAATGAAGCAGACGAAGGGTACGGAGGGAATATTACCTGCAGATTATGTCACAACAAACAAGACATCATGGAACACAGGTCAGCAGCTCGTACTAGCTTGCAAGCTCAAGGTGCTAAGATGCTTAAAACATCAAATACAAAATTTAAAGATGCTGAAGTGGGTGACAATGTACGCATCCGTGTTCCAGATTTTGACAGAGGTCGCGGTGATCCCCGAAGCGTGATTGCAGTTGCCATGAGCGTGGAGGGCGGTTTCTACAAATTAGGAATGGAACATGGTGTTCTAAAACAACCGTATGCTAGAAGTGAGTTTTCAATTCTTCACGAAAAACTGCTCTTATTGTCGTCAGTTGGCACTGAGGAAAAATCACTACGAACCATCGCATCTTCACAATCATTGACTGGGGGCCAAGGTTACACTCGCTGCAATTGCACAACTAAGTGCACAATAAATCGCTGCAAGTGTAAAAATACCAAGCTACTATGTAATTCAAATTGCCATAAGTTAAACTTGTTGTAACAAATGATAATATTGATTGATTGAGACTATAGTACAATAAAAAATGTGAATGTTTCTGTCATTTACTTTACTTAATAATCAATAAAAACTTAATTTCATGATCCTTACGGCATAAAAAAAACAACACATATCTGCTCATGATCTTCTAATTAAGACTTTGGCCGGTCCACCATGGCCAGTCCGCGGATTGGCCAGCCAAAGCCCGAAATCAAGCGACGCTTCGGACTTTGACCGGTTAATGGGAGGCGATTTTGGCCAATGCGCGGATTGGCCGGCCAATCCGCGCATTGGCCGACTTCGGGCTTTGACCGTAACATATACATAATATATGGATTGAGATAGGATGAGATTGGATGGATGGATGGATTGGGTGGATGGATGAGTAGGATTAAATGAATGTATTGATGAATGGAGTTAATTGGCTTAACACCATTAAGTATCAAGCATTTCTCTTACCCTTATTACAAACTTCTAGAGTTTTGGGTGCATTACACCACTTTACACATTACACATGAAGGGCAGTTTGGATTAGCAAATCAAAATAATTCTAATTGTTTTATCATTTGTAAATTAAATTTAGTTGCTTAAATTAATTTTACAATATATGCATATTAATAATTAATTTTAAGAAAGCCTTTTAAAAACAGGCAGGACTATGTTATTAACCCTTTGAGTCCGGGCCTCCATGGCCTAATTTCTCCCATTTACTGAGCTCCCAGGCCCAAACCAATTTTCACTTATCTGCTTCTAGCGTTGCCTATAACTTTTGAACCATTTGAGATAATCAAGCCAAATTTGATATCAAGGCTCAGTATCAAACAACAATTCAGCAAGATTCGGAAATTCTTTGTTTGTTTTACAAATCCAAGATGGGGGATGGCCACCATCTTGGATTTCTTCAAAAGCCTATAACTTTTTAATCGTTTGAGATAATCAAGCCAAATTTGGTATCCAGGCTCAGGATCAAACAACAATTCAGAAAGATTCTGAAATTCTTTATTTTTTTTACAATGTATGAACATAACAATGTATATAAAACAAACACAGCCAATGGCTGTGGCTAAGTTTTTTGTTTCGGCCACATTGCTTCAAAAAAAAAACAACTGATATTACAACAAAAGTTTGTACTAATAAAATATTTATATACCGTTAATTGTTTTATATACTTACTCAACATTATGACAAAACTAGAGTAACTTACCTACTTACTGTTGTTATAATAATAATTTAAAACTGTATAATAAAATAATATAAAATAACCGATTTTTTTGGTTGACAATGTATTTTAAGAAATGCAAACACTTACACTTTCCCCAAAATCTATTTTTAGAATCATAATCCCCTACTAAAAAGACATATGCGTAGTTTTATACAGTCCCCCTCTAATTATATTTAATAAGATGGTATACCAGCCCATAGGACTATGACGCTAGATGATCAGGCTGGAAAATCGACTTTTTGGACGTATATTCCTAATTTTGAAGCTGGTTTTTCAGCTTGTCTAACTCAAAGGGTTAATTGCTAATTTTTTTTTTATTTTTTTATTTTTTCTGTTAGTTAAAGTGTATGTTTGACTTATTAATATTCTTTTATACATCTTTGAAAGAATTATTTATTTCTATGAAAGTTTATTAAAACCATATTATTTACTAACAGGCTAATGATGAATGCATTATTCAACACTGCAAGACACACCAAAACTTGTGTGTTGAAGAAAAATGTGTCATTCCGTAAGTATCAAGTATCTCATGCGTTGTTGGTTGTCTGATGTCCTGAAATCCTAAGGGTTTTCTAGTTATATGTTTATCTTGGACATGGTTACTATTTATGTGTGATAGTTCTATGCTTGTCTGGGACATGGTTACTATTTATGTGTGATAGTTATATGCTTGTCTGGGACATGGTTACTATTTATGTGTGATAGTTATATGCTTGTCTGGACCATGGTTACTATTTATGTGTGATAGTTCTATGCTTGTCTGGGACATGGTTACTATTTATGTGTGATAGTTATATGCTTGTCTGAGACATGGTTACTATTTATGTGTGATAGTTCTATGCTTGTCTGGACCACTGTTACTATTTATGTGTGATAGTTCTATGCTTGTCTGGACCACTGTTACTATTTATGTGTGATAGTTATATGCTTGTCTGGGACATGGTTACTATTTATGTGTGATAGTTCTATGCTTGTCTGGGACATGGTTACTATTTATGTGTGATAGTTATATGCTTGTCTGAGACATGGTTACTATTTATGTGTGATAGTTCTATGCTTGTCTGGACCACTGTTACTATTTATGTGTGATAGTTCTATGCTTGTCTGGACCACTGTTACTATTTATGTGTGATAGTTATATGCTTGTCTGAGACATGGTTACTATTTATGTGTGATAGTTATATGCTTGTCTGGGACATGGTTACTATTTATGTGTGATAGTTCTATGCTTGTCTGAGACATGGTTACTATTTATATGTGATAGTTATATACTTGTCTGAGACATGGTTACTATTTATGTGTGATAGTTCTATGCTTGTCTGGACCACTGTTACTATTTATGTGTGATAGTTCTATGCTTGTCTGAGACATGGTTACTATTTATGTGTGATAGTTATATGCTTGTCTGAGACATGGTTACTATTTATGTGTGATAGTTCTATGCTTGTCTGGACCACTGTTACTATTTATGTGTGATAGTTCTATGCTTGTCTGAGACATGGTTACTATTTATGTGTGATAGTTATATGCTTGTCTGGGACATGGTTACTATTTATGTGTGATAGTTCTATGCTTGTCTGAGACATGGTTACTATTTATGTGTGATAGTTCTATGCTTGTCTGGGACATGGTTACTATTTATGTGTGATAGTTCTATGCTTGTCTGGGACATGGTTACTATTTATGTGTGATAGTTCTATGCTTGTCTGGGACATGGTTACTATTTATATGTGATAGTTATATGCTTGTCTGAGACTTGGTTACTATTTATGTGTGATAGTTCTATGCTTGTCTGAGACATGGTTACTATTTATGTGAGACAGTTATATGCTTGTCTCTGACATGGCTACTATTTAAGTACGATGTGCAAGGATAAGCCTATTTTACCGATAAATAAATCTCAATAAAATAAGCAATGGTGTATTTAGAACAGATATTTAGATTATTAAGAATAAATAATGATTGATAAGGGTCTCTACTGATTATATATAAAATATATATTTCTAGTTGATACTCAAGCAGGTGTCTTCTTTGTAGCTCTTAATATTATTGGACGAATCAGACAAAATGGCAAACTTCCTGGACGAACTGTGTGAAAAAATGCTAATTTAAGTCTCTGATGCTAAATAATGTACAAATAACTTTTCTAAATACACTCTTTATGTTATTGATGACTATGCATGGACGAAGAGAAAATACAAATTATTAACAGCTGTCGCCTTTGTAATTTTTCATCAAGTGGTGTATACACAAAGAAGAAAATGCCTGAGACCTAATTTCTTAAAGATTTATTGTTCCGTTAAAGAGAAAGGAAGCATTTAATACATGAATACAGTACAATTAATTTTTTTTTAGAACATACTTTGGTAGAGATTATGAAATCTCAGCACAGACCTGCCTTGATAGCCATAAAGCAGAAATGGCTATCAACAGATGGATGTTGGTGATGGGAGTTGCTGGTGATCAAACATACTCAATTGCTCTGAATAACACAGGAAGCCAGGAACCAATTGAACTTAAACCATCCATTAAATAACACAAATATATTAAATAAACTATCTATTCTATGGGTTGTCATACCTTTAACATAGAAATGTTTTATGAAGATAATCACTTGTAATAATGCTTAAAATATGTGTAAAAAAATAATATATATATATATATATATATATATTTAATATAATTTAATTAGTTAAAATTTAATTGTGTAAATGTTTTAAAATGTTTTACATATCACAAAAATATCTTTATTTCCCCTAATAATTTGTGAATTTTAAAAATATTATCTCCTAGATTGAAACTTTAAAATGTTCTGTATAGCCTACGGGAGTCTGTGGGAGTTTTCTTTAAAAAGAATATGTGTGTAAGCGTAAGCTTAAGCTTGATATTTTATCAAACATTTATTAGTCATACAAGTCCTCATCTATTTTTTTTTTAAATTTATTTTTTAATCATATACATGTGTTGTATAGTTTTGAGGTCATTAAAATAAAGATATGACATTTTGGTCAGTGGTTTTTTTTTTTTCATAAAATGGGTGTGAAAATGTGATTTTCAGTGACACTTACTCCACTTCTGGTTTCTCAGAAGCCAATAACTTGAATACCGTTTTAGTTTGACGGACGAAATTTCATATACTTCCTAAGTATTACATTGTATGCACATTCCGAATCTGGAAGTGGTACTTACTCTATTTTATATATATATATATATATATATCCCATGTATATGTATATATATATATATATATCCCATGTATATGTATATATATATATATATATATATATATATATATATATATATATATATATATATATATATATATATGTATATATACATGGGACGGAGTGGTCTAGCGGTAGAGAGCTGGACTGCTAACCCGTAAGTCTCGAGTTCGAATCCGGGTTCAAGTCACTAGACCGTCCCTCAGTCCACCCAACTCTGATGGGTACCAAACTCACGTTAGGGAAAGTATAGGCGGCTGGGCATAGTGCTGACCACACTATCTCTTCATATGCTGAGGCCACATAAACAAGTGAACTCTACTTCACTTGCCCCATAGACCGTCAGGTTTGAAAAGGAAACTTTACTTACTTATATATATATATATATATATATATATATATATATATATATATATATATATATATATATAAAGAGAGAGACAGATATATATTATATATATATATATATATATATATATATAGTATGAATAGATATGATAAATAGATAGATATGTTATATATATAGTATATACTAGAATACCCGTCATCCCTTTATAACTGTGGCTTTATGGGGTCATCCATAAAAAATATCACGTCTGTCACTTATTGTCACAAAAAACCAGACCCCACAATAAAAAATTAACGTCTTTAAATTAATTTGTTATTAACAGTTTGGTCAAAAAGAACATTGTTCTCTACCTGATTACGTATTGTACAGCTCTACACATAGTGCAGATTCTCTTCGGCAACCAAACAGAAAAACAAATAAATATTTGTAAAGAAACTTGAGTTTTAGTAGTATATAGATAGATAGATAGACAGACAGACAGACAGATATACATATAATGTAAAGGACTATATATTACGTAATATTGTATAGTGTAAACTGTTTTTAATGATAACAAAGTTGGGAAATAAAATCAGAAAAAAAAATTTGTGGACCGTCTATCGAGGAGGGTTTGACATCAAAGTTTCTTCCAGGCATCTGTTCGGGGGGGGGGGGCAAAAACTACATCCCTAGCAGAAAGTCCTCCCCCCCCCCCACTTCCGAACGGAATGGAATTTATATAGAAAATATATACTTTTATCAGTGTCCCGTCCCCCCCCCCCCCCCATTACATTAGCTGCCAAGGGCATAACACGGGGCAATTGATTAGTTAATGACGTAAAATACGGAGTAGAATTTAGCTTTCACTAACATAATCAGGGTTTCTTTCAGACATTAGTTCTCCAGTGGTCACTTGAAACTACCGTATAGAGAGGGGGAACAGACGGACACTGGTTAAAATAGGAGAAGATGGGCTAAAACCTACTAAAAGTCACAATTGTGTTTGTATGTTATATTTGACCCCTTTAGAGTTAATCAATACTAACAATATGCTACGCATGCGTTCAAACAACAAATTGCACAAATGAAATCAACTAAAATGTCTAAAATTTAAAAAAATGAAAATGTACTCTGGTCAAGGTTTGAATCAACATGCCCCCCCCCCCACCCCCCTCAAAAAAAGTCACAACGCTACCATTCAATCAGGTCACGAAAAGTTTAATTTAAACTAAATCAATTAGTGCTAATGACTTTGTTACTGTTCATTTGAAGATTACGCTAGAATAGTCTTGTGAATGTATCCCAGGACGTTCCTATTCGTATAATCTTTTGGGTCAGATAGCTTGTAGTGAAATGTGTGTAGTGTGGAAAAATAAGGGGATAAACAGTTTGAATCTGTTTAAAGTTTGAAATGCATAAAAGCGAGCTTCAACAAACATCAACAACTAATGATATCATTTCCTTGCTAAACTGTCATGTGGTTGTCATACAAACAGTAACGTCATGCGTCTGGGGTGCGAATTGTACCTATGGAGACCACATTGATTGATAAAATCCTATTTAAAGAGAAAATAAAGATAAGTATAGTAACAAGTAGATAAAGATAAATTGTACCTGGAGACCACATTGATTGATAAAATCCTATTTAAAGAGAAAATAAAGATAAGTATAGTAACAAGTAGATAAAGATAAATTGTACTTGGAGACACCCAATTGAAAGATAAAATCCTATTCAAAGAGAAAATAAAAGTAACAAATAGTAGATAAACCCATCTAGAAGCCAACACCATAAGACAAGTCATCGCCAGTGTTCCCTCTAAGCTGCGCGGCTGCGCGGCCGCGCAGCACTTACAAATGTGCCGCGCAGACATTTTCTGATGCCGCGCACAGATTAACAGAACGTCGGGCACTAGAAAAATTGTGGCCAGTGGCTTGAATTAAGCGACATTTTTAGTACCTGTTTTGTTAAACGAACAGTCTTTGTGTTTTGGGGCCTCGACCAAACTGATACTTAAAGCTTGTGACCCCTGGGGTAGGGGGTGACCTCGGTTGTCATAGCACAGGTCTAGTTAATGACTTAACTCTCAGCTGAGCGGGGCGGGTACCGATGTGATGTCTGGGTGACACTCCCTCTGCTTGATTTAATGGTTTGCCCCAAAACTGAACGTAAAAGGGATTGTGGCTACTAGCTGACCATGCAAGGTTTTATTTTCTATTGTCACTGCCCTCCCCCATCTCCCAACCCTCACCCACCTCCTTGATACTATGACGGTTTATCCAAGTCAGATGCAAATTCTAGGTTACTTAAGGTGGATGTGTTTTTACTCTGTTTGGTTTAAGGATTCATATACTATATATCCAATTCTTGGATATATAGTACTGGATCGAACTGTTTCAGTATTCACAGACTGGTTTAGTAAATAAGGAATAAAAGTTTACTACTCTGTGCTATTTGAACACGTTAAAAAGAAAAATGTGTGTAACTAGCGGTAAAACAATGCAGCAAAAAAAAAAAAGCGAGAGATTCGTTTAAACTGGAATGGCTCAAAGTTAAAGTAATAACCGATACGCCCGATTCAAAGAATGTTTCAGTTGAATTAAGAAGCATCTATGAATATTTAGATGAGATTGGACTGAAGTGTAAGTACTGTGCTGCTAGTACTTGTTACAAAGCCAACAAAGACAACGAATTTGTCACAGGAAAGCGTTGGGAATCATGGACTACTGTAAACGTCATTTATTATCTCGTGTTCACGTAGAAAATGTTGCGATTATGTACAAGCGCTCAAATGGGACTGGTCTTAAACGTCTGCTGGTTGAAACTAACAATGAGCGAGAAGAACGAATTGAACAAAATGAGCGCCAGCGGTCAAACGAGGATCAAGTTCGAATCCTAATGGATAATGTTCTTCTCGCCATTAGGATGAACGCCTCCATGCTGTCGGTACAACTGATTCATAACCACATGGGGAAGTATGTTTCTATACCAGACAGTTGGCAGAACTTCGAGTAGCATCGTTCCACACGCTTATAGTTGATGAAAGTACTGACATAACAGTACATAAAATGCTAATGCTTTATTTTAAATTTCGTCCAGTCAATTCTTTATTCTACAAAACCGTTTTTGGTGGAATAATTTAGCTTACCGCATGTGATGCCTCAGCTCTGGAGGCAGCCATAACACAGTACTACACTGAACATCAACTTGACATGAACCGCATGGTAATAATAACATCAGACGGGGCATCGGTTATGTTAGGCCGTAGGAAGGGATTAGCTGCTTTACTGAAGGCTAAGGTCCCCCATCTTGTTGAACAGCACTGTGTTGCTCATCGATAAGACTTGGCACTTTCTGACGCTTGGAAAGATGTTCATTTGTTTTAAAATATTAAGGTTCTCTTACGCACAGTTTACACTTTATTTAGTCGATCTTCAGTTAAAAAGGGCGCACTTGAAGAATTGGCCAAAATGCATGATATGGATGTAATTTCTTTTCGACCAATTCATGAAGTTCGTTGGTTGTCACGTCACTTTGCTGTCAGTGCTTTTGTTAGAAATATTGATGTTTTAGCTGCTTACTGTAAAGAACAAGTCCAAGACTGCAATGATCCTTTTTGTTGTTATGTTTTGAAATCATTAAGAGATCCCCTGTATCAAGTTGCTCTTTATACCGTTAATGATGTATTAACTGAATTAGCTAATCTATCAATGTTGTTGCAGCGAAGTAATTTATCATCTATTGAAGCACATCAATTTTGAATTTCTAAAATACGCAAATTATAAGCACAATACCTGAGTGAAGATGTATATTGGAATGATAATGCCAAGAAAATTTTGAATGAAAACGTAGGAATCGACACAAGACAAATCATACAGTTTATACGATCGGTCTGCAATCATTTAAATGTAAGGTTTCCAGAAGATGAATTGCAGTTTTGTTCAGCTTTTGATCATACATGTTTAAAAAATTGTGCATTTGAGTTTGGCGTCAAAGAGATCAAACAACTGTGCGTTAAGTGCAAAGACGTGTTACAAACAACAAATGAAGAGTCATTTATCACGCAATACAATGACTTCAAATTTCAGATCAGTGAAAAACTCAAATCAGGTTCAGTAAATTCACTAACTGAAATCGCAGGAGTTGCTTTAAACGACGAACAATTTAGCTCATTGGCAAAGTTAATTGACATAATATGCTGTAATTTTCAAGCATCCAGCGCTGATTGCGAGCGAGGTTTTAGTCTTATGAACAGCATTAAAGTGCAAGCACGAAATAGACTTGAAGCCACACATTTGGGAAATTTAATGCGAATTAAATTATATCTAAATGCTGGAGAGGATGTGGATTTAAACAAAGCATATACGGTGTGGGAGCAAGGCAAGGTTAGACGCGAGAAATTGCAATGAATGCCCCTGAAAGGTTAGCTAATTTTGTTTTCAAGTCAGCTTTTTAAAATGGTTAACATGTTAAACTGTTGTATTTGTATTACCGTTATGGTATTAACATTATTAACATATGATTGCATTACACTAACATAGTAAGTCGACCATATAACCTGTTGTCTAAGTATAACTCTGAAAGTTTCTGTTGTGAATTTTATTTTTATTTTGATGGGATTCGTATCTTCTTTTAATTGCATACGTTTCACTAGTCCTACACATTATTCTATTAATTTATCAAAATGCATGCCTTCATTACTCTGCTTAATTGCAAGCCTAAACATACATATAAAGTTGCCCAAGTCATTTTTAGCACCGCGCACACAACATATTTTTTGCACACACACTCTTGGTCCTTAGAGGGAACATTGGTCATCGCACCGGGTGACACCGGATCTAGCGATCTAGGACCATAGGATCTTCTATCTTCTATCTATATACATAATTCTCTTCATTGGGACCATAGAAGACACCACGCAGCCTAGCCACCACCGTCATCCCCACCTGTGGTTCACCCCGAATGTTTGCAATAGTACAGCCGGTTGGAATAAGTGACGGCTATTAGGAACAGATAATTTAGTTTTTAAACGTTTTGAAACTAAGGGGAGATAATAAGTTGTGCTTGATGTTTTCATTGTCGTTTGTAAACGGCTGCTTTCACTGGGTGGGGTGGGGATGGGGATGGCAGGGGTGGGGTAGTGTCGAATTCACAAATTATGAATTGTTAATAAGTAGAAAATAAAACAACTAGATAGCGGCGTATGCTACGTCGCGGATCAGCTCGTATTTATAATTCTCTTCAAGAAGACCATAAAAAACACCACACAGCTGGTTTACTTTCACGTAAAAGTCTTAGAAATGGTTTCGATTTTTTAAATTCGGATCAAATTATGGCTGTAGGGCACTTGTGTCAACTATGGCTTTTACTTTAGTCCCACCTTCCACTATTGGCCTATACAATTATTTTCTATATAAAATTATTTCGAAGATGGGTGTATGTATATCCCCCCCCCCCCCCCCCACACCCCCGAGATACCTTAAATACTGGGCAAAATGCATGTCGAAACTCACTTAATTCAGATATAACACACGAAGTTAAGTCAGTTGTCTCTGATAACAATGGAAGAATATTCATTTGTCATAACACACCATGTTAAATTTACTTAAGTTAGACACAAAAACAAAGAAAAATAAATTTAATGTTTCACATATTGACCTTCTTTATTCTCTTTATATGCTTACCTTTCAAGAATATAAGCACAAGAGAACGAAGTAATAAAATGAGCTAAACGTTATATGAGGAATCAAGCGCGGGGCGTCTCCTTTTAAAAACCACGGCTTATGTGTTTTATGACTGTGGTGATGATGAATGCCACCAGTATCTAATTCTTTGTTATTGTCCTCATCAAAGAAATCATTTTCACTGCTGTGAACTCTGTTGTTAACATTAGTATGAATGCGTCGCGCTTTGTCATAATCTACTTGTGTTTCCTTCTCTCTAGCGCCCTCTACTTTAGACACCTTCTCTTGATTGTTCTTGGCAAAATGGTTAGTTTTACTTTCTTCTTGTGTTGACTGTTTATTGTGATCATCAACAGCTGTGCTATGTTTAAATGTGAATGTACATTTCTTTTTATCTTCTATATTAGCTTCAAATGTAGGGCATTGAAATGGTTTGAAATCTTTAATTTGGTCCAGTGGTGTGGGATTCATCTGCCACTGAAGTGCTTGAGAGACAGTTACGATATACACATCATCAAACGATGTTAATTTTTCAATAAATTCGTCCATTGCATCTAGTTGATATTCAGTGTTTAGCCAAGGGGAATGCAAATTTAGGTACAGTGGAGCTCGATTACTGCGATAGTTACGAAGAAAATTTTTCCAAAGCATCTGAGAAAAGAAAGAAATTGCCCAAGTGTTATCTACAAGTAAGCTACAAACTGTCGCAGTCTCAGGGAATATGACAAGCCACATTGACTTTAGCCTTAGTTGGGTTCGGATTACTCTATAGTCACTGCTACATAGGTAACTAGGACTTTAAAAAAATAAAATCTCTATAATATTTAGACGTTTTAAGGGGTCATCCATAAATGACGTCACGCTTTTTGGATGATTTTTACCTCCCCCCCCCCTCCGTCACACATCGTCACAAAAAACCAGACCTCCTCCTAAAATGACATCACACCTCAGCCTACAACCCCCCCCCCCCCTCAAAACTGCAGTTGAATTTTTCTTAAAACATCGATATTTTTCCAATCTCTTGTCTGAACTCTGTCAAATTAGAGTATGTTAATCAATTCCTATTGCAATTTATTAAATCAGTTTTCTAAAACGCGAAATAACGTCTAAAATTTGTTTTCTAACATTGCTATTTTATAATGCAAACGTGTGACGTCGCACCTTCTGAACCCCCCACCCCTCCCCTCATCACACACTGTCACGAAATTACGGACCCCCCTCCCCCCCTTCGAGTGTGACGTCATTTATGGACGATACAGCTATAGTAAAAAGTACCTACCTGATAAGCCTCATTCTTCTCTCGTGGCATGTTAGCACAGTCATCAACATATGCACATGGCTTTTGTTCTCTGTAATCCATTAGAACTACCACAGGTAGTATCCACATTCCTGGATATTTCTCTTGTGGGCAACGAGCAATGTTACAAACTAAAGTGTAGCCAAAATCTAGAGTAAACGGCCACAAGACAGGTGAGTAGAGATTTTTTGGGAAAGAGTACGTCATGGTTGCATCATATCTGTATAGGGAATTTTTTTCCAGTTATCAATCTTAAATAGTTATTCTCTATATTTCTATAAAATTCGAGCGATAAGAGTATCATACAAAGTACGAAGACTACTAGTAGATCAATGCATTTTTAAAAATGTGTTAAATAAGGTAGTTGCAAAGCATTCCTACGTGAAATTGTTTTCGTAGAGAACAGAAAATAGATCGTCTCCTGCCGGCTGCAGAAATGGACTTCGCCAGCCTCGAATGTCTTCCAATGGAATATGTGCTAGGTCAGCTAGGTTCCTCCTTTGATTCAAAACCTGTAAAGCGAATGATATTAGTGAAACAACTAAAGCTTTTAGCGATTTACGACTTGAATGCTTTACATTAGCCTGATCCCCTCAATCTCTGTTTCAATTGGTTCTATAGGCCTTCTTCTTATAGACTTTAATATAGAGTGAACCTCTTCACCCTAGTCGGTTTTCGAACAGAAATTCTTTCTACCGCCCCGCCCCCCGCAAAATGTTGTCCCCCCCCCCCCCAGGTTAGACAAAGGTTCAAAGTGAGAGACTGGTTAGACAAAGGTTCAAGGTGAGAGACTGGTTAGACAGAGGTTCAAGGTGAGAGACTGGAGAAAGGTTCAAGGTGAGAGACTGGTTAGACAAAGGTTCAAGGTGAGGGACTGGTTAGGCAAAGGTTCAAGGTGAGAGACTGGAGAAAGGTTCAAGGTGAGAGACTGGTTAGGCAAAGGTTCAAGGTGAGAGACTGGTTAGACAAAGGTTCAAGGTGAGAGACTGGTTAGACAAAGGTTCAAGGTGAGAGACTGGTTAGACAAAGGTTCAAGGTGAGAGACTGGAGAAAGGTTCAAAGTGAGAGACTGGTTAGACAAAGGTTCAAGGTGAGGGACTGGTTAGACAAAGGTTCAAGGTGAGAGACTGGAGAAAGGTTCAAGGTGAGAGACTGGTTAGGCAAAGGTTCAAGGTGAGAGACTGGTTAGACAAAGGTTCAAGGTGAGAGACTGGTTAGACAAAGGTTCAAGGTGAGAGACTGGTTAGACAAAGGTTCAAGGTGAGAGACTGGTTAGACAAAGGTTCAAGGTGAGAGACTGGTTGGACCCAGTAATTTAACATTTCAATAAATCAACCCAAAATAATATTTCAGAGATCCACGCCTAAAATGTTTTTTAGTCACCATGTTATAAGAATGCACATTTGCATCAATATCAATTCTGATTGATTTCTTACCTCGTATTGCATTTCTGATTTATTGGCTTCGGTCCACCAAAGTCTCGGTAATTTGTGGGTAACGCTGTGATCTCCTATTTCCATTCCACGAGCGTGAAGTTTTCGTACCATGCAATAGTCCGTAAAATTGTGAGAGACAAAAAATGTAGAAGAAATAGGACATCCATTTGGATTTTTTCTGCGACCATCAGGAGGGAACAGCCTGTTAAAATTATATTGAGCTTCAAGTAGGTAAACACTAAAATATGTAGTCATATATCCTATGTAGCACATTAACTGGCATTATATACACACACGTGTGTGTGTGTGAGTGTGTGTGGATATGGATATTGATTGTAGGAAAAAAAGTCGCTAGGAAAAGAAAGACAGGAAAAAAGTAATAGGAAATAAACCGGGAGTGATCTCCCCTAAACTTTCTCGAATATTCTTATATGAAACAACTGGGGATGGCAACTCGGTATATAGACATGATTTTTAATCCAATTTTAAATACTTAAAAGTTTTAAAATAGAATAGAATCTCGTAGAAAAAAGAATCGCACACCAAGTAAACGCAAAACAAAATATGTATAATAGTGCGAACTATTATTAGTACTTTATAAATTCACATACGTTTTTTTGAGAAAGCGGAAATAAGCGAAAATTACTACTTCCGATAAACGGAAATTACTCAAAATTCAACAGAAGGCGATCTTTTACTTACAAGTGAAATTTCATTTATCTATCTGAAATAGTATTCAAGTTATAGGCTTTTGAAAAATTCAAAGTAGAAAAAGTTCCACTTCCGGTTATCGGAAATCGCTCAAAAGTTTATACGGATCTACAATTTTGATATAATACTTATATATGACATTTGATCAACGTAGCTGTAACGGTACTCAAGTTATCGTGTTTACAGACACACACAAACACACACACAGACATACGGACAAGATTGCAAAACTATGTTTTTCCAACTCAGGGAGGTGTAAAACGTCGAGATTCGTAAAAATCTCGATTTTTTTTTTGCACGATTGCAAGACTTTCTCTATACTTCGTATATACGAGAAAGTAAAAACCAATTTGACATAATGATTCCTGGAATATCAATTAAGACAAGCGAACTAGGGGAAATAATCACTTTCTTAATTTAGAAATGTATATGTCTAGGGAACAGGGCATTTCCCCCCTGTCATTTACCCCCCGGACATCCCCAACATTACCCCCGGAGTAATTACCCCCCCACCCCTGACAATTACCCCCCTGTCAATTACCCCCCCGCCCAGTAGGACATTACCCCCCCCCCCCCCCGGACAGGGTTAGGGAGGGTTAGGGCCAGGTTTAGGGTTAGGGTTAGGGTTCGGGTTAGGGTTCGGGTTCGGGCTAGGTTTAGGTTTAGGTTTAGGTTTAGGTTTAGGTTTAGGTTTAGGTTTAGGTTTAGGTTTAGGTTTAGGTTTAGGTTTAGGTTTAGGTTTAGGTTTAGGTTTAGGTTTAGGTTTAGGTTTAGGTTTAGGTTTAGGTTTAGGTTTAGGTTTAGGTTTAGGTTTAGGTTTAGGTTTAGGTTTAGGTTTAGGTTTAGGTTTAGGTTTAGGTTTAGGTTTAGGTTTAGGTTTAGGTTTAGGTTTAGGTTTAGGTTTAGGTTTAGGGCTAGGGTTAGGGTTAGGGTTAGGGTTAGGGTTGTGTCTAGCGTTGGTTTTGGTTTTGTGTGAAGTTTTAGGCTAAGGTGGATGTTTAGGTTTTGGTCTTTTTCTTAAGGTTCGGATTAAAGTAGTTTATAGGTATATAATTCTAGTTAGAGTTAGAACTCTTACTTGAGAGGAAAGGGTGGGGGGTAATTGACAAGGGGGGGGGGGGGTAATTGCTCCGGGGGGTAAATACGGGGGGGGGTGTCCGGGGGTAATTTCCGGGGGGGGGGGGGGTAATGTCCTGTAACCATATGTCTACACATTTGACTGTAAATGTCAAAACAGATCAATAATTACTTCAGTATGTAATAAAGTAGCTTAACACTATTCGTTTTTACACAGATATATTGTCTACAATCAGAATTAAATATATCGTCATCATACAGCGTAATGAAAGTTTTTGAAATCAGAGTTGGCATGAAAGCACTCTTTTCAAAATATTTTTTTTTAAATCTAATAGGTGGAACATTCTGAACGAGCCGACCCGCGGCGTATCACACGCCGCTATTTAGTTTTATTTTCTACTTTTCAGTAATTCATAATTTGTGAATTCGACAGTACCAATGCTGTCACTGAAAATATTTGCTTTAAAACACTAAACCCCCCCCCCCCCCCCCGTGAAAGCAGCCTCCTCTTAGTTACCTCCCCTAAGTTTAAAATAGTTTCAAACTAAATTATCTGCCCCTAATAGGCGTCACGACGATTGTGAACATTTAGCGTGAACCACAGCACACCAGACCATGTGGGGGTGGGGGTGGTTGAGATATGCCTAGAGAGGAAGAGAGGGGACTGCTAGGCGCGCTTACAGCTTGGTGTTTTCTAACGTCTCCAAGAAGAGAATTATATATATAGATAATACTATTAATAGCCTGCAGAAACTAAAATATTGGTCTTGCAGTTCAGCTCATACACTTTACTAGCTACTGCATATTGTGTTATTTAAAGATAAGTTTTTAATATAATGATAAGGTATGGTTTAGATTACTGTATTGCTCGGCGTGGTCGAGTCGGTAAAGCTCATGGTTGCTAAACCGAAAAGTCTCGAGTTCGAACCCTCGGGCAGATGAGGCTCGTTAGCTGGGGACAGCCACTCTTCTAAAAATCAAACAACTGCTGCCTTGTAGTTTGTTCTTGGTTGGAAGCAAATCCTAAAAGAAAAGCAGGCTGAAATCGGAGTCAATTGTCTCAATGGCGCATAACCCGTTGACACGTAATCCTTAATTGTGATGGAAGCATGGTCGAGTCGGCAAAGCTCATGGTTGATAAATTCGAAAAAAGTCTCGAGTTCAAACCCTCTGGCAGATAAGGCTCGATCCCACCCAACACTAAAAATTAAGAACGAAGAAGAAGAAGAAGAAGCTCACACAGCTCTGTACTGTTTATTGGAAAAACAATATTTACAAGTTTTACCTGTTTTAAAAGCTATGACTATGTCGGCATGGTACTTTGGTACCTCATTACGCGTTTTCCCAAATGTACTTAACAGATCAGTTCGGGGTGGGTTGTGGGGGACGGAGGGGGGGGGGTCAACTTCATTCATCACTGTCCCGTCACTTTAGGTCTATTATCTTGCCAAGCGTATACCTAGGTGTGACATTAATGTCGCTCTACACAAACTCAGATTGAACATAGCGTCAGTGTATAGATAACTGTTATAAACATACATATACAATAATACATGTATACTGATTTAGAAATATATTTAAATAAGTAACAGTGGTAATATGAAAATAATTTTTTTATAGAGGGGTCCATGGGGGATTGTAACCCCCTACCCCCTGCCTACGCCACTGTATATACATAACGTTTGTATATTTTTTGTTTATATTTATTGAGGCATATATATATATATATATATATATATATATATATATATATATATATATATATATATATATATATATATATATATATGGGTATGTGTGTGTGTGTGTGTACCTAAATGCGAAAATATTATTAGAGAAGATGAGCGGATAATCATGTTAAAATATCCCATTCATACAGATTTTAATTTTTTTTTAAATATGAACTTATAAGACAGGTTAAGAAAAATTAAACTACCTTAAATAATACTTCCAATTATCCCAGTTAACAGCGTCATCGAATGCTATTAAAATCATCTGCGGAACTTTTTCCGGGCGAATATTTCCTGGAATACTGTGTGCTGGGCAACGACAGGTAGGCTGATGACATGTGTGTCGCGAACATATCTCGTGTTGCGCACGTAGTTCAGTCAAAAAGTATATACACAAAAAGATAATTAGATTCGAAATCGACATTCTCAACTGCAAAGACAAAGTTTTTATTTAGTTAAGAAACACATATTGCATATTTAAAAGAAAACACTACAAGCTTAATTTGAACAGTTTGTCTCATGGCTGTCCCAACATTTATAGGTCAACTTGTTTGCTTTTAAAGATGCTTCAGAGAGCTTTGCCTACACGGTAAAAACAACCGAATTCCAGTGACTATTTAAACACATCAGGCATCCTAAAGATAATCCTGAGTCCCATGGTTAGTGACATTTTAATCCTATTAAGGGGGAGGAGGGATGTAGATGCAAAAGACAACCGACATAGGTTGCTTGTACAAAGACAACTAAAGCCTTGAAGTTAGCTACGTTAAATTTTTAAAAAAGAAGTCGGATCTTCTTCCCATATGTTTATCTTCTGTCAATAAAACGTCCAAAAGTCACGGCAAAAATGTTTGTTAAGGAATTAGTCGCTTAGCTCTTTAAAAAAAAGGCTTAGCTCTGAAAACAGTGAGGTTGAAGAAAATATTAACATGGCTAGGGTTGAGACATGGCTAAGGTTGAGAAAATAATCCAACACATCTGCTAGTCATTTCAACACTGGTCTAACAAGTAACCAAACTCTTTCAGACTGTTCGGGTTAACTTGTTTGTATTTCTGAGTCCAAATGACTTGACACCAAACATTAACACATTAACACATTCGTTTAAACACACACACACACACACACACACACACACACACACACACACACGAACACAAGTCACAAAGCTATTGGTGTATGGTCAAATCTTGCAACCAACTTTGATTCAGTTCTAATGAGCAGATTCATTTCAACTTTGCAGATAAATTACTTTCCGATGATAATGCAAGAATAAATGAGTTCTCCGTCTAAACTCCAATTATCATATTATATAGGGCCGTTTAAATCTGAAGCAAAAGAATTAGATTTGACCGCAAACTCATAGGCAGTCAGGCTAGACAATGTGACCTACGAAAGAGCTTGTAAAATATTCATCTTGAATAAGGCGCGGGGGACGAACTTAAGGAGTGGGCGCCGACCTTAAAGGGGGGGGGGGCTCATTTTAGGCTGCCGTATTGAATTATACACAATCAATGTTCCAAAAAAAGGGATCCGGACAAGCCAAAAGGCTGACATCAAAAAGGCCGACAGGAAATAAGGCCGAAAAGAGCTAAGGCCGACAATTTTTTGTAAAACAACAAATTATAATACAATTATAGACGTGTTTAATTTTTAATAAAACAAATTACATAATGAGTTACAATAAGTTATGGTACAATATAAAAAAATAAGGGCCTAGTATGATAAATTATATGCTATGCCGCTATGCCACGTAGAAATTCAAGTCTACTTCTGTTTTCACGTTCTGCAATGACATTTTCTATCCTGCCCTCTTTCAGTAAATGTTCTTGTTTTAGTTTTTTGAGCAAACAAAGCAGGGTGATCTTTTCCGACGATTACCTGCTACCTACTGTGTCACTCTTCAACTGTGTTTTGGCAGAGTTTCTTCCATGCATCTCTTCGGGGGGGGGGGGGGGGGCATTGCCCCCCCCCCCCAAAGAAATTCTACCGCCCCCCCCCCGAACGAAATGGAATTTATATAGAAAATATATACTTTTGACAGTGTCCGCCACCCCCCCCCCCGGATATTGTTGTCCGCCCCCCCCCCCCCCCCCCCGAAAATTTCAAGTGCACCCCCGGAGAAAAAAGTCTGGGAGAAACACTGTGTTTTGGGTTCTTGGAAAACATTTAGATAAGGGGGTCGTCCATAAATGACGTCACACGCGTATGGGGGTGGGGGGATGGGGGTCCGTAATTTTGTGTGTGATGAGGGGGGGGGTGTTCAGCTGATGTGACGTCACACATTTGCATTGTAAAAAGCAATGTTAGAAAACGAGTTTGAGCCGTTATTTCGCGTTTTACTAACGGTTTTAATAAATTGTAATAGGAATTGATCAAAAGACTCTATGTTGACATAGTTCTGACACGATTTTGGGAAAATATCGATGTTTTAAGAAAAATTAAATAGCCTGAGGCTGAGATGTGACGTCATTTGGGGGGGGGGGGGGGGCTGGCTCTTTGTGACGATGTGTGACGGAGGGGAGGAGGAGGTAAAAATCGTCAAAAAAAGCGTGACGTCATTTGTGGATGACCCCTAATTGGCGTGTAAAGACCAGAACTCTGGTGGAAAAAGCGGTGAAACCCTCGCCTCTCTTGTATTTAACAACCTCACACGGCCACAAACGTATGTCTCGTCAAACCACTTCACCAGCTCTGCTGTGTTAGGTGGAAACATGTTTTTTTAGTTCATTAAATGCTGCGGGGATCTCTGCACTTGAAAGAAATGACAGTGCTGCCATTTACGCATCAGCAGGCAAAAAATGTGGATCACGACAATCAAGCACAGCCAAGCCCAACGCTTGTAGTTTTCGCCATATATTTTACCAGGATGGGTGGGTTGGGGCGGACACTAGTAAAAGACTGTTTTCTATATAAATTCAATTTCTTCGGGGGGGGGAGGGGGCTTTCTGAGTTAAAAACCTTTGAGCAACGATATTGCTGTCTAATACTAATTGAGTTGCTTTTGCTGAGCTCTATAAGAATGAAGAAGAAAGTATGTAAAGTATGGTTGATAAGTTTTACTGTAGTCCTGGGATTCCTCTTGCTTTTCTAATCGTCACAAATGAAATAAGGCCAAGATGTTTTTTTACAGATCCCCCTTCCCCATCCATAGTTATCTTCATTGTTGTCGGGCGTTTTCTCCAGACCCTCCCCCCCCCCCCCCTCTCCCAACCTTTGTAAAATGTTATCGCAACTGGATCAAGGATGGTGTGGTATCCTCCTAAATATTAGTAAAGGTATCCAATAGATAATAAAGTGACCCAAGCTTTTCTTTATAGTTATTTAGGCCTAAATAGTAGTATATTATTATATATTTAAAGAAAATAATTTATTTTCTACTTTTTAGTAGAACTAACCGTCTATCTAGAGAGGTAGGCTTATTTGTCCTATAAACATACATAATATGGTGTCATTTTGTAGCTAGTCCACTTTCCGTATTTCGTCATTTTAATAGGGATGCACTCCCTTTGAAATACAAAAACATGTCTGAATTTGTATCTTGTACTGCTGAGAGCAGATCCAGTATTTGCAAATTACTGCAAAACCAGTCCGTTTTGCTGGATAGTTTTCGATGGCTGATAGATAGTTATGTTTCGGTAAATTAAATTAATTGGATTTATTTATTAATATGACTTATTATGTAAGTAGGCTAATATAATACTAGATCTAGATCTAGATCTAGATACTAATACTAGATCTAGTGATATCGTTTTATTATTTTTAATTTTAGTCAAGTTTTAGCGTAATGATAATTAATTCGCCGGCATTAGATCTAGATCTAGATCTAGATCTAGATTCTATTCTAGTAATGTGCAGGAAAGGTAACTGATTAATATATTTTAAAAAATAAGTAGATCTATATTTATGTTATGTTACAATTTTAAACAAGGTGTTTCAGATAAATATTAGTAAATAAAAACAGCTGACATCTTTCCAAACAAAAATTAGAGTAGTTTCCCTTGACAAAAAATGTCTATTTGTATGTATATTGTATTGACTGTGTTGTTTAATATATACAGCATAGCTGTCTTGTAAATATAAGTAGCACAGTGTGCCGCCTTCTTGTCTTTAAATTCAATTGAAAAGAAGGCTATGCACATCCAAGAACTCAAAAACTTTTGGGAGGTCCAACATTCAAACCCTTTTGTACTGATTAACTTGTCATTTATTAAGTCGTCCATATTCCTCATAAATGATGTTGGACTCAAAATGTAAGAATTAAAAAAATTATGAAGAACATATTCGTTTTCGTTACAAATTATGATTAAGGATTGTAGTATAGTAGAACTGCAATATGATATTAAATCTTTTTGCTTCAGCTTAACAAAGAGGTACTATTTTTATTTAGGAGTCGTCCATAAATGACGTCACACTCCGGAAAGTCGGGAAGAGGGTTTTATAAAGTGTGACGACACGCTCTTGCAATAATGTTAGGACAGATATAAATACCATGTTTTATTTACACGCTGTGATGGTTTTTAAAACACCAGCACAGTCGTCTTAATTTTACTTTCTACTCGCAAGATACACGTTTTATGTTTGTTTTAGAATGTAATCACAAAATCTTCTGATCCCCTTCCCCCCTCCATGTGTACGTCATAAACGGATGACGTTTCCAAGAACAACTTGTTTTCATATTTCAATTCAAAAACACGATTAGCTATATTTCCTTTTGACAGCCAGCGTACTGCAGTGTAGACAAGCAGAACCTTGTGATCTTTATTCATGTCTTTGCGCTCTTCTTTAAACAGACGGGTGTTTAGGGCTGCAGATTTAATATAGTTTACGACTTTTTTTGGCAACGGACTCTTGCTGGCGAGGGCATACCAGTGAATCATGCAGTGTATTTCCCTTGGTTAGGGAGCTAAATTATTTACTGTTTTCTGAAATCCCGATTTTGACCCGACCATAGATGGCGTACAAACCATTTGATATACTTTAACGACATGGTGTGGTTGGAGAAAGTATCATACCTAACAGATGTATTCGAACATATAAAATGAACGAATAGTATCTCTTTTCATGATAATCTCGGGAATATCAGAGCTACAAAATTGGCAAAGAAAAATAATCTTGGAAATATTGCCATGTTTGAGAAACTCTGCTAGACGAAACAGGAGATTTCTGGGCCTCTTAAATCTCTACACGTAACCCATTTTCTGTGTCCCTTGATGTTGCCAACATTCCCAATGTATTACAAGATGAATTCTTAAATTTGCTTGATGACTCTGCGTCATATGAAAAACTGCTCACATTTTTGGTGTAGTACGCACAATTTATACCTAAACGTGAAATTGATTGCCTTTCGAATCTAAGTTCCTTTTGTGTCTACATATCTTTGCAAGAATAGATTTTCAACACTTTTCCAATTTTAACCCTTTCCCCGGCGACTGGGTGTAATCCACCCGAAGTCGCTATATTTTTGCTCATATCTCGAGTCTCGTTTTATAAATTTTTCTGGGCCTCATTCCCATCTATAAGGTGGTTGGGGTGAACACAATGGAGGTTGTAAATTTTAAAAATATGCGTAAAAAAATTTTTTATGAGGGTTTGAAATTTTTTTTATACGGTCCCTGGCAACTGGGTGTAACACACCCGTACACAATTTTGAATGGAAAAAATATTTATAACTTATAAACTGGCTTCTAAATATTTGTTTTTACTCATTGTGGGTTAAGTCATTGTGTTACATTTTCAAAGTTTAACTATAAATTAACAATCTGAAGGTACTTGAGTAACAAAAATATCAAACAGGATTGAACTATTTGAAGTAATCAACTTTAGTAATAAAGTAATAGAACATTAACACATTTTAATAATTTGCACCTCAGAGAGCACAGTTGTTAGATAAAATTAAAATAACTGGACATTTCCTTTTGCTGGCAGGGAACTATTGTTTTCTTTGACAAAATATGGGCACCCTTTTAGTGGTGTTACATGAGTCACGTGCCGAGAATATTTTAATTCTATACTGATCCGAGTTGCTTGGTATTGATTGGATAAATCTACTCCCACCTCTAAAATCAACCAGTTGCCCAATGAGTTATGATCTCTCCAGAAACATAACACATTGCTAAATTTGTATGGAATATCTACCATAATGGGAGCAAATATACAATGAGCCTGACGGACTGTTAGTTATTGTTTTCAAAGTGAATATGACCCAGAAGGTTGCTGGATCTCTTCATAGAAAATTCTGCCTTCAAAAACTCCATAAGCAGAACTGAATTGACATACAACTAAATTGTTATTCTGCAGAGTGCCAGTGTCTCCTCTTGCTTTCTCTCCATGTCTGCTAATGCAGTCAAATATTGGTTGTATTATTTTTTGTATTAATGTACAGAAGAAATTTTTGAGTCAGGCTGTTTATAATTTTCCTGGGATTATTGGCAGTGGTCTGGTGTACTGTTACTTTGTCTTTCCTAAAAAATATTTCTTTTTCTTCACTTTGCACCATCAGTTTCATTTCATTATGTGTGCCAACTGTTGACACATTATTGAGTTGAAAATGCAGTATATTGGGTAGACCTCATCATTAGAGCTGCTTGAAACTGAACCAGCATTGTCTTCAAGTAATGATGGCTGCCACTATTCATCTTCTACCTCTGATACTGATGGCTGCCCTTCTTCATCTTCTACCTCTGATACTGATGGCTGCCATTCTTCATCTTCTACCTCTGATACTGATAGTTCAGACTCAAAACTTGTTGGTAATTTTCACCTGCTATACTAAAACTGGCAAATATATTCCTTTATCATTAGCACTTGAGTTTAGACAAAAGCGTAAGACTTGTTTCTGTTGTGTTCTCAATAACGTTTATGACTATTTATAAACCTTACTCTCAGGGTCACAACCTGTCGAACACCCACCACACTCCCAGTTTGATCAATTCATTGCCCAGTATCAACTTTCAAGCAGCATTATAAAGTTGTTTTGCCTTCATGTCCTCATTCCTACTACTAATGAGGTTAATGTCAAGTTACGCTAAAATGATCGACTGTCTCTATCTACATTCCAGAGCTCCCTAAAAGAGTACAAATCACCATAATTGTCCTCCCACAGGCAATCTTACCCCTGCATTTCATTAACCTATTGTAACTCTAAACTACAGTTCTGTCTGTAACTGCAAGTCTGAGCTCTAGCAAAGAGTATAAATCACTACATGTGTCCACCCACAGGTTAACTCTTGCTTGAGAATCCCATTAACCTGTAGTATCATATTACAGCTCTCCCATTGACAATAACATGTCTTGTGTTCCACATGGCCACAATGCCCTGAATACCTTAACTGCGTCAGTATTGTTACCCACCCCACAATGAACAAAGAAAAGAATTTACTATAAAAAGTGTCCGGGTGTGATCCACCCAGTTGCCGGGGACAGGGTACCAAATATGTTGCCGGGGAAAGGGTTAAACAAAACATAGAAATAAATTAAATGTTGAGAATGACATGAGATTGACGTTAACAAAAACTCAACTGTGAATGTTGAGGTTAGTTAATAGCATGAAATTTTACTCATTGTATTAAAACTGTTATCAAGAATAATTTATTTTGAAAGTCTACAAGAAAATCTTACTTTAGTCCTTATAAATTTCCTTATTAATTTCGACTTTTTAATTCCCTGGGGGTCGCGGGTCACTTACTTTTTGTAAATATTTGGGAACCACTGCTGTATAGTATATATTACTATAATATACAGTATAGCTAGCAAAGAGTTTTAGTCTATAAGTTAAGAGTAAAATATTTTTAAAAAACCCATTTTAATACCCTATTTAAATATAGATCTAGTATTTAAGTATTTATCGTGTTAAATCCCTGTCCCATCAAGACAACAAATAGATCTATGCCTAAACAGCGAACATGTAGATGACAAGAAAAACCATATGGTAAATAAAATTATGACTCTCTGGCAGATGAGGCTCGTTAGCTGGGACAGCCACTCTTCTGGGAGAGACAACTCCAAAATCAAACAACTGCTGCCTTGTAGTTTGTTCTTGGTTGGACAAAGGCCATGGAAGCAAATCCAAAAAGAAAAGCAGGATGAAATTTGAGTCAATGGCCTTAATGGCACATAACCAGTTGACAAGTTTAATTAATTGTGTTGGAGGGGATCCCTACCAACAATAAAATTAAGAAAGAAGAAGAAGAAATCCTGACTGTTTGACTGTGGGTCTATTTGATGGTTTAGTATTTTCAGTAGGCCCTAATTAAACACAAGGGGTGTAATGTTACTGGTAGTTAACTAAAATACACACATGGCTTGCTAATGTCAATGCTAACCTTAACCTCAACCCTAGTCCTACCATAAGCCTATCCCTAATTTCTATCCATAAAACTATTCAAGATTACTATACTTCTAACAATCCATCACACCTATTTTATGGAAGAGTCTATTATCAGACATCAGTATCTAAAATCATCTGCAATTTGGTTTTCACGTGGTAATGGATAACATCCTGTAATTTGATAGGCTAGCATAAATTTTATTATATAAAATGTATAGGGTTTAAAATAGCATTATGATATTTATTCACGGACTTCCTGTACAGCTGCCAATCAATGTTTGTCTTATTAAAGTAAGTGAAACATCCGGTTATAACTTAAGCTTGATGAAAATAAATAGAAATAAATGGAAATGTAGCCTTAAGGAGATATTCTCAGTTTATTTCTATTTTTTACAACTTAAGATCCATAGCCTTTTGAATACATTTACCATGTTTGGCACATGAAAGTAAGTATTAAACAGCCAAAAAAAAAACTTTGAAAACCTTCTTCATTTGAATTTTTTAGTACTTTTAAAAACACTAAGGTTTTTTTTTATTTATGCACTTATAGCAGTTAAATTTACACAGCTCATATTTCAGTATATATTAAAACTTTTGTTGTGACACCTTTTTGATAGAACCACTGGTCAGAATTTTACAAGGTCAGAAAAATCTCACCCTTTTTAGTATGCAAAAGTTTCAAAATTTGCATATAATTTTCCATTAACATTTTTCAATTTCCTTGTGACAAAAGTTTAATTTTTGCATGAAACGTAGGTCATGAAAATACAATGTCTGTGTAAGTTGTAAAGCTGATTGTAAGCGTTGGGTGTTTCTGAGATCATGGAAAATATGATTATCAAATACATGCCAAATACAATATGATGATAGATATTAAACTTTTCGTAGAGAGGTTGTAAGATTGGGAAAAAATTATTATTTTTTAATTAACGGGGTCATAAAAAAATTATATTTATGACCCCGTTAATTAAAAAATAATATGTTCAACATTTAAAAAAAAAAAAATTCTCATTAAAGTTATTATTTTCTTAATACAAAAATGGACAAAGTATCTAAAAGTTCAGGAAACCCATTATGACAAACAAATAAGGATTTTGGAGATTTGTTTATGCGCATATCCCCTTAAACTCAAACAGTTATTTTCAAGCTCTGGATTTGCAACTTTTATAACATTGATTCTAAATTATTATATTTCTGAATTATTTAAAGTTTAAGTTTTTATTTTGTATTATTTGTATGGCTGCTATGAAGTCAAAATATTAAGCCTACTATGAGTTGGTTGCACAATCTCTCAGGACCTAGGTCTATGTCTAATTGTTTCTAAACTCAATTTCTAAATTTCAATTCTTTGAAATGTTTAAAGATAAACTTGAAATACATCTAACTGCTTTGAAAATTGTCGTGGTCTATGTCCCTCATTGTAAAAAATTGCTGCCTTTTTTCTTAGGTGGGCAGTATACAGTTACATCTCTGTTGATTTAATTCATATATATTTTTAAGCAATGTTGTTTATTAATTTTTTTTAAACCACATTGTCATAGCGTAGATATAAAGAATTAGACGACTAGTAGAGGTTACAAAGGACGGTGCGAACTTGACTGTAGACGATTTGGTGCGAGAGTATTGTGCGCATGTTGAATACAATATTTGTGGCGCGAATGTGACGTGAGCATGACGCGACAATGTACCAAGGACGTAGACCGCGGCAGTAACGTGAGTTGGGGGTTAGTAATTGTAGGAGACGGATGTATTCTTTGATATTGTACAAATAAGTGTGTATTAATAAAGTTAGTGTTCTTTTCATAAACGAAGTGGTTGACTTTTGTTAATTAGTGTCTGCGGAACATAAGAGTGATTCCCGTCCTACTCACAAGTATAATAGTTGTCGTATGAATAGTAGCAGATCAGAATATAGAAAAGATATAGAGAATATATAATTATATAATATATATGAAACCCCCCATCACACACATGTCCTAGTTTAGCCATTTTTGTTTTCAATTTATGATACTAGCCGTACCGGCCAGGCCCTGCACAGGCATTTGAGCTAAAAGCTATTTGTAAATTGACGTGACTTATGTTCTCATTATGCATCATATACCCTACACTGCCTGGTATTTTGAGTTTTCTGGACATTAATTTAGATTTTAGTACAAAAATTAGCACTTTAAAAATATACAATCAAGTCGAGTTTTTTACTATAAGCATGTCATTCACAAACATATGTGTCCGCCACATACAGATAAACAGGACTCCATTTGAACTTCATATATTCGATATGCCTCAGACAAGTAATATTGATGGTGTATATTATCCTTGTCCCGAATTCTTCTGCTGGTGCATTACTATGCTCATTATTTGACATATTAGGACTGTTGTAGATTTACATTGAAAGCTATTTCTTTCACTCAAAAGATAACCTATGTACATATTATATAGGATTTTTCCAAAGTATGAGCACCGTTTCTGAAAATAAAGATTAAGAGTCAGAAGTGGAGAGAGTTGGGTATGAATACCTGGAGGGGGCCGCCTTAATGTACAATAAGAAGTTAGTTTAATCATAATGGTGGGGGATTCAGTTTTACCTGATGTCACAACATGTACATGAAGGGTGACTGCTTTTAATTTTTTATACTTTCTTACAAAAAATCAGTATACTTCTTGAAGTGTTACATTTTAATGAAGGCCATAAGAGCAACTTATTTTTTCAAAAAGTGGACTTAGCAGGTTTTGCAAGTTGCCACCTTAAAATATCAGTTATTACAGATGGTTTAATTTTCCATCTACTTTGAAAAAAACTATATCCCTTCAAGTAGGAATAATTGAGTGGTAAAACTCATTAAGTTTTATTAATTTTCACTCCTATTTGAAAACTGTTTAGAATACATTTTAGAGAAATTTTTCTTTTATCCAAATGATTTCTTCACTTATTTTTGTGTGTAGTCAAAGAGCAGGTGAAATTAAAAATGTAAATTCCTGATGCTGCTATGTCCTTTAATAATTAAAATTGAGGAGTAAAAGCGTTCAATTATGACATTTCTGAGAATCTGGTATTTTTCCAGGTTTCTACAGCACCAGAGTTATCTCCTTACCAAATATCAACTTTTTATCACATCTGTAATTGGTCAATCTAATTCAAGCACTTTAAAAGGCTGCTGTCACTTTAAACTTGATTATTCGGATGACTCTTATTTTCCCGGTAAAAAGAGAGTGAACAGCAAACTTTGGCAACAACAATTTCCCTGCAACTTATGTGCAAGTACCCCATCTAATAAACAAACCAAACATGACCCCCTTTGATTTTATAGATACAGAAATGTAAGCAATGTAATTGTTTTTTAGCTTTTTAAAAATTTTGTTTATTTACCGAAAATACTAAAAACATCAATTGCATAGAAATTTAGTCATAAATGACTTAAAAACACACCACTAGGAATGCACCATTTTTATGGCTTGGCTCTTTGACATGTATGCAGTCGTTTCCTAAAAAAATTCTATGCTGTTTATAAAATTATAACCAGTCTGGAAGGGTCATTTATAAACTATATCACAAATGGGGAGTGGGGGATATAGCCTAACATTTGTGACATTACTATGTGCTGTTATTTGGAGTAATTGGGCAGGCGTGGATAAGTTAGAATGGACGTTTTTGAGGAAGTCATCTCTTCTTTTGTGAAGATAATTGACATTATGTGGGTAAACATCATCAAAAAAGGAAATAAAACGTGACAGTTTATGGCAGCATTTAATTAAAAACCCTTTTATAGTTACATTCTTCATTAGTTTACAGCAGAACAAATTTAAAATTTTGGTTTTCTGATGTTTTCTTATATTATCTAATGCTATATAAACTATTAATTTTAAACTTCTTATAATTAATAGGATTTTTATACTTCAAATCACTGGAACAAGCTCCCTAAGTCTTTACAAGATTATTTTGAAGCTGTTGAGCCTCCTGACCTGGCATGGATGATATCCAATAAAGAAGAACGTTCATCAACTAAAAGGTTTTGTTTAAGGGGAAGAACTGCATTGATTATTTTGTTAAATCCATTTAATTTATATAATTATCTCTCTATTTTTCTGTTTACTTGATTTAAAAATAACATGAACATTTTTACCCTTTTAGTTAAACGAAACTTGCGTGTAATTTTATAACTTAAAAATAGGTAGTTATATATATATCTTTGGTTGAAACACTTTCTGTTTGAAAATTATTTCTTCAATTATTTTTTTTAAACAAAGCTAAGAACACTTTTGTCATGGTTGTCTATATGGCTAGTGGGTTGATGTGGCTAGTGGGATAATATGGCTAATGAGATAATATGGCTAGTAGGATAATATGGCTTGTAAAATAATATGGCTACTGGGATAACTTGTAGGATAATACGGCTAGTCAGATAATATGGCTAGTGGGATATAACAAAGATGTATCTGTGACATCTGTAGGGATGGTGTAGCCAGTCCAGCCGTCATGACTTGAGTTGACTTAAGTCATGACTTGAGTTGACTTAAGTCAGGTACCCAAATAAGGCTGAGTGGGCAGTGAACTGGAACATAAGGATAAAATCACCCTCAGTTGTTTTCTGTTTGCTCGTGATAAACTTTACACCCTCAGTTTTTTTCTGTATGCTCGTGATAAACTTTACACCCCAGTTGTTAACTGTTTGCTTGTGATAAACTTTACACCCTCAGTTTTTTTCTGTTTGCTCGTGATAAACTTTACACCCTCAGTTGTTTTCTGTTTGCTCGTGATAAACTTTACACCCTCAGTTTTTTTCTATTTGCTCTTGATAAACTTTACACCCTCAGTTGTTAACTGTTTGCTTGTGATAAACTTTACACCCTCAGTTGTTAACTGGTCGCTTGTGATAAACTTTACACCCTCAGTTGTTAACTGTTTGCTTCTGATAAAATTTACACTGTTGAATGTTTGCCTGTTTTCTGAGGTCCAATTTATACGATTTGTGACAGACCAGACCTTGCATGTCTTGTTTGTGACAGACCTTACACATTGTCCATTGATTAAATGTGACAGACCTTTCAATGTCCATTGTAATAACGTGACAAACATTTCTATGTCGTATTATAATGTTTTTGACAGACCTTACAATGGACCAGTTACTTTTAAAATGTAGTCGCTTTTAATCTAATTAAATAAAAATTAGTCATAAAAATGAACTCAAAGGTTACTATAGACAATTACAAAATATTTTTAAAATTATGAATTGATTAAAAAAACTAGGTGTAGATGAGCTGTTTGTATTTTATAAATCTCACACTGCATTAACACTTACAATATATATATACTAGACTTGATCTACTTGAATGTATGATAAACATGTTATGGGTATATGGAACATCTGAGTCTCAGAGCAAAAAAGCCATGCCCCTTTTTGTGTTCTGGACTAAGTTTTTGTTTTTCGTTGAGCAAATGCATTAGACATATTCTGAATTATCAGATGAGAGCGCATGCATCGAAACATAGTAAGCACATCCTAAAGTCTAGCACTAATCAGACTGCAAAATGTAACAAATCTACTCATCTTTAAAGGATCACACTTATACTGACTATAAAAACAGACAAATAATAAGTGATAATTATTTAGATTTAAAATGGGACATAATTAACGTGTAAAAAAAAAACAAGTGTCATAAGCCCTACTCTAAAATCTAGATCTGCTTCTACTCTTAATAATAGTCTTGTCAATTGTATAGTTATTTATCTATCTCACATTTGAGATGAACTTAGCACATGAACTTAGCACATGAAAAAAATCAGGTGCTCTGGTAGACAAATATTTATTCAAATGATACAAGCTGTTCATGAAGGATATAAACAAGTAACAAAGTGGTTTATGTTATAAACCAATATGACTTTGAAAAAAAAAATAAAAAGCAATTGTTGAGATGGCTCTAATTTTCCCATTTGAATGAGAGTGTACAGCAAATTTTTACAATGGCAATTTGCTACCTTTGTGTGTGTGTAAATGCGTAATATATATATATATATATATATATATATATATATATATATATATATATATATATATATATATATATATATATATATATATATATATATATATATATATATATATATATATAAAATTAGATTGGTATTGTTGAATTAAATGCAAAAAATAACAATTATTAGCATATATTTCTGAAATGACCTTCAAACATTGTTAAAAATGCAATCACTGTATTGGCATTTTAGGCAGCCATCATTACCATGGTGAAAGAAAGTAGGTTTTTGTTTTAATTTCTATGATCTCTTAAAATCTTTTTTTGGTGTTATTTAAAGTATACACTTAATAATTTTAAATATGGTGTAAGAGTTGATGTACGCACGGATGTACTGATTAAGCAGCAGGGAAATAAATAAAAATGGCTCTTTCCCAATTTAAATTTTCATAATGCATTTTTAAAAAATCCAAGCCTAATGACTAACAACTAAAAAGCCATGGGGCACTTAACTAATGGCAATATACAATAACAAAATGACAAATCAGAAGGGTTAGTTCATTTTGAAGAAAAATCTATGCTCAGCTAGGCCCATTACACAGCACTATCCTGGCTGCCCACCAGGATTTTTTAATCCGCCTGTAGATATACAGATATATGTTTTAGTTTAAAGTTCCAATTATCTTTTGGGAAAATCTTTTATATTTTACAATGTTGTGTGCTTTTTTTTTTGTGTTTTTATATGTTTAAGCTCAAGATAGAGTGTAAGTAGTTGCTCTTAGTTGATATCAGATTTAAAAAAAATTCTTTGTGAATTCTTATTTTAAAGGGTATGTTAAAGTTAATATTTTAAATTTGACATGGTTACTTATAATAATGGTTATAAAAACCTTTATAATAACAACCTTTTAAATGTATTAGAAATGGGAATATAAACAATTTTTTAAAGTAAAAGCTGTTTTAATACATTTTATTATTTGCAATTATGCTAAAGCAAGTTTTTGTTCAGAGTGGAGCTTGAACAAAGCTCATCCAAAAAATGCCATAATTCCTTTAATTAAATATGTCAGGAATATTTTAATTTTGTATTAACAATTTATACCACAAATTAAAAAAAAATTAAGCAGTGTCAATTTAACCTATAATATTACCTAATTGTAAATTGCAGAATAATTCCATTGTCTCTTCTGGCACTTCAAGTCTGTAAATACATACTGTCTTTGACTAGGACTGGTGTTGATGTGGATTCTGTAGAAATACAGTGTAGCATTACATCAGCACTGTTTGGAAACTCCTATATATTAAATCAGCAGAGAATTAGGTGTGCACCTGACTCTGCCATATTGCCTGTAAATGGCAATAAAAATGTTTCTTCAAATAACAAGAACGGGCAGTGTATGAATATGCAACATATTTTTAGGAAACATGTCAAGCTTAAAAAGCAACATGAAATCAGCAAGCTTGGGCAAGTGAGAAGTTTTTTATTTTCATTTTGGTGATCTTTGTTATTTCTGTACTAGATCTATACTGTTTTTTTTTTACAATTCAGTGTTACATTTTATTTCTATCTAATTCAACATTATGAATGTTATCACTATTAGAGAATAGGTAATATATTAGGTAACTTAAACTGATTTTAATAAATGATCCTTAAGCCATTTGTCAATCACATTCTTTCAAGAAATCAAAATGGTAGATATCAAGTTCGCTTTGAAATTTATGGACACCCCAAAGAAAGGCGATATCTGCAAAATCATACATAAATTAACATAAGCTGAGAACTAGCTTAATTTGATTAAGAGAAAAAAAGAAAATTATTGAAAATTAATGTTTTGGATTTGGATGACCATTCACCTGATAATAAAAAAGCTTAAAAAATACAACTACATCTAGGTTTAAGGAAACAAACTCTATGTACTTAAATATTTAATTTCAATGTTATTTTAAAAAGTTATTACACCCACTTAAGAGCTGACTATATCTAAATACAAAATAAACAGCTCTAAACATGTTAACAGCTTTTGTGTCCATTCCTTATTAACTGCAACTAGATATTTTCTTTTGTAAAAAACAGTTATTGTTTTTTTAAAATTGCTAATATCAGGTTTATGGCACCAGTGGCGTAGGCAGAGGGGGTTATAACCCCCCCCCCCCCCCATGGACCCCTCTGTAAAAAAAATTTATTTTTATAATACCACTGTAACTTACTTAAATCTATTACTGAATCAGTATATATGTATAATTATATAAGTAAGTTCAGAACAGCCACCTAAAAAAACCGGCGCTATGTTCACTCTGAGTAGGTTATACTCCCTCCTCACCATCAGAACAGAACAGGCCGAAATTGTGTAGAGTGACATTACCGTCACACCCAGGTATATGCTGGGTAAGATAATGGACCTAAAGTGACCTGGCAGTGGTGAATGAAGTTGAACCTCCTACCCTTGTACTGATCTGTTAAGTTCATATCTGGGAAAAGTCTGTAAAGTGGTCAAAACCAGTTGTATGTCCCTATACAATCTTTGTAATTTATATGAAAAACAAAGAGTAACTTTAAAAAAAAAATTTTGCAGTCATAAAATCCCCCTATGTCCATTAGATCTGACAGATGCCATTTTTTCCTAGATAAACATAGCAATTTTTTGTGAAAAAAATTAAACAAAGACTATGTAATTCGGTACAAGAGAAGTAACTTTTCAGAGTAATTAATTTCAAATCAATTTTATAGTAGTTTTTTTGAAAAGCCGAAATTGAAGAAATTTGCCATTCTTTTGAGTAAGCATTTCATTATATATTAAAACATGTATCATAATAAAATTGTAAAAATGAACTTGAAAAGTTTTTGTAATATAATCTGAGCAAAGGTAGGCGGTATGCCTAGTTGACAAAAAAGTTATTTATCTATATATATAATTCTCTTCTTGGAGTCGTTAGAAAACACCAAGCTGTAGGCATATCGCAACCACCCCCACCCCCACATGGTCTGGTGAGCTGTGGTTCACGCTAAATGTTTACAATCGTGGAGCCGGGTTTAGTGACACCTATTATAGGCAGATAATTTAGTTTGAAACTATTTTAAACTTAGGGGAGGTAACTCAGAGGAGGCTGCTTTCACAAGGAGGGGGGGGGGGGAGGGTTTTACTGTTTTAAAGCAAATATTTTCAGTGACAGCATTGGTACTGTCGAATTCACAAATTATGAATTACTGAAAAGTAGAAAATAAAACAACTAAATAGTGACTCGTATTTAAAAAAGGTATAAATGAGATATAAACGACTTTAAAGCATGATTTTATCTCTCCCAAATTTGTGTGATTTGTTGTCTCATGATATACTTTGCGATGCAACAGGTTAAATTACTAAATTAGGAAATAATTTAAATAATCAATTGAAAATTTTGTTCGACAGTCTACTTTTAAAAAAATTCTCTTTAAACATTAAAGTTTACTTTCTTTTAGGTAATAAATCTTCTTAGCCATGCCTGTGTAAGTAGAAATGTTGTAGATGTTGGAGCAGGCCTAGGTCATTTATCCCGACTCTTGACCTTCCAGTACAGCCTTAAAGTTACAACAATTGAAGCTGTTGATGATCATGCACCTAAAGCTAAAGCATATGACCGGTGGGTTATTCTTTTTGTAATCAATATAATTTAATAAATCTATTTTCAGGTGCTGTTTATTGTGTTTTTGTGCTGATTTTTAATAGAACTAAGAGTAAGACTATCTCTGTTTCTCTCTTTTTCTCCCTCTCTACATACATACATACATATATATATATATATATATATATATATATATATATATATTAGATGCACACAACTTTTTAATAATTAAAATTACTAAATAATGACAGGGTTGTATTAAGGGGACTAAAAGTTGCAAAATGATGCCAAATTTATGTTTATATGATAAACAGTTCTCTAGATATAACGGTTTTAGTGTAAAAGTTGCGGGACAACTAAGCCTATGGAGAATGAAAACAATAATTGGTCACGTTCGAGAGTATAGAAAAAATGCGAATAGGAAATAACTCTGCGTAGGCGCACAATTATAACATTTTCAAATAAGTATTTTTTAATGCATTTACAAATGCATAGAGTGTCTCTACCAAGAAATTAATAAATTATTTAATTTAAAAGTGGTTTATTAAAAATTATTTAAATAAAGATAGACCACTGGCTAGCTTAAATAATTTAACTCAAACATCATAGTAATAGTAAAAATAAAAGAAACTAGCTGAGTAAAAAAAAATAAACATTCCTAATTCCTAAGTAAACGGTATCATAAAGACAGATCAGTACAGTGTAACATACATGAGTGTTTTTGACATATTGGAAGCATGTCAGTTAAGAGATAATCTTTGGGTGTCATTAGATAACTGAACATAGCTGTCAAGAAACAAAGAGCAATGTTATCAAGAATAGAGCATTTCACGCAGCTACAAAGACAGACGCAAGACACATGGGTTTCTGCTCGACTTTTGCCTGCAGTTTTAAATACGACATCTTGCCACCTTGTTTTGAATGTGAGGAACCGAACTATCAGTTTAGTTAGCAGGCATACTACATACTAGACCACACGTATGCCTAATTCAATCATTAGTAGCACGTAGTACAGGCCACATCATATTAGCTCAATACATACACATTTTACTATTTTAAAAAGGTTAATTTATTATCTTTCAATCTACTCATATACTAGTTTAATTATTAAAATTCTATGAGAAAAAATGTGTATTAAAATTGGTGACATTATTCCTATAAAAAGAAGGAACATGAAAATGCTGTATCAAATATGGTACCTAGTTTGTGAGACATTTTGCATAGTCTTGCTAAACGGATAAACCTAAAATAAATGTGCTAGTTTGAAAGTTTAATAAATAATGAAGATAATCCCACTAAAAACAGAGTTAGTCTCAATGTTTTACTATTTTAAGTAAATTTTTGAAAACTCACCTTTTAAACTCAATAAGAGATTAACAAAAACCAGTAAAAAGTAGAAATAAAAATTATACTGCGGTAAGGGTCAATAACTGCTGCTAATAAGGAGGGCATATATAATTTTTATTTAAAAGTACTTCAGAGCTGCATTGTTTACTAAATTATAATTTATTTTATCACTGTTTAAGACCCCATCTTGGTCATTTTAGTTCTTCTTAAGTTTAATATGGTGTGCATCACCGAGGCAATTTAGTCTCTTATTTATAGACTGCATTCACCATTTTAGTCTTTATTTATCACTCTAAATAATAAAAATGGTGTTGAGGATATAATTAAATAAAAATGCTGCTATAAATATAAATCATGTCTTACTTTTGTTTTTAAAAGCTCAACACAGCTGCCAGTTATTTTATCACCCCTTCAGGTCACTGGCAATAGAATGTAAAAATATTTTATAAGATCAATTGGGTTAGTGTTACGATACATCACAATAAAATTTCAAATTGTTTTAAATTTTAAGGGTTGGTTTATTTGTTCATTAGGGTATTTATCGCATTCGGGGAAGTGTCCCATTGGGTATTTGTAACATTCGGGTATTTATCGCAGTCGGTCAAGTGTCGATTCTGGTGTTTTTTGCTTTTCTGCAAATGTCTATTTGGAAAAAATAGTCTGCTGGAAAAATGACATTCGGGCAAGTGTCTTTTGGGATATTGGTTGTAGACCTATTAGAAATAGGTTAAGGTTTAGATATAGGTATACGTATAGTAATATGTGTAAGTGCAGGTGTAGGTGTAAGAGTTTGTGGTTGTGGCTGAGGGAGTGGTGAGGGTTGGTTAATGTATATGCTTATGCTAATGTTTGTGTGTTTGTGTTTATGTTTTAAGGTTGTAGTGAGGGTTAGGGTTTTTTTCATTTGGTTGTTTTTTTAGGCGTGCAAGTGCAGGGAGGGGAGAGGATTTATGTATCTTTTTGTGGTTGAGGCTGTATGAAGGTTGGTTTAAGTTTTTCTTTATGTTCATGTTCGAGGTAGTGTTGAGGGTTAAGGTGTATGTTTATTTTTGTGTTGATATCTGTGAGTATGTGGGGTTTTTTTTTAGACATAGAAGTGTGATGAGGGGAGAAGGTTTATGTCTATATCTATATTTGTTTATGATTATATTTATGATTATATTTGTAGTTGTGGTTGTGGTTAGGTTTGGAGTTAGGTTTAGAGTTATATATATTTTCTATATTTGCATATATACGTTATTTGGAAATTTCATATATTCCTAATACTCATGCAGCGCCAGGTATATGATGCTTAATAAACATACAAGTCACAATCCTTTACAGATAGGTTTTTCACAAAAGCCAGTTCAGAGCCTGGCCAAACAGCTACTATATATATAAATATACAATTTTGTTGAAGCATTTTTCAATTTGGCATTTCACGTTTAAAAATGTGATTTTTCAGAGAACTGAAAGCAGATGTATCAAAGATTGAAATTAAGGTTGGTTTTCTCTTTATATTATATGAAGCAGCAGTGGTATATTTTATTGCTTCTGTAATTTGTGAAATCCACAGGGATAGATCTATATTTGGTGCAAGTAGACATTTTTTATGGGAAGGTGGGGAGTGTTATTAAAAAAATATTTTTGTTTATCTTGCTTACAAAAAGTAGAGATATAAAATGCAGTGCTAATATTTAGATATCACCTCGATTGGGTAATGAAATGGCTGTATTATAAAAAAATTTGCATTTTGGGGTAAACAAACAGTAAGGGAACAAAAAAGGGGATTATGAGTATAATGTGAATGTATTCTGACGTGTGTTCAATCGACTAATTGTGCAGCTGGGGATAACTTATTTTCCTTTTTTAATATTAATATGCATCATTTTTTTTACCTTCTTACTAGCACCAACAAGCACTGATCTTTGATTTATTCATTTAGAGCAATTTATTTAGTTTTCCACATACATATTACATTCTTATTTTAGTAGTTAATAACATATATTTCCATAAAGAATAAATTACTATATAAATTATGGGTAATGTCGAAATGCTCAGTACATGAATTCGAGTATTGGGTCTTTTTACTGGTGTATTGGAAGTTAGTTTTAAACAAGGATTATACATATTGTGTTGATATATACTTAAACTGTTCCCCAGTCCCCCCGCCTCCCCCTCCCCCCCCCCCCCCCCCCCCTACTTTTAGAAAAGTGTGTGGTTTGAGAGAAAGCCTGTCTATACTGCTTTTTATATTTTTAGAGAATTAAAGAAAGTTTATCTATAAGCAAACCAATTCATAATCTTCGGCTTGAAGAAAAAAATAGCATGACAAATAAAGAACCAACTGAAAGAGAATTGAAAGAGTTCCCAAATCATGTCACATGTCAAGTGAACCCTGAAATAGAAGCATCAATGTTTTTAGAAGTTATCAACCAAAGCTGGGGAGGTAAGCATTATCAAAATTCCATATTCTACTCAATAGTTAATACAGGAAGCTATTAGTGATTGGCTTTGTGTATGGTAAACAGAAAACTCTATACCTATTTATATAATACTGTAGCGGTGGAATTATTCAAAGCCTCCTCTCTAATAGTAACACATTTTGCAACACAACAAATGTCGAGTTAGGAGGGGTCTAAGTCTTTACTGGGAACACATTTTGCCATTAAATGTCCAGGTAGGAAGAGGTCAATATATATATATATATATATATATATATATATATATATATATATATATATATATATATATATATATATATATATATATATATATGTATATATATCGCATTATTATCGAACAGTCCCTTGAGTGGCAATCCCCCTTATACATGACCTTTGTCGACTTCAAAAAGGTGTTTGACAGTGTGAATAGAGATGCTATCTGGAAGTTAATGAGCCACTATGAAATACCCAAAAAATTTATATCTATCACACAGAAACTATATGAAGACTCCACCAGCCAGGTAATACACAAAGGAAAGCTAACAAAACCATTCACAGTGACGACGGGAGTAAGACAGGGATGTATGCTATCGCCAATGATATTCTTGATGGTAATCGACTGGATCATGCTGAAAACCACAAAAAACGACACAGGAATCCAGTGGAGTTTCACCAAAAGGTTGGAGGATCTTGATTTTGCCGAAGATCTTGATTTTGCCGATGACATCTGCCTACTATCTCATAAGCATCAACACACGCAAGCCAAGTTAAATCGGCTGTCTGAAGAAGCCTCCAAAGTTGGACTAAAAATCAATAAAAACAAAAGAGAGGTCATCAGAATCAATAACAGCCAGGACCTGCCCATACAGCTAAATGGAGAAGATTTACGAGAAACAAACACATTCACATATCTTGGAAGCGTGATCAATATTATTGATAAGGACGGGGGAGCAGGCGAGGACATAAAATGCCGTATCAACAAGGCTAGATGTGCCTTCAACTCGCTGCGGCCGATGTGGAGGTCCACGGCCCTGTCACTCCGGAGCAAAATTGGGATTTTCAACACAAATGTTAAAGCAGTGCTACTCTATGGCTCGGAGACCTGGAGGGTTACAAAGACAAATACTGATAGGCTACAGGTGTTCGTAAACAAATGCCTACGACACATACTCAAAATAAGATGGCCAGACAAAATATCAGACAAAGACCTGTGGCAAATTTTAAAGCAACAGCCAATTGAGAAAGATATTAAGGCCCCTAAATGGGGATGGATCGGACACACGTTAAGAAAAGAAAGGGAAAACATTGCAAAACGTGCATTGGATTGGAATCCCCAGGGGAAAAGTAGGGTGGGCCGGCCAAGGAGAACGTGGAAGAGAACGGTTGAGGAAGAGGCAAAAACAGCTGGGCTCTCATGGGCACAGATTAGAGGAGCAGCCCAAAACCGAGTCCGCTGGAGATGTGTGATTGCAGCCCTTTGCTCCCCAGGCGCCATAAATGAGTGATGATGATATATATATATATATATATATATATATATATATATATATATATATATATATATATATATATATATATATATATATATATATATGCATATATATATATGTATATAATATATGTATATATCTATCTATATATATAAATATATATATATGTGTATATATATATATCTATATATATAAAAAGCAATGTGTGTCTGTGTGTTTGTCTTTTATGCATTACTACACCTCTCATCACATCGCCGTAAAACTTTGGGAAGTTGTTGTGAATATTCCTGGGGAAGTTTCTGCGAGAAAAAAAAATTCCCCAAGTCATTTTCATGCGAGATCATTAAAGACCTCCATCTGTAGTTTTAGCAGCGGTTTTCTGACTTGGATTCAAAGGCAGAATTTGTGAAACAGTTTCAAAACCCATTTGAAGCAGATGTAGCCATTTGCAAATATGAACTGCAGCTGGAGGTCATTGGGTTACAAGCAAATGACCTCCTTAGGGACAATTATTTCAAATAATGACTGGTGGGGTTTTACAAGTTTTTGCCCAAGGAAGATTTTCCTAATGTTAAAAATGTTGCATCTAGGTACCTTTCAATTTTTGGAACAACATACCTGTGTGAACATTTTCAAAAATGAAATACGTGATGAACAATTAGAGAACAAACTTGGACTTTGAGTGTGTTGTCTCCCCCCCGAACTGCTATTTTATAGTTAATGCAGCCCTCGTGCTGAAAAGTTTGGAGACCCCTGATGTATATACATATGTACACATGTATATACATAAATATGTATATGTCTATATATATGTATACATGTATATATATATATATGTGTGTGTGTGTATATAAATATTTTCTTATCAATGTGATTATTAAAAACCCCTTATTATGCCTAGTTAAAAGGCTGTTTAACTAATACAATAAGAAAATGTCAGTGATTTGAAATAAATTCATTGTGTTTAAACATTGTTTCTAGGTGGCAACAGTTTTGTTTTGGCTGGGCTACATGCTTGTGGTGACTTGACCCCAACCATCCTTCGTGTATTTACTGAATGCTCATCAGCTAAAGGACTGGCTTCTGTTGCATGCTGCTACATGAAGTTATCATCTCACAGTAACAATTTGTAGGAGCTTTTAAGTTTTCTCAACTATCACACTTGTAAGCTATATAAATATGAACATCTTATAACTAAACAATTTCTAATCTTTAATTTATACAGAAAAACTGATGTTTTTCCTATGAGCCATTTTGTGAGAAAACTTGCCTACCATCAGCTGAGTTATGTTGCTCGAGAACTTGCTTGTCATTTTTCAGATGCATATCACAGAAGATTGAAAGGTATTGATGAAATTTAAATGCAATAAAATAAATAAATGCAATAAAATGTTGGCAGTTAAATAGCCTAGATATTTTTTAACTTGTGTTGTTTACTGTTAATTGTACCATCCTGTTATCATCTCTATTATTTCATTTTTGTTTGACTAAAGTATAAAATCCATTTAGCTTCATAATGAATTTTAAAAGTTGAAAATTTCCTCCAGCTTCTATATATAAAGACATATTTTTATGACTGACTTTTAGTGAAATCAATTCATCGCTAAAATGTATTTGAGATTTTATGAGCCACCAAAGAGAAGCAGTTTGTTTAATTTTTTTCATAGCATTTAAAAGCTTATTATTATAAAAATTGTTTTTTTTTTTTTTTACTTGCAGTAATTATGAATTTTTTAAATAAAAATAATTCTATGTTTAATTTTTTTTTTAATAATATTTTATATTTTCCCATTCCATTTACTGGAAAGTTTAATGGAATACCTGCATTAAAAGTGGGTCAAAATTGAGTTACAGGATTTGACCACAAACTTACCCACTAACTCATAACTAACGTGAACTAAAGAAAAGAATATATCACAAATTTTCTTCCCTTCTAAATGTTTTATCAACATAGCCTTGTCTCAAACATAAAACATTTCATTAATTTAACTTAATATTATTTTACTAGAAAACTCACCACATCTGAAAATCCATTCCTACCGGGCAGCACTACAGTTTCTTTTGAAAACTATAAGCCCTGAATTTAAAAATGGGGAAGCCAGATTTGTCAGCAAAAAAGGTGCCCAGGGAAGCTTTACCCAGTCAGTAATTTCAAACATTTTTATCACAATATCTCATCATTTGATTCAATGTGTTGCAAGTGCCTGTACCTTAAATACCTGTACATTGTAAACATTTGCTACTAATTTTTACCTTATTGAGATTACCCACCCAATTTTAATTTTGTAGTTTGCTAGGCTTGCTAAATTAACTATTCATACACAAGTTTTATTCTTTTTTAAAATGGATATTAACCTCAAAGTATTGAGCTTTTCTCTTAAAATTTTGAAACAATATTTTCTTTCTCAGGTATGCCTTAGAAAACTTAAAAAAAATTGGAATAAATAGTGACAGAGTACCTTCTGAGTTAATGCAGCATTGCATGTCATTAACAGAAGGTTGGAGAAGAGTTGTTGCATTTTACATACTGCGCTTAAGTTTGGCTCCTATTGTTGAGTCTTTTATTTTATTGGATAGAGTTATGTTTTTACAAGAAAAAGGTTTGTAAAACACTTGCTTTCCATATAAATGCTGTGATTTTATTATAGTATTGTTTTGTTGATGAAGTATCTTAGGTTAAATTAAGCAAAAAAAAGGGTTTACATTGTTTAATTAGCTTGTAATATATTTTCAACAGGTATAAACAGTGTATTAGTCCCCATTTTTGACTGTGCTGTTTCTCCAAGGAATTTTGCATTGTTAGCTATAAAGAATGATTAATCTTTTATACTAAAATAAATTATCTGTACACATTTTTAGCTGTGTACATTTTTATTGAAATGTACTGTCTAAAATATGTTGTTTTTTTTTTAAATATATGCAGTAAATACTTTACACATAGCAAGTTTAAATTGATACTTTGCATTTCTACCCAGTTCTCTATTTTTATTTTATTGTTTTAAAAAAAGCTAAATTAAATTTCACATGTATCCTTTCAATACGGTTCATGGGGCAGATGAAGTAGAGTTTGTCAGTTTTTTGTCTCTCCATATGAAAGGATAGTGTGGTCAGCACTTTTACTTTAAATTAAAAACATTCCTAAAAAATTGCTAACATAACACTAATAGGTTACTCATCTTACTGCTTTTTAAAATGCTGTCTCACAGAAAAAAATAAGCTATCCTTTGAGAGCTATTGTGCATATATTTGTTTTAAACCATGGATAAGATGAGGTATTATAGTCATACACTAAATTGTATCAGGCAATCCCACTGCAACCTCGGTAGGGTGCGATTAGTTGCCTCGGGCTATCCTTTGAGCACACTGGGGCTTACATTCTTTTTAAAAAGCACCCTACAATATTGAGACGGCACACGATATTTGATCCAGGGCTGAACTTTGCGACTGCTGTGTAACCTGGGGCTCCAGAGAGCACCTCGTTATGTCCATGACATCAGGGCAGTAATTGAAGCGTGTTATACCTCACTATTACAGAGAGTGATTAAAGTACATTCAAGGCTTTCAAACATCATGCCCTCGAGTGCGCTTGGTGATAAATATGATCCAAGAAATGTATATAGCGCAGGCATTGTATAGATTTAAATAATAATTTAAAAAAACAAGGTCATGTGCCTAAGAACATAAGAACATATTATGTCAGACTTTCTTTTGAGACTGCATCAGCGTGTGGGACAGGCACACTAGCATTATACATACCATGAAATATTAATACCTTGAATTAGAAACCATAGTTTCTAATTTGCATGTTTCTGTCAATGCAGATTGGACACAATGGTTATGATCCTTTAAAAACTCAATTTCTGGATTAGAAATGGTATTCAATCTCTTTTGTTTTATTTCAAATTGGTCTAACAACTAACAAACTGCAAGTCAAATGAAAAAAAAATTGGAAGCCAGTGAAACTTTGAAGTTTTAGATTTAATTTTTTTGAGACACTAACATGTCAATATAAAGCAAAAAATGGGGTAGGTAAAACTCAAGGTTGCTAAGCCAAATAGTCCCGAGTTTGAACTGCTGCCTTATAGTTAGTTCTTGGATGAACAAGGGCAATACAAGTAAATCCAAAAAAAAAGAAAGCTGAAATTGGGGTCAATGGCCTAAATGGTGCATAACAGGATAACGCATAATACATGTGTTGGAGGAAATCCTGTCCAACATTACAATTAAGAACCAAGAAGAAGCAAAAAATGCATAAATGTGTTGTGTACAACTTTTTTATAAAGCCATTTATATATACTGTACATTTAATGATATATACATATTTTTTAAACTTCTATTGGAGACACTCATTGAATTAATGCCATGCTAATTAAAATAACCTCTGCTGCATGACACCAACCCCTCCTCCTCACTTAAATCCCCTCATCACTTTTTAAAAATTTAGTCTGTTATGCAGGGGTCAGTGTGGTTGGGTTGGTAAAGCTCATGGTTGCTAAACCAAAAAGTCCAGAGTTCAAACCCCTGGGCAGATGAGGCTCAATAGCTGGGAGCAGTAATTCATCTAAGAGAAAAAACTAAATCAAACAACTGTTAACAGCCTTCTTGGCATATGTTAAGTTGAAATGTAATATTTATTTTGGAAGAAATACTGTCCAGCATTACAATTAAGAACAAGAATTTTTTTTTATAGGGTGTCCCCTATGTGCTATTGCATACAGGTCTATTGAATGTGCATATTTTTTTTTAAAACATTTGTATCAAATAAAAGTGGTTGAAAAATAAATTAAAGATTCTTTTTCAATAAAAAGATAAAATCTTTATTATTTTCATAATGGTTAAAAATTTGCTAATATATTTCAATACATAAAGTGTAATCCAAAAGTCCGATGAATACTGATTATAATGCTGTTATAGCCGCTTTATCACAAATCATGTCATGCATTAATAAATAGATTATTTACATAACATAACATTTTCTACAAATTTAATAAATATAACTTTACAATGTTTCCAAGAGATTTCTTATTTAAAAATATCTTGCCGTCTCCTTTAAATGAAAAAATATTTATAAAAAATATTTATATCAGTCATAATTAATAATTTGAAGGATAAAAATGGGAAACTGTTTGATACCTTTTAAAATACTTTAAACCATTTTTGGCACATCAAAGTAATAAGTAGTCTAGTAAACACACTTTTTTTTTTATTAGGTTCTAAAGGAATCCTCCAAAATCATCTGCAATTTTATTTTTGAAACCCTAAAGCTTTTTTAGATTATAATATAAGTTACAGCCATCATATTTAACATTTAATAAAAATTTAAACATGATACATAAATTGAGAATAATGCAAAATACATGAAACAAAATTTTAACAGCACATTTTAAAGTACAAATCAGTCTATATTCTAAATTCATTTTAAACTTTTTTTGGCAAATAATTTTTATGCTTCCGCTTCTTTTTTTGCTTAGCAAACTATAAAATTATTAAACATAAAAAATTTTTAAAGTTGCCTGTTTTGAATTAAACATGCAAATGAAACCCTCAGAATGATTCCTTAATAGTGCTTGAAAATGGTTGATTTTTTAAAAAGTTAGCATCAGCAGAAGAAAAAAATTAAACTTTATCAGATAGAATAAAAATGCTATTGAACTAGTTATTAGAAAAAATAAACATATTCTTATCTTATTCACAGTCACAAAGCTAATATGTAGAAAAACCTGTATTTTCAATCTTTTTCCCCCACATATTTCCCCTTGAAAAATTGGCTACTTTATATTTTATAACTGTAACTGCATACAAATTAATGCTGAGATGTATTATGTGTCCTACAATCATGCCATGAATCCAGATTGAGTAGCGTTGCTGTGTCTTTGGATCATATCATGTATCCATTCTGTATAGTAAGCCACTCGTGTAAACACACTAGGGTAGCCTGTTGTTTGGCAACCACTTACACCCCATGATGTCACACCTGCCAGGTAGTGGTAACCATTGCGTCGACAAACAAGTGGACCACCTGAATCTCCCTGAAAGAGATCACATAATTTATTTATATTTTGTTACATTCACTCATTCCTTTGATTCCAGAAAGAATTAAGGAGCAATGCTTTGGAGTAAAACATCCTTTAACTTAACACACTGGATGAAAGAGTATATTATTTAAAAAATGAATGAATGATGCTGTTATAACAACAGTTTTTGATAGGTGTAAAGAGAGATAATGTTTCAAGTTTAATTAATGCAATAATTTCATTTAAAAGTGGAAGCATGTATTTTGTTACAGACTTCCATGACTTATAAATCATTTGACTGGACAATGGTAAAAAGGAGTACTCACATTACATGCTCCTCTGTCTCCATTGCCCACACATACATGAGAGTTGAGAATTCTCTTCCAGCCCCACCTGGCTGAACATTCAGAATTTTTTCTGATGTTCACCTCTAGTTCCATCAGTTCTGTTTCTACATGATCTTATCAGAGTAAAAAAATAAACTAGAAAATAATAAAGAAAAATGAAGAAGTAAGAATAAAATCACTCACATATTCTGTAGATGTAATCATTTGTGTATACTCTATAGCAGGGGTCTCCAAACTTTTCAGCTGGAGGGCCGCATTAACTATCAAATATCAGTTCGGGGGCCAGAGTTTCTTTAAGGCATCTCTTCAGGGTCGTGGCGCCTCCCCCCCCCCCCCCCCGAAGAACGTCTAACCCCCCCCCCTCAAGCAAAATATAATTTAAATAGAAATATATACAAATTTCAAGTGTGCAACCCCCCCCCCCCCCCCATCCAAGGTCCACGTTTGCTCTCAAATTGTTCGTCACGTATTTCATTCTTGAAAATGTTTGTTCACACAGGTATGTTGTTCAAAAATTTGAAAGATACTTTGATGCAACAGTTTTAATGTCTCTAAGGAAGTCATTTTCTTGCAATTCAGTGACCTACAGATGCAGTTAATCTTTGCAACTGGCCACATTTGCTTCGAATGGGCTTTGAAACAGTCTCATTTCTTCTGCCTTTGAATCCAAGTCAGAAAACCGCTACTGAAACGGCAGCTGGAGGTCTTTAATGATCTCGTATGTAAATGACGTGGGGAACTCAGTGGTTGCTTCAGCCGTAAAGACCTTACACTGCTGAAAGTGTGCCAAGTTATTAGCCTATACTTGTTCCAAAAACATGACAAGTTTGTATCTAAAGGCCTTTAGATGGGTGTATAAATCAGAAACTAGATTTCACTCTCTTGACGTTTTAGGTTCAGAAAAATTAAATGACTAGTTATGTCTGCAGCAGAGGCCGATTTCTATACCCACTCTTCATCAGACAATAATGGCTGTGACTTGCCTTTACTATCAAGAAGTCACATATTTCTTTTCTTAGATACTCTGTGAAATATGGTAAATCTTGCGATTTTGTGTTTGTCTCTGAACTATCTATGGTTAGATATCCTCTTCGGTAACAGTGGCATACATTATATGTAGGGAAGCCAGCTCTTGTGCTATGTTCAGGTCTTCATCCACACCTCTAATGAACACAAAACATTGAGAGGTGAAACAGCTGTCCAGCGACTCATCCATTGCAATTGAAAAATGGCGAAACTTGGTTGAATTTTTCGCTATTTGAGTTGCAATGTTTTCACTGCAAGTAATTGTATTTGCACACAAAGCTACATTTTCAAATAGTTTTGAATTTTCTGTGCATAGCTGCTCAGCCACCTCCAACAAACATTTATTCAGTGGACAAAAAGATTGTCGCGGGCCGGATAAAATGACCTCGCGGGCCACATCCGGCCCGCTGGCCATAGTTTGGAGACCCCTGCTCTATAGTTAAGTAGCTATCTAGAACTTTACCCCCAAGCCGATTGTCCCCCTCCAGTGATCATTACTCTCCTGCCATTAACCCTCATATTAACTAAACCCTATCAATTAAACCAATAAGTAATAACTCCCCCCCCCCCCCACACACACACCTTTTTTTTGTGAACATCTGCTATTATTTATACTTAAAATTTAAAAATAATAGAAACAGGAAACTGGCTAAGGGCTTATGCATTATAGAACATTTACTGATCTGGCCCTATCACTAACCCTGTCTCTATCAGTATCATCAACCCTAAACAGATGGGGTGGGAGGGGGGAGCATAATTGAAATGGGGTAATTTCTGCTGCTATTAAATACACAAGAGAATATGAATTTGGGCTATCTTCGTTTTCCTATGTGGCTGGGCATACTTCTGACCATACTATCCCTACATACTACATACGCAGAGGTCACTAAAACATGAGAACTCTTTTAATTCTTTTAATTTAATTTTTCAAAATCTTTCCAATTTTTTTTTTTAAATCTATTAAATAGAAAGATAAAAGATGTGGTGCACTACCAGCCAACTATATCCACAATAGAAATTTAAATGCCTGAATGGGTTGATATCATTTTTGCCACACTTCAGGACTATCACAAAAGGTAGGTCATATCCCACTTTCTAACTAAATTTGTAATTGTATAGGCCAAATAGGTGATCTATCATTTAGCTCATTTTAGTTCTTCATAATTTAAATATAATGCAGTGTTCAGCACCAGGGTAATGCTGTGCATAAACTGTCTGCATTTCCTATTCAGTATCTATTTATCCTTATGAAATAAAAACCCATAAACTGTCTGCATTTCCTATTCAGTATCTATTTATCCTTATGAAATAAAAACCCATAAACTGTCTGCATTTCCTATTCAGTATCTATTTATCCTTTTGAAATAAAAACCCAGTTGAAGATATTTTTAAAAAAATATTTTTACAAATTAAAATACTTCAATAGTTTTTTCAATTTTTTTTTTAATTTAGAAGCCCAACAAAGCTGCATTTTTACTAATTATCATTTATTATACCTCTCTTTTAGGTAATAATGTGCAGATATATTTAATTAAGATAGATTAATTAATTTGGGTTTGCCATTACCACGCGTTAAAGCTGGATTCTTTTATTGTTATGGTCAGTTTACATGGGCATAAAGCTGTTTAAATTGAGATTTTGAAGTCTTATAAAATTTCAAAATCATTAAAAATAGGTTAGCAGATAAAAGGCTGACATTGACAAAAGGTCAACATGGTCAAGAGGCCAATGGAAATAAGGCTGACATCCATAATTTAATAAAACAGTACTCAAATTACAGACTTTACAAAACAAGTGTTTAGTATTAAAAAAAAACAAGTTACATGATGATGAAATTACAACAGAAAAAATAAGGGCCTACTATGATAAATTGTATGCTATGCCATGTAAAAAATTAAGTGTACTTTCTGTTGACACATTCTGCATTTAAAATTTAATATCCTAACCCCTTTCTTTAAATATTGTTTATTTAGTATTTGGGAGGTTCATCAAGCAATATTGCCTCCATCTCAACTTCCAATCTTTGTTGTTCCTGTTTTACTTTTTTGAGCAAACAAAAGACTCCAGGGTAATCTTTTCCGATGATTACCTGTCACCCCTCAGCTGTGTTTTGGGTCCAACCTATTTATCCTTTGTATACTTCGTCATCTCCAGTCTTAACTGACCTGATTGTTCACCTTATAAGGAGAGCAACTAGCATTGTGACTTGGCATTCCACCTTACTGCATCAGGATGATGATGCCAGTGTCTTTCAGCTTTGTTCTTGGATGTTTGTCAGACCTTGTTGACATAGAAGGAGCTATGCCAGACAGTAGTGACCAATATTTAGGTGTTCGCGTAATCTCCAGTCCCTTGGACTCATTGGTTCATCTTGCAAGAATAGCAACTACCCTTATTGCCAGTGGGCGATGATGACCGGCAGCCATTGACTTTGTTCATTGATTGTTATCTAAAGAGGAGCTATGTAGTAACCCATATATTGCTATATTAGTAATAGGTGCATACCCGTGTTACACCACGGCGAATCTTTTTAAATGTACCAAGTTCAAGGATGCTGAACTGAAAAGTCCTGAGCTCAAAACCCTGTAAATCCATTACTGGTTATGTACAGGGTGTAACAAACCTGGGAAGGTAATGGCTGAAGTGGTGGAGGTAATGAGAGGGTGGGGGAGTGAGAAATGACCAGGGGGGGGGGGGTTATTAAGTTTGTTAATGTCAATCTCTCGACTCAATTTTATTCACCCATCCATTTCTGCTCTTTACACATCGTAGTAGAATAGACCTCCCCCCTTTCAATACTGATGTCAATTAGGGACTGCCCACTCTAGCACCTGTTAGCAGTAAGTTTCATTAACCTTATTTCTAACCAAACTCCAACCACTTTACTAATAATTAGTTTGACCTTCTTCAGCACTTAATCCAAGAGAAACTCCAATCTACCCTAAGCTATAGCACATTCACTTTAAATAATACATGTTTTGGGGACCTATTGCAGATACACCTGATAATTGCTACAAATCGCACTCCTATGTTTTTTTTTAACTCTATTATCTTAACGGAGGAGTATGATAAACAAAGTCTATTCTAAGGGTGTAGGACTAAGGCCGACAATAGCTTTGCGTGTGTGTGTGTGTGTGTTTCTGGCTGTGACTAAGGTTAAGGTAGGAGTTAGTGTTTTATAGAAGGTGAGGGGTACTACTTGCTTCAATGGTCAAACCAGGACCCCAGCGGTTGTATGCCCTGTTGCGGTTGTATGCCCTGTTGCGCCCTGGGATATGCCATGAGCAGTATGACACCTTCATTTTAAATAGTACCCTTAGCTAAAGAAAAACAATGACTAAATTGAACCAGGGTTGTCACTCAGCCCCCTGGCAGTAGAGCCCGGTGTTTCCCATCAGCTACCTGGTGGGATACAAGTTGAGTACCCTACAATAGTGACATGGTAGGCTTATACATTCAATGACTAAACTGAACAAGAGAGTGCCCTGTGACGCTACCTCACTTTTTGTGGACAAACCCACACTCCAACAACTAAGATCCCAGAATCATTGCACTGGTTTTGTTTACATAACTCTGTTTTAGAAAACAAGGTCATACAATTAGTAACACGTTGATGAACCCCTTACAAAATGTTATGCCACTCTGTGTGTACGGCTAGGGTATGTTAGAATTTAACATTTTCTAGCAATATTCATGTTCTTTTTATTTTATATGTGTGATAGTGGGAACAAGAGGATATGTTGATGTTGTTTTATATGCAACCTGAATCTGCAACCAATATTTTAGACTTGATTGAAAATTACACAACAGTTAACAGTTAATTCTTTTGAAAAAATATTTAAGTTATATTTGTGAAAAAAACATATCTTACATGTTGACAACAAAATTAATTGTCCCTATAGTCATTGCCAAAGATTTAAGTGTCTTCATTTAGAATTAATTGAAGATTTTTAATTGATTTTTTTTTAAATATTGACTTTGCCATTCTTTGTGAATTTTTTAAGTGTTATATTGAATTTCTAACCACAAACAATGAGTGTTTAAACACTATTCTTTAAAAAGTATTGTAAATGCATAAATAGGATGTTAAAAGCAATAGTTTATTAAAGAAATAAAGTGAGACTGATCTCCCTTAAACTTTATATATATTCTTGTATAACGATAAAGGTTGGGAATTGCACTTCCAGTGACATCAGGCTTAAGAATTATAGAAGTTTGTGACAAACCACTCATCTTTTGTTAAAAACACACAGAGGTGAACATTTCTCACAATTTGCTTCTTGAGAAAGTGAAATAAATTATTAAATTCTTGGGTTTTTTGAAAAAGTGGAAATAGAGCAAAATACCCCAATATAAAGGACTAATTTTTCACCCTCTTATACACACTCCAAACTAAAGTTGAAAGAAGGACTGATGCACCAAAAGTGATATTACATTATCAAATTTTTGAGGATTTTTTGTTTTTGAGAAATTGGAAATAACTAAAAGTACTACTTTCTGTCGCTGGAAATTATTTGAAGGAATCAAGGGACTAAGATCAGTAAATGAAATTTCATCCTATGGGGTATTTGAGTAACTGGAAGAAGAGTGAAGTACCACTTCTACTCTAGGTATAGAAGGCCACTCAAACTTTGAGAGTAATCCTAGTATAAGATCTTACACTTTACTTATATATTAAATTTTCTCTACCTAACTGAAAGAAGGCCTACTTAAGTTGTGTTCCCACAGAAATAAAGTACAACTTCCCATTATGGAAAATTATTCTAAACTTTATAAAATCCTGTGCATACAATGAAATAGCTATATTTGAAATTTCGTCTACCTAATTTAAACTCAATAAACTATACTAAGTTATAGGTTTTTGAAAAACCTGAAGTAAAGTAAGTACCACTTCCGGTAACCAAAATCATTCAAGTGTTGAAAAAAACTATACATTTGTTATAATACTTATAAATGGAATCTTGTCAACCTAAATGAAACGGACCTCATGTTCTAGTGTTTACATACACACAAACACTGACAGACAGGATTGCAAAACAAAGATTTGGCTGGTCCAAGAGGTTGTAAAGCATTAAAAGTTGTCAAAATGTCAATTTTTATATTCTGTATATGATAAAGTAGGGTGTTTTCAAACTGCAAAAACTGTCAAAATCTCATATAAATTTTGTGAAGTATAAAAATGCAAAATATATTATAATATAATGACTCATCTCAAATTTGTGATTATTTTTTATATTTTTTGTAAGTTTAAAAAATATTATTTCATGGAACATTGTCACTTTTATAAATCTATCTGTCAATGTGAAAAAGGGCTGATGTATCTATTTATGATAATAAAATAAAGTTTAATTTAATGTTGGATCTCTTACTTTCTATTCCTTTTCAGTGGCGGAACTAGAAAAAAAGGGCCACCCCGCAAAAAAATTTTTGGGCCCCCTCCTATATATATATATATATATATATATATATATATATATATATATATATATATATATATATATACAAACACAGAATACAAACATTTTTTGAAAAAAAAATTTCTTTTGTTTCAATTTGAACAAATTACAACAAATAATGTGTGTGACTGCATTAGTCTGCTTCAAAAATTTATTTTTTTAGATTTAGAACTAGATCGATGTAATACTTCCTACCCCTTACCCTTTATCCGGTCAAAAGAATATAAAACATGAAAGCTTTGTAGGTGTAATGGTTTCTCGTGTTATGTTTATTTTTAATGTTTTTTGTAGTTTTATTATTTGTTTTAAATATATTTCATTTTTATGCTCTGTCATGTTTAGTATGTTTTTTTTCAAATAATAAGAAAGAGAAGTAATTGCTTTTTAATTTGTTTAGTACACATATATTAAAAGGAGTTTATGAACACCCCTATTTAACTATTTAAAAAAGGGAAATAAGTCATGGAAGTGTTTTAAACGTTTGCCTATCTTTCACATTACAGCTACGAATATATTTTTTTACGCAACAGCATTTGTTATCTACTGTATAACATCGCTAATGTAGTAGATCTGTTTGTTATTTACAAAAGCTTTTACAGTCAAGTCAAAAATCCAAGAAAATTATTTTTTTTTACTATAAAAAATGTATTATGGTCGGCTATGGGCCCCTAAATGGCTAGGGCCCCCCCCCCCCCCCCCGCATTGCGGGGTCTGGCGGCACTGTAGTTCCGCCCCTGTTCCTTTTATAACTTCCACATACAAGTTTGAATGTTGACCATTTCCATGGCATATATTCACTTTTGATATCCACTAAAGTATGACTCATCAAAATAAGTGAATTGAATATAATTTAAGGTGCTGCTTTACTTGTATAACTCATGGTCCAAATGTTAGCCTATCAATTAATTAATGATTTTAAAAAATCATTTATTAACTCAGTTTTGTTTTATTTTTTATTCTGGTAAAATTAAAACTCTTCCAATAGTGCAGTTAACAACTATTTTTTCCTGTTTGACAAAGAATATTGTAAAGAGTCAATGCTGTAGCCTGATTCAAAGTAAACGGGTCTAAAAAGTTGGCTGCTCATTTCACTTTCATATGTTTACGTAAAAGAAGATATAAAGGGAAGAGAGAAAAGAGTCAATGCACCCAAGATCTATTAAAAAGTATACTCTTGAAGATAGAGCTATTAATACTTACATACCTTTAGCTTCTCCCCATCCCATAATCCAACATTCTTCCCATTCACGCTGGATTCTCTCTTTTTCTGGGAGGCATGCATGGCGAATATCAAAGCTGGATACATCAGCAGGTTTAGCCAATCGAAGTAAAGCAATATCATTTGGGTAGTTGTCTCCATTTACAAATTCTGGATGCTGTTACATGAATATATGTTAAGACAAGCTGATTAAATAAAGGTATTTGCCTATTTGGTAATGTCCTGTTTATGTTTAAATAAGCCTATATGTAGGCTAATAATAATTATTATTATTATTTAAAATTTGAGCTTGTAATAAAACATTCAGTAATGAATTACTTCTTGTGAGTGGTGGGTCAAGATATGTATATAAGTTACTTATTAGTGAAAAGTCTGCTCTTTTAGATCTGATGATAAGAAATTACATAGGGCTACAAATAATGTATGGGACAGAGTGGTCTAGCGGTAGAGAGCTGGACTGCTAACCGTAAGTCTCGAGTTCGAATCCCGGTTCAAGTCAGTAGACCATCCCTGAGTCCACCCAACTCTGATGGGTACCTAACTCACACTAGGGAAAGTAAAGGCGGCTGGGCATAGTGCTGACCACACTATCTCTTCAGATGCCGAGGTCACAGAAACAATTGAACTCTACTTCAGTTGCCCCATAGACCGTAAGGTTTGAAAGGGAAACTTTTACAAATAATGTGATTTCAGTTGACTGAGATAAACTGGTTTGTGACATACTGCTAAAACAAATTTGAAGGTTTTTAAGAGTTTCCTAACTTATACTATTTAAGTGTAAGTCTACGAACTAAAACTTTAATTAGGCTGGCTAATAGTTTAAAAAACCTCACTCAAACTAGAAAATTTCAATTCAGTTACATGATGATCTCAAAAAGCTGTTGGAATTTAAAAAGGATTGTGAAATTCAGTTTTCACTGAGTGCAATCATAGACGTGCGTATTACTAGCATCGGTGATCCATAAATCATATGTCAACACATTTCAAAAAGTAAAAGCCTTAACAATTAAGTGTAGGCCTATTTCCAGGTGGAAATTAGAAATTTCAAATAAAATATCAAAGTCTCCTACAAACATTGAATTGTAGATTTCTAAAAAATTAATAGAGTGGTGATGGCGGAATAAAATATTACAGTGTAGGGGTTGGGTCCAAATGTTGCCATTTTGTTATATATGGGCACAATAATTTATACTATAAAGTTTATAGGTTTTGAAAATAGTCACTCAGAATTTACCAGCGTCAACTCCACTATATAGATCTACTAGGCATACTGCCTAGCTTCGCTTAGGTTTTCAAAAAAGTTGAGAAATTGAATGATTAATTAATAGGTGATTGGCTGTTATGTTAAAAGCTTAGGGCCTAAATTTATTCAGTGTGGTAGTTTTATCGTACACATAAATTGATGGAATATTCGCAAACTTATTACTCGCAAGGTTATTAGAACTGAAAGGGCTTTCATAAAAATTATCAATCAAATATTATATTAAATTACTTTTGCAATTAATTATACAATTTCAATACAATACAAAACTTAATTTATAACAAAATATTTGTTTAAAACAATGCTGCACGTTGTGATTTTTGTTTATTCTTAAAAAGAGTATACAAAATATAAAAAAAAAATTGTTACATTAAAAAGTTACCTCCCCTGTTCATAAACAAAATGACCAAATCTCGTATAATGAGAATTTCACTCGCATTTTTTTAGCCCTCTTCGAGGGCTTTGATGCTGACCAACAGTTTTTCCATACGGCCCAGTCATCTATAGAGGTGTATGCAAAAAATTAGCCAGTTATACAAAGAGTAAGTACCCTAAAATTTGTGTAGAAATTACCCTGTTTTCCCCATAAAATACAATGTTTATATAGGGAAATACAACTGGTCAGTTTTGACCCATTTCCCGATTTTTTCCAGACATGGCGAGTTTTTTGTGACACCCCCAGGCATTCTCCTACCACCTCACAAAATTTCAAGGGGGGTCGTCGGAGGAAATTTTTTTCGTAATATAGCTCATATAATGAGAATTTCACTCGCGGTCACTTTTTAGCCCTCGTCGAGGGCTTTGAGTGTAACCGACAGTTTTCCCTAAAGGTCAAGCCATTGACCTAGGAGCATGCAAAAAATTAGCCAGATATACTGAGCTTAAGTACCCTAAAGTCTGCGTTGAAATGACCCTCTGTTTTTCCCATAAAATACAAAGATTATATAGGGAAATACAACTGGTCAGTTTTGACCGCTTTACGAAGTTTTCCCAGATATGCCGAGTTTTTTGTGACACCCCTGCGTGTTCTTCTACCACCTCACAAAATATCAAGGGGGGTCGTCGGAGGAAAATTTTTTTCTTAATAGAGCTCATATAAAGAGAATTTCACTCGCGGTCACTTTTTAGCCCTCGTCGAGGGCTTTGAGTGTAACCGACAGTTTTACCCAAAGGTCAAGCCATTGACCTAGGAGCATGCAAAAAATTAGCCAGATATACTGAGCTTAAGTACCTTAAAGTCTGCGTTGAAATGACCCTCTGTTTTTCCCATAAAATACAAAGATTATATAGGGAAATACGACTGGTCAGTTTTGACCGCTTTACGAAGTTTTCCCAGATATGGCGAGTTTTTTGTGACACCCCAAGGCGTTCTGCTACCACCTCACAAAATATCAAGGGGGGTCGTCGGAGGAAATTTTTTTTCGTAATAGAGCTCATATAAAGAGAATTTCACTCGCGGTCACTTTTTAGCCCTCGTCGAGGGCTTTGAGTAAGACCGACAGGTCTGCCCTACGGTCAAGCCATTTACCTATAAACATGCCAAAAATTAGCCAGATGTAAAGAGGGTAAGTGCCCTAAAATCCGTTTTGAAATGACCCTCTGTTTTTCCCATAAAATACAAAGATTATATAGGGAAATACGACTGGTCAGTTTTGACCGCTTTACGAAGTTTTCCCAGATATGGCGAGTTTTTTGTGACACCCCAAGGCGTTCTGCTACCACCTCACAAAATATCAAGGGGGGTCGTCGGAGGAAATTTTTTTTCGTAATAGAGCTCATATAAAGAGAATTTCACTCGCGGTCACTTTTTAGCCCTCGTCGAGGGCTTTGAGTAAGACCGACAGGTCTGCCCTACGGTCAAGCCATTTACCTATAAACATGCCAAAAATTAGCCAGATGTAAAGAGGGTAAGTGCCCTAAAATCCGTTTTGAAATGACCCTCTGTTTTTCCCATAAAATACAAAGATTATATAGGGAAATACGACTGGTCAGTTTTGACCCATTTCCCGATTTTTCCCGGACATGGCGAGTTTTTTGTGACACCACAAGGCGTTCTCCTACCACCTCACAAAATTTCAAGGGGGGTCGTCGGAGGAAATTTTTTTTCGTAATATAGCCCATATAAGGCGCCGGTCAGTCGAGGTCAGTTTTGACCCCCTCTCAGTAGACTTTTCGGCCAACTGTCACCGGCCCTCGTGTTCTATCGCCCCAAGGCACCATCGTGCCAAATTTGACGCGCCTGCGGCGCCGGGAAGTGCCCTATCGGGCACTTGACCACTTTGCTTTATATATATAGATATCTTTTGTGATGAAAAGGATGTATATAATAATGAAGCAGGTAATACTATTGCACATGATGGTTAATAATAATAATAGAAGGACGCTATATCGTGATTTTACCCACAAACTATGTTGAGAATTTAAACATTGTGAATAAAAATAATTCAGCTTTAGAACTAAAAATCAGCATTTTACTTTACTTTTTCCCCTCTTGGCCATGGCATCTGACCTTTCTGACTCTTTGCTAAGCAACTGGTGCAGATATATATATATATATAATATTTTATATATATATATATATATATATATATATATATATATATATATAATATATATATATATATATATATATATATATATATATATATATATATATATATGTGTGTATAGTGTGCTTGTAGATTTATGTATGTGAAATTTATAAAAAAAAAAAGTATTTTCTCCACCAGTATTAAAGAACAATGTAGGCCTATTTACATCTAAAATGTTTTTATATTTTATTTAGAATCCGTGGCCTGCCCCCCTCCCCCCCCCCCCACCCCTCTGCACGCCACTGATTTTGATAGATCTAATCAGTAATCATTAAACAAAAAATAAAACGCTATATTGATGTCTGACATTGACTGTTGTTAGCAATGGCCATACAAAGTCATAGCTTCGCTGTAGGATGCTGAGAACAACTGACAAACTGGTATTACTAATAGTATAATACTATTAGCAAACGTCAAAGCGTTGTACGTTAAATCTCACCATGCACAGCAAGCCTTCACAACCCGCAAGGCTTATCGGTTAACCCGGCCTTTGAAGTTTAAACAAAACCGCGGTCAAGCTGGTCAGTAAGGACAAATATTTAAAGTAAAGCCGTTTGTTAAATGTTTACCTTGACAATATAGTCAACGCTTTGTGTTGATCCGTGTTGCCAGAAAACAGCTCTCCATTCGTCAGCGCTGTTAAAATCAGGTCTAAAGGATCATATAAAATATAAAATTAACCAGTCCATAAAGACAGTTATGATGACTTAAATCACCTAGACACAGGGGCGTAGCGAGGGGGGGCGGGGGGTGCGGACCGCACCGGGTGACACCATTTAGGGGGGTGACACCAAGGCAAAAAAATAGCAAAATATATAGAGAAAAACTTGAGGGGGGGGGTGCAAATCGAAAGTTTGAGGGGGGGGGTGCAAATCGAAAACTTGAGGGGGGGGGTGCAAATCAAAAACTTGAGGGGGGGGGTGCAAATCGAAAGTTTGAGGGGGGGTTGCAAATCGAAAATTTGAAAGTTTGTCCCTGGGAAGGGTCTCTATGCCTCTGGGGGGGTGACACCATTAAGTGCCGCACCGGGTGACACCCGACCTCGCTACGCCACTGCCTAATACAAATACGTGCTAGGGGTCGTCCACAAATAATACACGGGGGTCGGGGGAAGTAAAAAATGTTCAAAAAAGTCGTCATTTAAAGATGACCTCTCAAGAAAACATCGAGTTTATGACTTTAAGTTTTCTTTATTGCTAGCTAGCTACAGAGCAACGAATTTTATAATTATAGATTTTATGTGTGAACATCACAAATGTATTACATGAGGGTCTACGAGGGTGGAGGGGGGGTTCTAACTGTTCTCTACACCTCCTAACACCTCTTTGCCTATGCCACTATTGATATAGTGATATAGTGTGTGAATTTAAGATAATAACTGTGGTTCTATGACATTCAAATTTAAATGTGGGGAGGGAGGATCATATCCCTTAACTCCCGCCCTGCCCTCGCCACTGCTATGGATCCTTTAATCTTAGCAAGTAATGGCATTTACATTTTATGGAAGGTGTAAGGCTTTTTTGTTGTTACGTAACTGTTTTATTGTTTGTTTGTTTTCTTTAAACATCCCACCACTGGTTCCATCGAGGAAACATGTGAACTAGAACAATCAAACCTTCGCTAAATGTAATTTTGGTTTATTTAAAGAACTTACCCAGCCACACAATGAGCCGCTGTCACTACCCATTGTGGATGTATTAAAGTAGCACCACACACGTGTCTGCGAGCCCAAGACAGTTGAAGCGATACAACCCAAGGCCACCGCCCACGACGTGCAGGCAAGCCGCCAACTATCAAACTTGTTACTGAGACTCCACATTCTGTTGTGTGCGGTAGAGAAAAGAAAACAAATTAGGTGAGGTTTTCTTCAGCTCGTATTCCCATTACCGATAATATCTATAGGAGTGTAATAATGTAAGCTTAATACTCGACAGTAACGTAAACGGAGTTTTGCGAAAATATATATGTATATATATATATATATATATATATATATATATATATATAGAGAGAGAGAGAGAGAGAGAGAGAGAGAGAGAGAGAGAGAGTGACATATATATAAATATATATATATATATATATATATATATATATATATATATATATATATATATATATATATATATATATATATATATATATATATATACACACACACACACAAAGCATTCAAACGATAATTATCCTCATGAATTATGGGGAAGTTGTAGGCCTATAATGAATTATACCTATTGTGCAGAAAACATAGGAAGGGTGTAGCAGATATAACAGTGGTCTAATGCATTGCTCTCACCTGGCATGAATGTTGGACTGGTTGTGTTATACGACTCTGTTGTTTTGGTCACTTGTTCAGTTGTCTCCGAGTCGTTGGGCGACTTGGTTGCAATTTCGATCCACCAACTAGTCTGAGTTGACTGAGGTACTGTCCCAGAAATGTCAACCATTTGTGTGGATGAGTCGTCTGATTCTTGGACAATTTTGTAGGTAGGCTCACTGTTGTTGTGTATAGCGCTGTTCGAGTTTGTTAGTTTGTTTTTAACACGAAGTTTCTTTGTGCGTTCCTTTTTCTTGCGTTGCTTTAGATGATTGATGCGATAACGTTTACGAGATGACGGGCTCACAGTTCCGATATAAATTGGCGCCTGGGTTGTAGTTTCTGTTTTCTCCGCACCTGTTGTTTTTTGTAAAGGTTTTAATGTTGTTTGTACTAAATCGCCAAAACGAGTCCAGTAACGGCTTTTGGTGTTGCTGAGACTTTTTTTAGTAGTTGGCTTTGAGGACTGTTTAATTTTCCGTTTGACGTAAAACCTAGTCACTTGCTTCAACTCAACATGGCCATCATTTTGCTGGGAACTTGTTTCTGTGGTCTTTGGCGAGGCGTAATTGCCGAGCTTGTCTCGAAAAGCAGGGTTCACTCGTCGCATCCCTGTTTTAAATTGGCGTCCAATGCCGTGAAAATCTTTTGGATTGAACTCTGGGTGATACCTCGGATCGTCTTCTTTCCCCCAGGAACTGGTCAGTTCAACAATGGGAACCTCTGTCGATGTTGTTGTTGAACTAGATAGATCAATTGTTGAAGGGGATTGGGTTGTTGATAAGAATGCCCATTGATTTGAACCTTGCTTTTTAAAGTCGTCGTTGCCGTCTTGTAAAAGAAGAGCTTTGGAATTATTTTCTTTCCCATTGAAACAATCGTCCCACCTAGATTTTAGAGGTACACAGTTGGTCACTCTGTTGGACCAGACTTCGTTATTCGGACAGGACATGACAGCAGCAACCTTATTTCTGGCACAAACAAAGAAAACGGTACATTCCCTGTCGTCTCTAACCCATTGCAGCTTTGTATGATGACAAGGACTTTTTGCCATGTATGCTTGCAAAAGAACTTGGTCCGTCAGCTCCTTGTACATGGTCGGTTTCCTGTTTTCACTATCGTCTGTTGGATGATCATTGTAAAATGTGTACTCGCCGTTAGATCTCAACATGTCTTTAGCCCTTTTGGCCACTGGGAGTTGACCTGAGTCGGACATAAAATAACTACTGTCCAACACTCGTCTGCTACGATACAAACTGATACGTGGTCGTTTGCTGGAGCTCATTTCTTCTTGCAAACTGACTGTTGTCATTCCGGTCATTGGTGATTTGGAAAAATCTGTTGGCACATAAGAAATATGTGTTTCTCTTTGTGGATAGAGAAACCTCAAATTGTTATATACTGATCGTCGGTGTCGCCTCATTGAAAATAAGCGTGATATATGCTTACGCCCAGCGCCTATGGGAAAATTGCTACTGGGAACAAGTTGCAATTCAGCTTCATTTCCTCTAACATCAATGAAAGAATTATCGTGTTTATTATGCCCACTAACTGAAGAAATTGTAACCAGAAAATACGCAATTAACAACAATCTATAGTCTTTGTAATTGTTTTTTTGTATTATTCCGAGTTCTTGTCTCTGCCATTTTTGATAAGGCGCTAGATCGTAAGGAATAAAGTACAATTTCTTTACCTTATTCATGTTTGTATATTTTTTTACATTGAGTAGTTATTAAAACACTTCCACGGTAAAACGTGATCTAGTCAACTCCGCGAAGTCCACCGCAAACAGACACAATTAAAAGTTACCAAAGAATATATCCACAATTGATACAGTAGACGAATATACACAGAAGTCAATTAAAAATGAGCAGCTTCTGAATTTTTAAAATCCGAATTCTGTGAGGGAAAGTCAAGATTTGATCCTTCAACGTTGGTCATGTTATCGCGCGACTAGAAAGAGATTCTCAGGACGTTTATTTCTCCGAGATCTTTTTGGGCAAAGCTATCGTCAAACACAGACGTTTCAGGTCTGTCTTTCTCGAAACTCTCGCCCTAATCTGCTGCGATTTGAAAAATCTCTGGCCGTCCGGCCGTTAGAAATGATGTTAAATACCCCCACGTAGTGATGCGAGCCCCGACGTGATGTGTTTATTCCTCTCCCCCTCCCCATTAAACCCATTCGCTTCCGCTAACGCTACTGGTCTAACGAAGGGAAGGACATGACGTCCGGCGACAATCTAATGGCCCCTATAGAGCAATGTTTGCCTCTGTCCAGGTTTATTGGGAAACGCGTTCTTCGATAAACAACCCCCCCCCCCCCCCCCTTATGTTCCTTCCCTTCCTAAGCCCCTCCTTCTGTGGGATGACTTGGAAAAAATGTCTCGGTCTTACTATTTGTTTCTTGGACTGAACGAAAAGAATTGGAATTGCAACTGAAATATTTTTGACAAATCGCATAGGCCTAGTCCATTTGTATGCCGAAGCTAAACTGATAGGTTACTTGACAGTTGGAGTATTTTTTATTTTAACCTAAATATAAAGTGTTATGAAATACGGGAAACGAAGCTTTTAAAAGCGACATTTAGGCCTAAACAAACTGACACTTGAGAAAGTGTGGTTTCGACGTGTTTATAAGTTTGGTGTAAGCTCAAGCAGGGTTTCTTTTAGACCTTTTCGGAAAGGAAGGGGGGGCAAGGGGACACTAGTTAGTGGCGTAGCGAGGTCGGGAGTCACCCGGTGCGGCACTCAATGGTGTCACCCCCCCCCCCCCCCAGAGGCATAGAGACCCTTCCCAGGGACAAACTTTCAAATTTTCGATTTGCCCCCCCCCCTTAAACTTTCGATTTGCACCCCCCCCCTCTAACTTTCGATTTGCACCCCCCCTTCAAACTTTCGATTTGCATCCCCCCCTCGAGTTTTTCTCTATATATTTTGCTATTTTTTGCCTTGGTGTCACCCCCCTAAATGGTGTCACCGGTGCGGTCCGCACCCCCCGCCCCCCCCCCACTCGCTACGCCCCTGACACTAGTATAAGTATATATATATATATATATATATATATATATATATATATATATATATATATATATATATATATATATATATATATATATACATTCTATTTCGTTCGGGGTAAGGGCCGTTAGATGTGGTTCGCGGGGGGGGGGGGGAGGTGCACTGCCCACAAGATGCCTAAAGAAACACCGAGTTCAAGTAGCAATAAATCTACAGTTGGGCCCTATCATAACTTTAAAAAAATCAAATACACACAATTCAAAGGTTTGGCAATTTTAGCATTGCCATTTATTACATCGAAAGACGCGTGAGTCATATAAAGTGGGACGAAGAAATACGCGTTGAATACACATAGTGCTAGTTCTTCCTTTGGACAACATGCTCCTCCCTTTGTATGTGTCCAGTCCGACCTTCAGGAATGATTTACCGTCATGTTGCTGCGACAGAACACAAGTAAATACTTTTTTTCTCAACAAAAAAAAAGCGTGATATTTTTACGCTCGCTGTTGTGGAATGGTGGTAGTTTAAGAACCAAATATTGAATCCACGAGGAGAGGGGTCAGAAAAAAAAGAAAGGGAGCGGCTCGGTGACCTTGTGTATTGTTGACCGCTGCGCTGAATAGAAACGACTAGAATAGAAATAAAAGTAAGTTAAACTATTACCAGGCGTACATTAAAGAATATTTTAATTGTGTACTGTCTGTGTTGGTACCTCATACAGGCATATCAATGTTTCCAAAATTCGGTGCATCTTCTCTTTTGAAAAATTATTAAAACTTTTAAATACATTTTCTGGCGTATATTTTGGTGTGAAAATAATATTCTAGTGGTTTTTGTTATAAGAACACAGTGGTGTTGATGTTTTTTTGCACCAGTAATAATATATACAATTCCCCCCCCCCCCCCATGAATTACCAAACATTAAAAATAATTGGCATTTTTTAATATCCAATGTTCTATTTTGAATGATTCTCCATGTATATTTGTTTAGCTAAGTGCGAATCTAGGTAGGGATATGGAGGCTTACACCACTCCCCTCCTCAAAAGAAATTGTTTATATCATGCAACTCCCTCCCCTTTTTAACACGTTTTTCTTAACTCAGCTTCGCGTTTGTTTGTTTGTTGTTAAAATTGACATCGAAAATTAGCCCACTTCTGATTGCTATAGAGATCTGAAATTTGGCATGCAGGCTACTTTCGCCTAACAATTTCAGATGCAATCATAAAAACTAGCAATTAGAGACCGTAATTAGCTTAATTTAATTACGCCCCAAGGACCATAAAATTGAGGACATGATTTCTAAAGATACCGACAAGACTGGAGGCCTATTGACACAGTTACTTCGGCCCCAATCGATGTGAGCGCGCTGGCCGTGATCGTATAGTGGTTAGTACTTCGCGTTGTGGCCGCGACAACCCAGGTTCGAATCCTGGTCGCTCAATATTTTTAATCGGTGTATTTATAAACACTTAGTCAAGTCATACTTAATCAAGTCATTAGATAAAGTAGAAAATAAACTATATATAAAACTTTTTTTTAAAAACCACGTTTTTCATGTGTAGCAACGGACTAAAAAGGAGAAAATAAAATACTTTAAAAAAACTTTTTAAAAAACCACGTTTTTCTTGTGGACTAAAAAGTAGAAAATAAATTTTTCTTTTGTGCTTCCTCGAGCTGTGCAGATTCTTGTGATGACTGACAAAAAACGTGGGTCGGGCAGATGGGTCGGGAAATTTGATGGTGAACGTACCCACGTTTTTTTTTTTTATTTTCTACTTTTTAGTCCACAAGAAAAACGTGGTTTTTTAAAAAGTTTTTTTTTAAGTATTTTATTATTAACACGTTTTTCTTAACTCAGCTTCGCGTTTATTTGTTTGTTTGTTTATGGATTTGTTTGTTGTTAAAATTGACAACGAAAATTAGCCCACTTCAGATTGCTCTAGACATCTGAAATTCGGCATGCAGGCTATTTTCGCCTAACAATTTCAGATGCAATCATAAAAACTAGCAATTAGAGACCTAAATTAGCTTAATTAAATTACGCCTCAAGGACCCTAAAATTGAGGACATGATTTCTAAAGCAAAAATTATCAATCCAGATTTATCAAAACAAAATTAAGAGGTTTTATCAGTGGCGGAGTGGTCTAGCGGTAGAGAGTTGGACTGCTAACCCGTTAGTCTCGAGTTAGAATCCGGGTTTAAGTCAGTAGACCGTCCCTGAGTCCACCCAACTCTGATGGGTACCTAAAAAATCCTCTAAATTTTTATGTATTTAAAAACACTTAGTCAAGTCATACTTAATCAAGTCATTAGATAAAGTAGAAAATAAACTATATAAAAACTTTTTGAAAACCACGTTTTTCATGTGTAGCAACGGACTAAAAAGGAGAAAATAAAATACTTTAAAAAAAACTTTAAAAAAAAAAACACGTTTTTCTTGTGGACTAAAAAAGTAGAAAATAAATTTTTCTTCCGACCCTAGGGGATCTACCAATGACTGCTCGTAGATTTTGTGCTTCCTCGAGCTGTGCAGGTTCTTGTGATGACTGTTCATACATTTGATGACAAAAAACGTGGGTCGGGCAGATGGGTCGGGAAATTTGATGGTGAAATTTTTTTGGCGAAACTGAAATTTTTGTTCGCAGCCAAATCGCATCCTACCAGGGCGCCGACGGACACGCCTGATTCAATTAAATGAGCGGCTATAAAGTCCCATCTTATACATTGTCTATCACACTGTTTAGAAAACGTAGTTAAGGGGGAAGGCTCCGGTTATTTCTTTACAGCTTTATTAAGATACATCCGCATATGCATTTCCGCTAAAAAAAATTCGTGGAAAAATCTTGGTAACTTTGAAGTGATGCCTGGAAGAAACTGACAGACCGGCAGATACACCTACAATGCTTTATATATATATATAGATCAGTGGTTCCCAAACTTTTTCGTGTGGTGACCCCCTTTTATAAAAAGTAAGTGACACGCGACACCATCAGAATTAAAAGGTCGAAATTAGTAGGGAAATTTATAGGCGCTAAAATAAGATGTTCTAGTAGACTTTCAATGTGAATTATTCTTGATAACTGTTTTAATGCGATGTGTGAAATTGCCTGCTATTAACGAACCTCAAAATTCAAGGTTGCGTTTTTGTTAGCGCCAACCTCATTTCATTCTCAATATTATTTGATTTGTTTCTTGGTTTTGTTTTTAATTGGAAGAAGTGCTGAAAATCTATTCTCGCAAATACATGTAGAAACATAAGACACTATAACTCGAAAGGCAATCCATTGTACGTTTTGGTCTGAATGGTGCATACTAATACTACACCAAAATTTTGTGAGCAGCTTTTCATTTAACAAGGTATGTGACACAAATATAATCATTTCGCAAATTTAAGAATTCATCTTGTAATTCATCAGGGCTGCTGGCAAGATCAAGGAAAGCAGAGAATAGGTACCGTCTGTCTTAATGTAGATCCTTCTACTTTCAGCTCAGCGAAAAAATGCTACAGTTGGTTTTTAGGGTTTAAACTCCGGTAAAAAAAATACTCGTTAGGGAAACAATTGTTTCTCTATAGCTGTTTTAAGGTACATCTGCATGTGCTTCCATAAAAAAAGTGGGAAAATCTTGGTAACTATGACAACAGTAGCCATCTTAAAAATGAACCCATTTGTAGGTTTTCCACCATTCATGAAATATATTTTAAGCCCAATAAACAATGAATTCATAATCTTCTACCATATTTTGGGGTACTCAGCTAAACAATTTAAGTGCATATCTTCAAACTAATTTTTTTATGAATTTTCAAATTGTGGGTCCGTTAAAAACAATAGTTTTAATGCCCCAAAATAAAGTGTATTTAACGGACACAAAGTTTTAGTTTTGAAGATCTCATAGATACATGACTGAAAACAACTTGGCACAGTGCCACTTCCAGTTATGTTAGTAAAGCCAGATTTCAGCTATTTTTCTAAATATTTTTGGTATTTTTATTGCTAGAAAGCCAGAAAAGCCCTTCCCACAGTTTGGGAACCCATGATATAGATAGATTGTAAGTGTGAACAAACCCTCACACCTTATCACAAACCATGCCTCTCCTGTAAAGTGTCACATTTTATATGGATGACCCCTTTATTTACTCTCAAATAGACCCTAAAACTAAAAGAATTTTCCTTTAAAAAATGAAAAAAAAGTTTAACAGCAACAGGTTAAAAATTAGCATTATCATTTGGCTTTAATTCACAGAAGTATAAATGTAGATATTGTAGGATAGATAAAAATAACACTTGTCCTTTTTCAAAGATTTTATTTTTAAAATGACCATTGATAAAGTGTATCTTTAAAATTTCTTTCCAGTCACTACATCTACAAATGTTGAACTTATTAAAGAAAAAAAAATTAAATGATGAGAATTTAAAAATAAAAAAAATTATATGCATAATAAACTTTTGTTAAAGTACAGCACATAAGGTAAAAAGTCTGCTACTCATTTACAAGTTAAATACATTGATAAAATCCTAATCATGATATTTGTTTTAAATGTAATACATTTAACACAAGTTTCAACTTAATTTCAAATTAAAACTTCAATGCTACTTCCACATCTGTATCAATGATTAAAATGCTTGTGATAATTTTTTCTCAGTTCATTTAACTGAATTTTTAAAATGCTTTTTTGTTATTGAAGTTTTTGCATTCTAGTAGGCCCTATGTCTTGGGTTTCCTATATTTCAAAGACTTATACAAATTCTATACAGAATAGGTACTACAGTAAGATAATTACTGATTTAAAGTCTAGGGTTAAAGTGACTGGATTATTAATGTTAAACTATATTATACATAATACTATAACAAAACTTTTCAGAAAGTAAATACTTATAATCTTCTCGCCTTTTTGGGTCTATTTCCATTGTGAGGTAGCCTGGTTGTATCTGTGATTGAGACTATGTTCAATCCAGAAAGATGAAGTGCTTTTAAAGCAGGCTGTTTGGGATAAAAACAATGTGTTAATATTTTTTTATTACTTTAAAAAAAAATAAACACACAAAAATAAAATTATGGAATTAATACTTTATAGAAAAAATTTCAATCTCTAAACAACAAAAATGATTGTAAATAATAATGACAGATAAAAACATGAATATATCTATGTAACTTCATGTCAAAACTATTGTTCTTGCCCTAAAATGGATTTGTAAAATGTTAGCCAACAACTCGCGCCATAAATATAAATAAAATGGTGCTCAGTGCGTTGAATAGCATCCATTGATCAACTTCTTTCATTATAACAATGTCTGTACTATACAATGGGGATCATGTTAATATATTTCATTGTGCTGGATTAACCTAAGACTACTGATGTTTTCATAAAAAATTAAATAATTACTGGCTAAAGACAGCAAAACATTTTGAAAAGTTTTTGAAAAAAAGGAAACAATGCAGAAATATTACTCTAATTTTGTTTATTTTTCAAAATGATGAATTATATAATTTCAATAAAGCTAATAACATAGGCTAAGGATTTATTTATCTTATGGTTAGCTTTAAGGTCAATACTTTTTCTTTATGTTTTTATATTTTGTTGTATATTGTAAAAAAAACCATTAAAGGGCATTAAATATTGTTCAGGAAGGGCGTGGCCCGAAACTCTTGAGTTCAAATCAGTAGAACATCCCTGGGTCCATCCAGTTCTGATGGGTACCTAACATACGTTAGAGAGAATAAAAGGCGGCTTGGCATAATGCTGACCACACTATCCCTGAATAGGCAGAGGTCACTGAAACAGATGAACTCTACTCCATCTGCCCCATGTGTCTTGGGCCTAAACGGGAAAAGATGATGATGATGAAATATTGTTCACTTTATATCTACTCTTTCATTTTTTAACATTTTCTTTATGAAACCTCTTTCCAGATATTTGGTCCTTTTCATTCCTGTTTTTGCCTCTAATTTTATCGTATGTAAAGTGTTTCTCATTGACGTTTATTGCAGTGACCCATATGGCACAAAAAGAACACAGAGAAAACTACTTTCTTTTAAAATGAGGAGGAATGGGTGAATACTGACAGGAAAAACCAGGAAAACTACAGGGTAGCCCTTATAAAAATGGTCACAAAAAAAAAAGCCTAGTCCATAATGACATTCTGCAAGACCTCAAAAACTTAGCAGCTGGAAGGGGGGGGGGGGAGGGGGGGGGGGGGGGGAAGGTAGAAACAAACTAAAGACTAAAAAAACTAAAGACTGCTGCCTTTGGGCTCTTACTCAACACCTGACCCTTACCTCTACCTTCAAAGTTTGTTTTATTAACACACTGTATCAATACATTATAAAAATAACAGGAGAAATTAGTTTAATTATTGTGCACTGTTGTTCATTTCATAATTATTTGTTACAATTAAGTGTCTTTTGTAATGATGCTACAGCATCATATGTTGAAATCTTATCACATACCATTACTTGTCAAAAACTTTCCATAAAATTGATACATACAGAGGTCTACAGATAAAAATTTAATGCTTAACACAAAACTAGTGTAAGGAAATTGTTAATTACCAGTCTTCCTGCTCCAATACCTCTTATACAAACTCTTACAGAAGTTACTTCTTTTTTAATAGCATCCTGAAGAAAATAGCATAAAGGATAAAAAGTTGTGTAATGGCTTACTCGCAACGTGTTACTAAAAATGATAAAAGGTAGAAATATTTATTTGTAAATAAATACTGAAAACTTCAGCAAACAGCGGAGATGTTATACTAGTTATAGGCTATCTATAGAACTACTAAAACACACCAGGCAATTTGGTTTGAATGTGTGTGCCTGTGCATTTATATTTACTTTTTAGTATATTGAGATGAGAAGATATGCAAAATGTGTAAAGTTCCCATTTCGATGGTCCATGGGTAAGTGTATTAAAATGTGTACTATGTGAGAAAAATAAATTTATTTTTAAAATGAATGCACAATAAAATATTGTGTAAAGGCGATTATAAAAATGAAAAAGTATGACAAGTAAATACCGTAGCTTCAAAGCAAACATGGTGTCCAATTGGCAACAAAATTGCTGATTGAAAACTTTAATGAGTTAAAATATTTTTTACTCTAGCTTTAATTTGATCTATACATTCATTCCTTGTTTCTTTTAGGTTTATAGAAAAACTTAGTTTATCATTACTAAACGATAACTGCATCATTTTTTCTTTGGTTTTTTAAGGGTGCGGCTTAATACTCTTCTATTTTTGTAAAGTATAATTCTGGGCGTCCATCATGTTTAAAAAAAGTACAGTGTAGAATTTAGTGTCAAGGTTGAAAATCAATGATTAGATGTCTCTGACACTTAGAATACTTAGATATCATTGGTCCATATGTACTTAACACCTTTTGCAAGTCAACTCCAGTTTCACTTAAGCCTTTTTGCAAAGGTACTGAAAACTGATGGTTCATCACTTAGAATCTTTTGTGGGTGATAAAACTTTAGTGTATAACTAGAACTGGTGAAGGTGAATTTAAAAAGGGGCGTTACTATTTTTTTTTACAATAAGTATACTTAAAAAAGCTCTTTTGCATTTTGGCTCCTCTTTATCTTAATCTTTGGTCTAGGAACCACAATATACTGACCCCTGCCAAAGCTATGGCTGCTGCTTGAGCTGCAACATTGGTTCCTTTTTTAGCATTCCTAAATCCCACTGTACCCTGTAATGACATAAATAGAAAAATAGAAAATTTCCTTAGAAATTCTAAAATGTTTATAAATGTTTTCAAAATTATATACAAAAATATTTGTCTATGAAATAAATATTGATTTTCTTAATAGAATGAGGATTAGCGTATAAATTTAAGTGGTACCAGGACAAAGTCAGTAACCTTATAGTTTAAAACATTTTCTTAATGAAGTAGAAATATTATTTATATCAGTGGTTGAAAACAAAATCATGCATGCATTTCCATTAATTAAATTAAACTAGTATATAATAACAGCTTAAGTAGAGTGCACAAAGAAACACATATAAAAACAAACAGAAAAAAGAAGAAAGATACCACCACTGTTTTTAAATGGAATTAATGAGCTTTAGTGAACATGTTTTAAAAAATGTGTGTATTACATAAAACAGAAAGTATGATCTCCACTTTTATATCATAAATTCAAATACAATCTGTAAATATTCACCATAATGTCAAAATGATACCACCACTGTTTTTAAATGGAATTAATGAGCTTTAGTGAACATGTTTTAAAAAATGTGTGTATTACATAAAACAGAAAGTATGATCTCCACTTTTATATCATAAATTCAAATACAATCTGTAAATATTCACCACAATGTCAAAATGATAATTGAATAGATATCATTGATATGATAATTTCACTTTAATGTTAAGGTAAAGTGCATTATTAATAGTGATATTATCTATCTAAATTTTGAATTGGTTAGTGGACCATTGCAGAGCTACTAGTGTCCTGATCGTATTATTCCATACTTTGCCATCATGAGTACCATGTTTTAAACCAATTCATCCCCTAGTGTTGTCATCCAAAATTTTCTTTTGCCTGTCTCTTGTATTTTTGTCTGGCACTGTACTTTGTAAGATTGTACTAGACCGGACGACCTGTCCATACATTTTATGTTTCCAGGGATGCTGTCTTTCTTGATGCTCTCAAACTAATCCTGATTGATCGGCTTGAGACAGCATTGCAGTGCTTGAGGTAGTTTACAGTTTTCCTGAAAATCCTACATCAGTCATTCCTATTCCTGATATATACAGTTTGGGATCCCTATTGCCTTACAGAGAATTCAAGGCCACACAATTGAATTTTGTCAAACTCATATCTCTCAAGTTCTTTGAGTTTACCAGCTTCTTTAAGGGAACACATATTCCAATAGCTGATTATATATCGTTCATTGTGTTTATCCTTGTTTGTAGACTTTACACCTCTATCCTGATCTGTGCTTGTAGACACAGCCCTTGTCAACCTGGGGATTGGATGAGCTGGTATGATTGGTTTAGGATCTTCATTCTTCTTGTGCATATCCAGGCCTAAGTGTTGCAGGGTGGCCAACATCCCTTTCCATATGGATGACTTCATCTAGGAGACTCACCTTGACCAGAGCACATGGTTCTTCTTTCTTCTTCTTCGTTCTTAATTTTAGTATTGGAAAGTATCCCCTTCAACACAATTAAGCATACGTGTCAACTGGTTATGCACCATTTATGCACCAGTTATGCTTTTAACATCAATATGGTTTGGTCTGCTATCTCAGGCCCTTTACTGGGGTATGCTGCTTCAAAATTTTCTTACAAGATTTGATGCAAAACTACACAGACATTATGACAGAAGAAAAAGCTTAAAAATTAAAATTTTATCTGTACATTTTATATTAAAAATAAAATAGCAAAAGTTAATTATAAAATTCTACTTTAAAATACTTACAGCTGATTGAATAGCAAGAACAATACCTAAGAAAAGTAAAAAGATTGTTTAAAATATTTAATCTTTAAAAAGTTTATTATTTGGTTTTTAAATATTAATGCCAAAGTGTTTTTAAAGGGCCAACAGACTGAGAGGCAGAAAATAATAAGGCTGCCAAAAACAAAATGCACACTCTAGTTAGTTTCCAAGTTTCACCTTCTTCTTCTTCTTCGTTTTTAATTTTTAGTGGTGAAAGGGATCAAGTCTTATCTGCCAGAGGGTTTGAACTCGAGACTTTTTGGAATTTATAAACCATGAACTTTTGCCGACTCGACCAAACCTCCAACACAATTAAGGATACGTGTCAACTGGTTATGCACCATTGAGGCCATTGACTCAGATTTCAGCCTGCTTTTCTTTTTGGATTTGCTTCCATAGCCTTTGTCCAACCGAGAACAAACTACAAGGCAGCAGTTGTTTGATTTTGGGGTTGTCTCTCCTAGAAGAGTGGCTGTCCCCAGCTGTCGAGCCTCATCTGCCCGAGGGTTTGAACTCCAGACTTTTTGGTGTAGCAACCATGAGCTTTACCGACTTGACCATGCCAAGTCTTACTGTATGCGATAGCTTTTCTATGATGATGAGGTGAGATAATAATCAAAGTCGTTCATCATGCAACAGATGGAACAATGGAAAAATGTGCTTAAACAGAAGGAGTTGATAAAGGCTGTAGGGCCAGCTAAGGGTGCTACAATAATTTCAAAGCTCAGATCCTCTATTTATGAAAAAATAGAGACCTTGCAAATGGCAGCGTGATGGAGAAGCAGCTAGCAGGAGATGCCTTAACACAGGGCATCATGTGCTAGAAGGCACAAACAATATGCAATGTTTAGATGAAGCAGATGCCACACAATTTTCCTATTAAATAAACACTTAACAAAAACAATTGGGGTGGCAATGGGGGCTGGAACAGATAAATGACATTTCAATTAATTTCAATAAAGAACTTATTTCCTGAGATACAAGCAAATCGATCAGACTGTACCAGAACAAATTATATATGAATATATATATATATATATATATATATATATATATATATATATATATATATATATATATATATATATATATATATATATATATATATATATATATATATACATATAGATATATATATATGTATATATACATGTATATATATATATATATATATGTATATATACATGTGTATATATATATATATATATATATATATATATATATATATATATATATATATATATATATATATATATATATATGTATGTATGTATATACATATGTGTGTGTGTGTGTGTCTAAACAAGATGGCTATAAGAATAAAGGAATTCTAAGCTTTAATCATAACTGAATTAAATTAGGACTGTGAAACAAGACTGGAAACGACACTAACATCAGATTAACAGGAATAATCATAGTCAAGTTGGATCTTACCATCTCCATTTGTAAGTGAAATTACTGTATTATTACTTGTTGTCTTTACATTGATGATTGGCAGGTCCAAGTATTTGATACCATCAAATAACTGGGAGTGAGTTGCCAGAGTTGGAAATGATGAACTTCTATGAGAGAGAAAAAAAGGGAAACATTTTTAAAGAAACCTTTTAATATCATTGTATACACTAAATGCATTTACTAAAGTTTTCAGTAACAATACGTGCAGAATTCAATTTTTAAAAACTCTTTTCCTGAAAAGACCTGTTTTAATTTCTGTTAGAAAATGATAAAAATAGCTAGAATCTGTGACACTAGCCCACAAATTTGAGATTATCAAGCAATGATTTCCTTAAAACAATTATTCTAATAACCAACCCACCTCCTTGCTGTGTATAATCTCTTAAAGGTATATTGGAATCAAAACATATACTATATGCTTAAGCCAAATAAAAATAAAATTACAAAAGATGTTTATCAGTTAAACATGGCATTTGTGAAGGTAGTAAAATTGGTGAATTAGGAATTTAGATATAAAATCTAGGCTTCAGGTCATCGCTGATTATTTCATTTATAGCTTGGCAATATAAGGGGATGGTGTGATTGTATGGTAGAGCACAAGATTTCTAGCCCCTTCCAACACAACTTCTGGATTTTTATCCAAGGGGAATTATTACATGAATGGAAAATAATACTGTGGGTGTCCTGACATGGTATAACAAGTTTTATATCCATTGGCCAAGTATTATGAAAATTATGACGTGTACAAAAACAAATGTCATAATAAGGAAAAAAGCCAGTAAAACCTCAAATAAAACATCCATAACAGGGACAATAGAATCTTGACAAAAAGATGATTGTAAGTAGCAAATACAGTTTATTAATGTGAATCGCTACATTAAATAATTTAACATTACACAATCATATATTTACAAGGACTAAAATAGAAAAAAAAACAGAATTCATGCTCATGCAAAATAACCTTATTTAAAACAGAAGTTAATACTGACCAATGCACACTTATGGATGCTAATGTCAAAAAAGCTTTGTTAGTATCTCTTATGGCTGGAACATTTTAAATGGGGCGGGGGGATGGGGGAAGGAATGCTGGCTAACTACAAAAGTTAAAAATATTTTTTCTTCAAGTTACATAGAGCATATTAAGCATTATATATTTGGTCTGCCACTAGAGGTGTGGATGACATTAACTTCTTGTTTTGGTATTGTACAGTCAGATGTATATGCATGTATGTGTTTGTGCATTTGCTCCATGTTTTGTTGTTCTGCCAATTTTTTTTAATACCATGAACTCTTACAGCACATTTTTGCTGTTTTTCTTCTATAAAACCTTTTTAGTGAGAATTTGGTGTACTTCTAACTGGAATACTTACCTACCGGTGTGTGTGGGTAATTTATTTGTTTACTAGTCTGTTGACCTCATAATACTGTCTGCTATTACTTGGGAAAAAATTCAGACTAATATCGTTTTAAGTGTACAGAAACGTATGTGTCAGAAAGGTTAGCCCAATAGTCTGAAGTTAGGTTCATAGAACCTTCCCTGAGTTTACCTAGCTCAGATAGGCCTAGCCACTCAAAAATAAAAGGTGGCTGAGCATAGAGTTTACCACAAAATCCCTTCATGTGCTGACCTCTCAGAAACTGGTGACCTCTACCAATCGACCTTTATGTCTGAAATGGGGAATTACAAATTTACTTTTAATGTGAGAACTTACCCATAATTTTTTTCAATGTCTACAGGCGTTGAATCTTGAGCAGCTTGGACATTTTTATGAGTAACTTGCTGTCGAATGGATTCAGCAAATCTATTATACTTCAAACTTGTACAATCAATTGACTTGGTAGCTTTATTCAAATTGAACAAAAACATGACTAATCACACAGTTTTTAAAACTCTAGACAACTAAACTAAATTTAATACACTAGTTGTTTTAAGTTGCTGCTGAAAAATACACTGGGTTATAAAAATAGGTAACTTAGCTTCTCAATAACTTTTTTAGAAACATGGTTTGCAGGTTCCTAAAATTATAGTAGCTATCTAATAAATAAAGTTCAATTCTGTATGTGGCAGACAGATGGACGGACCCGTGGTAACCGAGGAATATAGTAAAAAACTCGACTTGATCGGCATAGTGTAATGTATATAATGTGCTATCAGGGGTCTCCAAACTACGGACCGCGAGGTCCTCTCATCCGGCCCGCGGAGATCTTTTTGTCCATGGAAAAAGCGTTTGTTGGTGATGGCTGAGGAACTTTGCTCAGAAAAATCACGACATGCCTGGAAGAAACTGGTCCACGAACTGAAATTTGATATTTAATGCGGCCCTCGGACTGAAAAGTTTGGAGACCCCTGATCTAAATAAATGATTTAAAAAAATAATATTAAAGGTTTTCTAAAACAAATTTCATTTTTCAAACCTATAGTGTTTATGACGGCATGTGCATTAAACAAAATTAAAGAAAATGTATCACCCTTCACAAAAGTTCTAGTTGTGTCTGAAAAAAATTACATGGGGGGGGGGGGGGGGTTCTTTTTATTACTTAGTTTTGGTGTTGGAAAAAAATCCTAATATTTAAAAGCCCATTTTAGCACTTCTATCCTTCTCTATTAAAGCATTGGTTGCTGTACATTTTAACACCATTTTTATAACTATGGCTAGAATAGTTTTATTTTGGTGATTTTTTTTACACAGCGATTGTTGATAACTAAATCTACATGAATACATTAAATTTGTCCACTAGCCTGCATGTTAAGAAAAGTTATAACAGATACTGTTATGTGGCTTTTGTTTCTCATTTATTAGACCACTGAATATGACACTGGTATAGGAATAGTTAACACAACATGAATTAATTGTTAAACAGACTTGTGTCTAAGTGATAGAAATACAATTCTAACCTTCTAAAAAGCAAATATTCAGACATTTGATGTTAGATGGGTAATTTTAAAAATGGTACACATACTTATTACCCCTAAGGGGCAATACAACCGACTCAGCCCCCACCTGTTTCTAACTTACCATAAAACTTCTAATCTCTTAGTAAGTAATAGGGATAACTGTTCTTAGATCTCAGCCAATCTGGAGTGGTATGTTAAGTAATTTCTGACCACCATGGTCAAGCAGGGAAGCAATCAGACACATTAATACCACTGCTTCCCCCCCTCACAATTTCTCACCTCCATGATACCTAGCCCACACCAGTATCTAACCCACCATAAAACTTCATCTCTTTGTAGGTAACATGGACTTAGTCCTTAGACCACAGCCAACCAGAGATAGCATCTCTTATGTAATTTATGGCCCTCAGGGTCCAGTAAGGAGAACAAAGGGGAAATTAGCACCAATGCTCTCCCCTCAACATTTCTCACCTCCATGTCATGTTATGTAATGTATCCCACACAAGGTTTATCAGGGGAAAAGCAAGGCAGATTAGCTAGTACCTCCCCTTTTTACATCCAAGAATCTTAACTCTGGACAGCTACACACTAGGTATACTAATGTGCCTACTGTATTGTACTGTAAACTACTAGACTGTAAGCCCTACGAAAACCTGCAATTGTATCAATTGTGGAGTCCAATCGGGCCTAGAGATAACTGGTATCATTTAATGTATGTGTACACAGCATTAACTATTTTGGGTTTAGAAATTGATGTATTTTATTGTGAAGTTAGTCAAAACTAGGAGATAATACTTAATGCCCCATGGCTCGGCTACATTTGCCCGAAATGCTGATTTTGGGGGTATGGCTATAAATGCTAAATTAAACCAATTTAAAGTAAATTTAATAGCCTTTATTATGATTTTTAGATTGTTTAAGATGCGTTAGAATAATTTTGCATTAATTTCTATATTAGAAAATACTTGGATTAGTAAAAATCTTTAAAAATGTACATGTACAGGTGCTAAAAAAGTGTGGCTCTTAGTGCCCTTCTTTACCCTACTTTGCAAAGAAACAAATTGCATTAAGAATTAATGTAATTAAAAATATTAGGATAAAGATATCCTATTTTTAAATATTCATTTATTGTAGTTTTAATAATGGATTTTTAAAATAAAATATTCTCTTATTTCAAATACACCATTACGTTCCTTACCCCTTAAGAGAACATTTGACACCACATTTAAATATCTAGCTTACTCAGTTGCTGAGAAAAGAGAGAATTTTAAAATTATCCTAGAATGGAAAATGAAAGCCGAAACCACGTTCTTGTCCCCCAGCCAGCATAACAGGATGTCGTGAACTTGTGTACACAAGTTTTTAAATGCTGCCATGGTAATTGTGTCAACATAGGTTATTTACTCACCGGGAAAAAACACAAAACCGGTTGATACTAAAACTAGATCTAGTTATTTATTAAATTGGTAAAGGAAAATACACATTACAAATTCTACTCTACATGTTATACATACCATTTTATAAATAATGAACACTTGCATAAATCAAATGACCATAATAAATATTTTTATTTCAAATTCTAATCTTAAATATGCTTAAAATAATATGAGTTATAATAGTCTATAAATAATAAATACAAATACATTTTTACACTCAATTCACATTATATTGAGTCAACAGTGTGGCAGCTGAAGTTCATAGACGTGGAGCTCCGAGTGATGACGTGATTTTTTTAAAAAATAAAATCTCAAAACATCTTCACTCGCGTGATTGCTTGCTTACGTTTACTATCCCGTAGGTGAAAAATCCCACCACGGTCAGCGGGGTCACTGTGAGTTCACCAGGCCTATAGTGCACATCATAGAATGAACACAAGTTCAAGAGATCGTAGGTGTCTTCACTTCTCTCTCCCCCCCCCCCCCCCCCCTTTCAAGCAAATTGAAAAACAGATCTACTTTGCTACTTCTGGTCATTTTTTAAAAAGTTTAACATAGGCTTAATAATATAGACTTAGATCTACGATCACGCATGCTAGATACCTGTAAAAACATTTTACTAAAGATCTAGGATCTCGTCATGATACCTATTTTTTTTAGATAGCGTTTTACCTAGGGTAAAGAGTTAGAGTAACGCGGAGCAAACCGCGCAAATGCGGCCAAAACTAATTCTACATTTTAAAAATTATAACAGAGTAGAGCCGAATGGATACAAAGCGAAGACAAATTTTAAAACTTAACTTAAATTTTTTTTGTCTACACAAAAGGCACACGTTAATTTTAAACTCTTAAATGATAAACCAAATATAGTTTAATGTAGTAAGGTAAAGTAATTTAAATTTTCAATTTCAACTTGAAGTAGATCTGTCTTGATAAAATCTGTCATGAAAAAATAAAAACGATACAAGCTCTCCATCCTATACATAAACCAATTGTAATTTTAACAGACGATCGGAAAACAATGCTCGCGTAAAAAAAAAGTATTAAACTAAATCTAGGCCTAGCTTAAAAAACAAAATCACGCTAAAAATGCCCATAAACAGATTATAGCGCAAAAAAAAAAAGGCAGTTGAACAAGCATTGTTTAAAATACGCAGCAGTGACAAAGGCTAACAGATGATCAATTAAGTCTAAGAATAGCCCGTAATCAGGCCGAGCTCTAAAAAAGACCACTGAACGAGCATCGTTAGAAATACTATACATTTCATACAAATTATATAGATCTAGACGTATAGGCTACACAGCGTTGACGAGGTTAACCACATGTCACGAATTAAATTCAATGCGGCTAATGTCTGCCCAAAGTGAAGAAAAAAAACAATATACTAATAAAATTACTAATACAATAATAATGTCCATAATTTTACTTTTTCCGCTCATGCTACAATTGAATTATAATTAAAAATACTAGACTTAACAGTTCATTCCGCAAAAAACAAAACTAGTTGTTTCTGTCAGTAGTGTCAGGCAACTAGCGTAACGATGATGTAACGATACTAAAAATAGAGGATAGAAATGTCAGCGTGGGTACCTCATTTTGGGGTAAGATTTTGGAAATTAGAAGCAATAATACTGTAAAAATACATGGTAAATATCTCAATTATATATTCATCATCATCCTTCCTTTGTGGCCCCTGGGGAGCAAAGGGCTCCATGTCTTCCTTGGCCGGCCCACCCTCCTTTTTCCCTGGGGCTTCCAGTCCAAAGCAAGTTTTGCGATGTTTTCTTTTTCTTTTATTAATGTGTGTCCGATCCATCCCCACCACGGGCCTTGATATCTGTCTCTATTGGCTGTTGCTTTAAAGTTTGCCACAGGTCTTTGTTTGATATTTTGCCTGGCCATCTTATTTTAAGTATATGCCGTAAGCATTTGTTTACGAATGCCTGTAGCTTATCTGTATTTGTCTTCGTAACCCTCCAAGTGTCGGAGCCATAGACCAGCACTGCCTTGACATTTGTGTTGAAAATCCCAATTTTGCTCCGGAGTGACAGGGCCGTGGACCTCCACATCGGGCGCAGTGAGTTGAAGGCACATCTAGCCTTGTTGATACGACATTTTATGTCCTTGTCTGCTCCCCCATCCTTATTGATCATGCTTCCCAGATATGTGAATGTGTTCGTTTCACGTAAATCTTCTCCATTTAGTTGTATGGGCATGTCCTGGCTGATATTGATTCTGATGACCTCTGTTTATTTTTATTGATTTTTAGTCCAACTTTGGAGGCTTCTTCAGATAGCCGATTTAGTTTGGCTTGCATATGTTGATGCTTGTGAGATAGTAGGCAGATGTCATAGGAAAAATCAAGATCTTCCAGCCTTTTGGTGAAACTCCACTGGATTCCTGTGTCGTTTTTTGTGGTTTTCCGTATGGTCCAGTCGATTACCATCAAGAATATCATTGGCGATAGCATACATCCCTGTCTTACTCCCGTCGTCACCATGAATGGTTCAATTATATATTAATTTAGTGTTATTTGGGATTTTTTTCTGGCATTCTAAGGCATATTATTCATTTTATTAGCATCTCGCATTAAAATAATGATGAGAATTTGCGAGATAAACAGTTTTTTTCCATTTGTCATGGATAGGACACCTAAAATAAACGTGAAAACTGTCAGAAAAGACGCGTGACATTTCAGGGTCAGAGGTTAATCCTGCCATCTAAGCAACGAGCCGGACTAATTTATTGTTAGTTTGTTAGGCCTACTAATTTAATTTAGTTAAATTTAGTAATTAAATTTAGGCCGATGCTAGCCGGAAAAAGATACGTATGCGCAATGGAGAGAAACTACGACTTGCCTTCGCAGCGATGTTTTTTTATGGTAAACGTATGTTTACAACCGCAGACCCCTAGCCCTAACCCTATCCCTAGGTCACTGCGCATAACTATCTTTTGCCGACCAGGTGGAGACGTTGGGGCGAAAAATCTTTTTCCGACTAGTCACTTCGTTAAATTTACTGATTACTCACAAATAGATCTATGTTGCACACAGAGAAGGTTGATTTGTTCCTTGACGGCACACTTTAATGGGAATATTTGCAGCAGAGATTTTAACATTTTTAACGTGTTAAGTTCTAGACTAAATTCCTGAAGTAATAATCGATATCGATCTAGATCTAGAATTCTTCTAGATCTACTTCTAATTTAGTTCTCTGCGAATTCAACCTCTAGGCCTAGACTAGATCTAGGTTTAGACTAGGATAGTTCTAAGACAATTAGGGGCCTATAAATTTTGTATTTTCAATAAGAAGAGTTTTTTCTCCTGAATTTAAAAAAATATAATGACGGGATAGGAAAGTGTTTAATTTAAAACAACTTCAATAATTACATTTCTAAATTATGTTAATTAAATTAAGAATAAAGTATTTTGTAAGCATTTTTTATTATTTCTTTTTAAATTTTTAATATGGGCTATAAATCAAGACAATTGTACTATGCATTTTTTCGGATGCTACATTCAGATTATAATTTTAGAAATACAGTGCCTGCCTAGAACAAAAGTTGAAACTCGTTTCTTTTTCCGGTAAAAGAAAGGAGGACGTCAGGGTCAAACACTTCTTGAAAATGTTTAGAACTGCATTAAGAGTTTCTTCCTCTCTTAGTCATGCTACCAGACAATGCTTGAAAGTACAGACCGGTGGTAAGGTGTCTAATAATAATTCAAAACCTACTGTTTTTTTAATTAGATCTAAACTTAGAAGATTTTCTCACTAAATCTAAAATTTACGTGATTTTCTAGCTAGAAAAAACTAGGCATTTTGATGAAAATTTCAAAATGATTTTTTTAATTTAAAAAAGTATAAATAATAGCTAGCACACTAGTAAACTAAGCCAATTTAGCATATTTTAACTTTCTGTGCAAAGTCATTAGGCCCTTTTACTGCAAAAATTTCCAAAGTCAGGTCAGCCTGTTGCACCCTGACCCTCCACTCACTGAACTAGTTACTAGACAGAAGGAAAAACATGACCTGTGACTTTCATTAAAACAGAATTTACTTTTTTTTTTTTTTTACTATAAGTAAAAATGTGCTTAATTTTACCCAAAGAAGTAATAAAAATTTTAAAATTAATTTTAAGTAGGCTGTTGTAAAGTGAGATTTTAATAAAATAGTTGGTAATCTATCGTTTTGGGTACGTAAAATCTCTGCGGCTATTAATGTATGAAAACGTTACCTCATTGTCAAGGCTTTTAATAGAAGTATATTGTCATATGTTTGTGTCAAATATTATAAATAAATGAATAATAAACCTAAATCAATGGCTAAATATATCGAAATAGGCCAGAAATTAACTTTAAACAGCTTTGTCTGAGAGCAAGATTTGCTATATAAACAGCAGCCATTTGTAAAATAGAGTGGCTTCCCCCTGAATCTTGCGCTATAAGCTTATAAAAATAAAACTTAAACAAGATGACTGCTATAGTAAATGAGCATGATTGCATGATGCATCTGTTGGAAACATCGCTAGTCTTCATTTATTACGGAAAAGTTTTAATTCAATTGTTTAAAAACAGGTACATAAATGAAACAAGAAAACATTTTTGTATTTTAAAAAACATAAATCCTCCTCAAAATGTGAAATAATTATTAAAATTTAAGGAGTCACCTGTTTTTCACATTACTAGTCGCGGGCATACCCAAAACGATAGATTGCCTAATAGTTTTTCTTAGCCTACTAAATCTAGAATTTACCCAAATTTGAAATTAAACATGACTACTGAATGATAGATAGACATCCATATTTAATCCATTAGGCGCTAATTTTGAAGTTTTTAGTTCATTTTTAAACTAAATTACTTAATTTAATATTTATAGTCACTCACTACCATGACACGACACACCTCAATGACAACTCAACTTACGTCTGAAGCCACAGCAAACCACGAACCGGTTCGACTTTTTAATTGGCTATGCACCAGAATACCTCACTAGTAATGAGCCAAATAGCGGTCACATGGTTTATAAAATTTGGTTGTGATATGAACGCCAGTCTTATAAAAAGAACAGCTCACAATATTTTATTTCTTTTTTCGTAGATTGATAAAACTATTAATGCTTTACTTTCTCGCTCATTTTTGTACCTACTCCATTATTTTAAAAGTTCTATTAATTTTAATCAAACCAACTTTTGAATGTAGCTTCCATTGTCCAAACCAAATTTTAAAATGCTTTTCTGGCATATTTAGATCTGACACCTATGGTTTGTTTTTATAACGCGAAAAACTCAGCTATTTTGCTCGTGGTAAACATTTTAAACAGTAATTCTAAGAATGTCACTGGATCTAAGACGAAAAATTGTCGGAAGTCATGCATCCGATCTGTATGCCATATTGTTGTTAGCAACCGGCCACGTCTCCGGGTTAGCGAGTAATACTGTCAAATGGTAATCTATCGCTTTAGGTAAGTAAAAGAAGGTCCCTCATTAAATTTTAGTAATTATTTGACATATAAGGAAGATTTATGTTTTGAAAGTTACAAAGATGTTTCAAAATTTCATTCATGTACCTGTTTTTAAACAATTGTATTAAAACTTTTCAGTAATAGTTTATGGCCGTTTGGTTCGTCTACTTTCCATTTCAATGTTTATATTAGCCTTGTTTAGTAAGCACTTTCCAAAATGGCTTCAATATTCTGTCCCGTGTAGTACTGGGTTGTTACAAATGAGTGACCTCTGTATTTAAATATGTTAATGACGGTTTATAAAATGCGCTAGTGACCTAATTACATTCTTTGTCTTACCCAAGGCATTAGAGTTAGAGTGAAACTCTATGATAATTAGCACGTGCTTAGAGCTCAATAATTTAAAATTGAAATGCAGTACAGATCAACCTCTTATTGATCTAAATATAGACCTAATACATTTATTTACTGACTTGATCGGCTTACCGTGTTAAACGCGGGCCTAGCTCAACACTTAAGACGGCATAAAGTGTGCCATTATTACAGATGACATAAAAACAAGAAGAAAAAAAAAGCCTAGCTCTATAATGAACCAAGGTAATGTTTATTGGATAGATACATCATTTCTTTGTATAAAACTGAAATAATTATGCAATAAACAGTAACAAGACCTGTGTAAGGGGAGATAAGTGAAAATTAAAAAAAAAAATTTGTTGGAATATGGAAAGAAATTGTTAATATTGTTTATTAAGATGAGGTTATAGATAACAAAAAAAAATGAAACATGGTTTAAGAAGACTGATGAAAATTTGACAAAGTTATTCTTTCTGTGGAAACATAGAAATGTATCACAGGTGCGACACCTAGTGCTGACCTTTCTCTCTATCCGTAAAGTTTGATAACATAATTTACAATTACGTCTAGTGCAACTAAATTCTGGAACAATACTATGGCTAGCTTTAACTTTTTTAACTTGAGCTTTAAGTTTAACTGTAATAGCTGAGGGTATTTCTTGAAATGTATCCATTTTTGCTAATTATAACTATCTTTTTGGAATAGCAAGTTCCACAAGATCAGGGTTGGTCTTTCTCCGTTTTTTTGAAATAAAATGTAACTATTAACCCTAGAAATATCAATGAAATGAAGTTTTCCAAAACTTTTTGGTCTTTCTAAGAACATTATATTTATTAATTAATTGGTCACTTTTATCTACCCCTCCCATATGAATTATATTCCTGAATATGTGGTTGATCAACAGACAACTGTGTAAAAATACTTCCAACCTTTGATCTTCTGTTTACATTACAGACGGTTTAATTATCACGCCACTGAACTGTTATAATTTCACCTCCCCTAAACCATCGCATGTCACCTCTTTTTGAAACTTTATCAAAAGACTTCACCTAGAGCAATAGGAAAACCTTTTCTATTTTTTAACCCCCTTAAAATATTGTTAAAATCATGCTGTGTGATTAAAATTATTATGGTTATAAAATTCTGACTATTTGGTTTTTTAAGCCTATAAAAAAGTGGATATATTTGACATTTTAGTATTTTTTATATGAAACACAAATTGAGAAAAGGCAAAAGCAATTTGGTTTTTTTTTTGGTAATGTCAACATAAACAATGACATCCTGCTATTCCATTGGCTAGCATGAATTTTATCAACAAAATGTAAACAAAAATGGCAGAACTTGGTTATGTGGTTTAAAAATAGCATTAATTTATTAAAAACTTTGTCTGCTGCAAAGTTTTGTTTTGAAAAAATAACTATCGATCACAGGATTCCCATACAAACAATCACTATTTGTCTTATGAAAGTGAAGCCTATGCTTGATGAAAATAAATTTTCAAGTTCTGAATTCTTGAATTATTTTTCGGCTAAAGTTTTAATTTTTATTTTCTTCAGTTGCTTTGATTGCAAAATTTAAAAGATCCATGTTAAACAAACAGTTGTAAGGATTCTCATCAACTTGGTGGTTTCCATTGAGTAATTTAGTCATATATGAGCTAAAGACCTCAAAATTAGTGCCTAATTGATCAAATATGGTTGTCTATTATTCAGTGGTCATGTTTAAATTGAAAATTAAGTAAATTTTAGATTTAGCAAGAATATCTACTCTTTAGTTACACTTAACTTTTGTTGTCATAGCTGCTACAGCCCTTAGACAAAGTCATGGTCGTCATGAAACTGAGGAGGAATTCGACAACAGATATGTAAAATACTTTGATCGCCCAGATATTGATGGGTGGGAAATAAGAAAAGCTATGAATGACCTGACGGTAAGTGCTGCTAATTGTAATTAACAAACTACATTTTTTTCACATAGACCTAGATTATTTCTTGTATTTCTTTTTTTAGGGAGAAGATCTTGTCCCTGAACCACGTATTATAATATCTGCTATGAAAGCTTGCCGTCGTCTAAATGATTATGCACTTGCTGTAAGGTACTTGGAATCAATTCAGGTATTGGATATAATAGTGCAGAATATTGTTGGGAATTTATTAATTCACATGCATTTTTGGAGAAAACGGAAATAGCATAAATTACTACTTCCTGTCGACCCAAAATTTGACAGGAAGGCAGCGAATTAGATCTTTTACTTACATATGGAATTTCATTTATCTGTCTGATACAGTACTCAAGTTATAGGCTTTTGAAAAAATTTTAAGTAGAATAAATTCCAGTTACTGGAAATCACTGAAAAGTTGATACATACAAACAAAATTGCAAAACTACTCAGGGGGGTGTAAAACGTCGATTGGTAAAACCTCTTGCACAATTACAATATTTCGTATACGAGAAAGGTAAGATGGCTGAGTTGAATTCTAAATGAATTGATTAGACATTCTAAGGTCAAGAATTTTTTAAATGTACTAAAAATTATAAAATTAATAAACATTTTCTTAAGCTGTTAATAATAATAGATTAGGAAAAAAAAGTTGGTCATAAAAACTGCTTGCGTGGCTTGATGTTTTTAGAATATTTTTGGGGTTATTAAAATAGTTATGTCTTACTATATATATTTTTGTAACTAATATCCTTTTAAGTTGTTCTTTAATGGTTCCTTTTATTAAGTAAATATTAATTTATGTTGGCCTACATTTTCTAATTACCACCTGTTTGGTTTGTTTTTCCAGGGCTTAATGAATCAAACACCCTAAGTAATGATATTAAGAGTAATTTAAAACATTATCTGAAATAATAAAAAAAACTTAATGCTTAACTAAACCACTCGTACTTATATTTTTGACATTTAAATTTTAGTGGAAGTGTGGCAGCCAAAAGAAAGTTATTTGGCCATGGCTGTTGAAAGAAATCAAGCCTACCCTTGATGAGCTTGGAATTCTTACACCAGAGGAGATGGGATATGACAAACCTGAGCTTGCACTGAAAAGTGTATATGACATGTAGTTAACAGGTTTGTTAAGCACATTAAAGGAATGTTCTCACATTAAATTGTACTTTAATAATATGCCCAAAGGTTATTGGGGGTAGGCAAAGAAGTTCCCATGGAATTTGAAATAAGGGAAAGAATTGTTTTCGGCAGCTCTTTAGTTGAGTCCATATAAAGGGCTCTTCTACCTCTTCAGAGGAACCTCATCTATGTTGGGTGCTATATTTTCTGTAGTTTTGTGATTTTTTTACATGGCAGGGTTGCAAGACCTGCGCTCAACCATTTTCCCACGTTTTCTTTAACTTGCTTTCTCTGTGTGTTTATTTGTTTATTTGTTTGTCTTTCCAATCCAATCTTGCGATCGAAATTTCTGGCACTTCCCAGTTAGCTAGCGCGCTGAAATTTTCAGGGAAGCTTTCTTTTGGATGACCATTGAATATTCAATTGTTATTATTACTAAATTGATCAATGGAAACATTTTATTGAGCATTTTAGACCGCTATATAATCTATATATATAATTCTCCTCTGCTAGCCATTACAAAAAAAAACCAGCGACGCGTACCTCGCGCGCAGTGAAGCGAACGATCACATGTCGCCACAGGCTTAGGGGCAGAGAATTTAGCTTGAACCGAGTTTAAAGTTACAGGAGGTAGGCCTGTTTGGGGGAGACGATATGGTCGAGTGGTTGGGCACACGATTGCTATCCCACTCGACACGGGTTCAAATCTATGTGTTCTAGTCAGTAACGTATTCAAACAACGTGTTTTTTACGAGTTGTCTTTTTACGAGTTGTCTTTTTACGAGTTGTCTTCGTTTACCCAAAAAAAGTGAAAAGATAAAATCGATAGCAAGATTTTAATGCAAACAAACAGACAAAGACTAAAAAGTAGAAAATAATAATCATTAAAAAAGTTTTAAAAAACCCACGTTTTCTGATTGAACTAAAAAGTAGAAAATAAATGCTATAGGCCCTACATCACAATAATGCAAGCGATCACTCTACTATAAGCGAGCAAAAACGTGGGGCGCCGTGATTTTCTTACAGTTTCTAATACTGTTGACTCTCTACAAGCTCCCTAATAAAAAGTCAATAGTATTATCTAATCAATAGTAATATAACTTTTACTTCGGCGCCCCACGTTTTTGCTCGCTTATAGTAGAGTGATCGCTTGCATTATTGTGATGTAGGGCCTATAGCATTTATTTTCTACTTTTTAGTTCAATCAGAAAACGTGGGTTTTTTAAAACTTTTTTAATGATTATTATTTCAACTGGGCTTAGCACTTCCTGCGAGTTTAAAATGAGAAGCCTGTTTTTCACAGCTTGAGTTTTTAAAAAGAAGCCACAAATCATGTATATTGGCATCTACATCAAAACCCTATGCTTCTCGAGAACAGAAATGAACTAGGCGTTTCCTCTCAGTTTTTATCCAATGAGGGTATAAAGAATATTTTTGCTTCGTGGGAGGCATGTTTGCATGTTTTTTTAAAAAAGAAGGCAGCAACATCTGTATCTCAGTGCATTAGTTTTAAAATCATGTTTTCATTAACTGAATCATGTGTTTACCTGCTATTTGTAAACTCAGCTGCAGATCTTAATGATTTGCTATTTGGTAAAGAACCATCATTTCAAGACCTGACATTTTTTATATATATTTTTTTTTTTTGCACCATTTTTTGTGGATTTATAAATAAGTTTTTTGAGGTTGTTATTTGAATATTTGTCCTCTAATAAGTCAATAAAATTAGTTATTATAATTCAGCAAAGTCAGTCTTATGACATTGTTTTTTTATATTGCTTTATATACGTTTAAAACACTAATGATGTATGTTTTTGTAATGTAATGTCAAAAATTCTTTTTGGACCTTAGGTTGAACAAGAAGTTCCTTAATGACAGATTTATCAAGCAAGCTAGTGTTTCATGGTCTCTGACAAAGAACGAACTTCAAAACATTCATTGTGTGCTTATTTCCAAAATTAAACTATTTAAATTTAGTGTTTCAACATGTTCTAAATTTGTATTTGTCCAGTTATACTTGGTTGTTATTTACTTATTAAATTTCTATTAAATTTGCTATTGGTGTTGTAAGGATGTGCAATGTTGTGGATGGGCAGTTTGAAATAAAGTGTGTTACATTTACATATATTGAATGTCCTGTCTCAAAATGGTCTTGGCTTGAATTATTTGAATTGACACATTCATTTTTTTCTTCCCTTGACAATTTTCACTATGTGAGAAAGTTTAAATTCGTTATATCTACGATGAACTTTAATGTTTCCTCATTTTACCCTTGAGTTAAATTTAGTCTGTATTCTATATACATAGTAATATAGTAGGTAGTCCAAACTGAAATTAACTATTGATTGCAGACTTCTGGAGTGAGTATGTCATGAAAGAACTTTTAATTGTAAGGTCTATGCCACAAATTTTATAAAAATATCTCAATAAATAAAAAAGTTATGCGATTTTTAAAAAAGCAAAATTTGGTAAAAAACTGATTTTCAAAAAGTGCCATTTTTGAGAACCCATATTTTTTAAACTAAATAACATAGAAGTGTGGAAATTGGTAAAGTTGCTGCAAAGTTTGTAATATATATGCCCAATTTTTTTCAGTTATCTAAAATGAGTCTTTCTAAGGTAAAAAAATAATTGAAAATGACAATAACGCGTTTTGGTCACTTTTATTTTCATAAAAAAAAAAAATTCAATTTTTTTTTTTTTTTGCTTTGGAATAACTCTAAAATTATTGTGTTGGTAACATCGACGTGGAAAAATGTGTTAATTATTTTCAAAAATCACATGAGTTAAAATATTATTTTAAAAAATACCACAGTTATCTAGTGCAGGAGAAACAGAATCAAAATTTAGTAGAGTAAATGTAATGTAATGTAGTTTAATAAAGACGTGATGCCACATGCTTTGGTTTCCTTTCAAACCTGATAACTGCTTTGGGGGAACAGTTTTGGGGGAACATCTTTGTACGTCTTGTTTCCCTCAACCTTGATCTTGTGGAGCATCAAGAGTAAGTAATATGTTTTGGGAATTGTAGGGGGGAGTGGGGTCTTGGCCTTCTTCCCTTCCCTTGTAAGGAAAGTTCTGGATAGGCCACCGTAAATGTCTCCAGCTATGGAACGAACAATTGATTTAGTGATTAATAAAATATAATTAAATTTACTACTAGCCTATTGTGTAGGCCTACTATTTGTCCTATGACTATAACTGGAAACATATGAAAAAGCCTGAAAACACCTTTTTGTTAAAAGTAATTTATATTTTTTATATATATTTTTAAGAGTAATTCTACTGAATGAAATTTGAAATTATCGTTGCTTGTCCCACAATGGTTGAGATATCCAATGATGAAGATGCCATACTGTGGTTCTCAACATCCTATAGGACAACTTAACTGTCCTTCATTGTTACTATTATATGCATATAAAATAAATAAATAATGAGAAATACTACTAGTACTACTTACACTTACAACTAATATAACATTTAAAACTAAGTCACAACATGTACAATCTTAATAAATTGCACAACCATCTAAAAATTGATCTGGTACATTTTATTAAGGAGACTGGCGCAGACCATTTCACATTATTCAGCAGGGGAATCAGAATCAGAGTGCACAACAGAAAATAAAAAAATTAATCACATTAGTCCTTAAAATTTAGTGTCTTTTGTTTTAAATAAATCGATAAAAATGTATAGTTATTATAATTATACATTTCTTTTGTGTTTCATTAATATTTTATAAGTATTTAACCTTCGTTCCCTGTAAATAATTGAGTTCGTCCACATAGTAACCAAGATAGTCTGGTGGCCATTTTGAATTTGTCGATTCATAATTTTGACGTGATAGTCCAGATAAACTGTAGTAATACGACCCTATCATTGATCCCAGTCAATAGATTTTAAAGAATTAGTAAACACTAGCATCTAATAGTTAAGTGCATCCATATTTTAAGTCCCTAGAATGTCCTGAATTAAATAGCTTCACGTCTAAACACACCCTGTGTACAAGCGTAGTTCACACGCTAAAACCGTGGACTTGAAGCGTTCAAATTTGCATTAATAACGTGTACTAATTAAACCAAACTGACATTCAAACTTAAAATTCATTTATTAAAATGGAAATGAAACTTTAAAAATGATACTTACAACTTGTTTGAAGGCTCTAGCAAGGGTAAAATCCGTTTAGCATCATCGGTCGTCAACCTTTAAAACCGTTCGGCGAGCAACTTACTCGGGGCTGAAAGTCGACTCGAGGGTTATATGTTTATTGGGGGTACGGCTTCGCGACCGTAAATCAGAAATACTTGAATTTACAACACAAAGTAGTTATAAAACTGAACTTTACATCGGTGTAAAAATTGAAACAGAATTAGTTTGTTTCCGTGTATATATCGTCATTTAAAGTTTAAAATCTGTATTTTTTAAATGGAATAAATAAGTTATTTTTTTCAATTTATACATCAAATGACAGCCTAGAATTCGATCTTTAAAATGACATTAAGATTATGCTTCTACGATGCTTCGTCGCGAAGCCGCGACCAAATAAAACAGTGTGGGGTCGATCGGTACACGCAAAACGGTGAAATTTGTTGACGTAACTGATACTTTTCAAACAAATATAAAACACATTCAGACATGTGTTACAGATATAAAAATACCAGATTACGACAGATAAAGACTTAAACTTTATTGACATATAATTTTTATTCTTATAGGACAACTAGAAGTAGTGAAATTTTTTTTTTGAAAACAGCAAAAACTGACCCTAAAACGCACTTTTTCGCCAGTTTGGACTACCTAAATATAGGTTTATAAAATATCTATAACAATAGTTTTGCTGTCTATGTATCTAAAGCTTGTACTAAAGAGAAAACACAAGGAAATTTTCTAAAGCCCGGGGAAAGTACACACTAATATGACATGTCATTTATTCTCGAGTACACATTTGATTAAAAAGGCAATCTTGTCTAATCTTGAAAGTGGTTAGCGTGAAGAGTTTCTTTCATGCATCTCCTCAGGTAGGGACAAGGGATCATTTATAAATGACGTCACGCTTTTTTTTTGACGATTTTTTTACCCCCCCCCCCCCCCTCCGTCACACGTCACAAAAAGCCAGAGCCTCTTCCCACCCACCCCCCCTAAAATGACGTTACACCTCAGCCTACAACCCCCCCTCAAAATTGTAGTTGAATTTTTTTTAAACATCGATATTTTTCCAAAATCTTGTCTGAAATATGTCAACATAGAGTATTTTAATCAATTCCTATTATAATTTATTAAAACTTATCTAAAACGCTAAATAACGTCTAAAATTAGTTTTCTAACATTTCTTGTCTATAAATATAAAGCAAAAGTGTGACATCGCACCATCTGAACCCCCTCATCACACATAGTCACAAAATTACCGACACCCCCCCCCCCCTACGAGTGACGTCATTTATGGACGACCCCCCAAAGCCGCCGCCCCCCCCTGTACGAACGTCTAATCCGCCCCCTCAAAAGAAATGACGTCATCGATACTCTATAATAAAAACACTGACATTACGCCCTAATTAATGTACCTAATCTTAAGTGGTTTGCGTGGAGTTTCATTCATGCATCTCTTCGGGTAGGGATAAAGCCCTACTTCTATAATAGACCGGCTTTTGGCCGATAAACCTTACTCGCGCAGTGTTCCTTTCAGACTTTTCCGGGGGCGGGGCACTTGAATTTTTGCAGGGGCGAATAAAATTCTCCGGGACCGACATTGTAAAAGTACACATTTTCTATATAAATTATATTTTTTTATGGTGGGGGTTTTATGTTAGTTTCCATATATGGGCTACAACTGTATGTGACAGCCTCCTCCATGATGGATAATCATCAAAGAATAAAATCAAAGACAGTCGGCGTCACCGACCACGTGCAACAAGACGGAACGTTCAGAAGACTTTGCCGCGTTTTGTAAGTTGAACAATAGTGTTCAAGCGACTTGAGATGGCGTGGGCGTCAGAAACCAGATCTTGAGAACATTGAACAAGAAATGGAGGTTGCCATATATGCAACGACTTCCTCAGCTAAGACATCTGCTGCCGTGGCGGAACGTCCAGACCAGTTGCGTGACAATAATGTGGCCAACAGATTCTATATAGTTTGTGAAAAACATTGTAGTGCAGCTCATTCTTGTGGATCCTGTGGCAACGATGTCCATGCTATGTGTGGAATACCCAATGAAGCAGACGAAGGTTACGGAGGAAATATCACCTGCAGATTATGTCACAACAAACAAGACATCATGGAACACAGGTCAGCAGCTCATACTAGCTTGCAAACTCAAGGTGCTAAGATGCTTAAAACATCAAATACAAAATTTAAAGATGCTGATGTGGGTCACAATGTACGAATCAGATGTTGACAGAGGTCGCGGTGATCCCCGAAGCGTGATTGCAGTTGTCATGAGCGTCGAGGGCGGTTTCTACAAATTAGGAACGGACCATTGTGTTCTAAAACAACTATATGCTAGAAGTGAGTTTTCAATTCTTCACGAAAAACTGCTCTTATTGTCGTCAGTTGGCACTGAGGAAAAATCAGTACGAACCATCGCATCTTCACAATCATTGACTGGGGGCCAAGGCTACACTCGCTGCACTTGCACAACCAAGCGCACAACATATCGCTGCAAGTGTAAAAATAACAAGCTACTATGTAATTCTAAATGCCATAAAAGTTCAACTTGTAACAAATGATAATATTGATTGATTGATACTATAGTACAATAAAAAAAATTGAAAATTTCTGTCATTTACTTTAATTAATAATCAATAAATGATCCTTACGGCATAAAAAAATCTGCTCATGATCTTCTAATTCGGACTTTGGCCGGTCGTCCCTAGCCAGATGATCTTCTAATTAAGACTTTGGCCGGTCCACCATGGCCAATCCGCGGACTGGCCGGCCAAATGCCGAAATCAAGCAAAGTTTCGGACTTTGACCGGTCAATGGGAGGCGATATTGGCCAATCCGCGCATTGGCCGACTTCGGGCTTTGACCGTGTCATATATATATATATATATATATATATATATATATATATATATATATATATATATATATATATATATATATATATATATATATATATATATATATATATATATATATATATATATGTTACGGTCAAAGCCCGAAGTCGGCCAATGCTAGGATTGGCCGGCCATTCCGCGCATTGGCCAATATCGCCTCCCATAGGTCGGTCAAAGTCCGAAGCTTTGCTTGATTTCGGCCTTTGGCCGGCCAATCCGCAGACTGGCCATGGTGGACCGGCCAAGGTCTTAATTAGAAGATCATCTGGTTAGGGACGACCGGCCAAAGTCCGAATTAGAAGATCATAAGCAGATTTTGTTTTTTTTTTATGCCGTAAGGATCATGAAATTAAGTCTTTATTGATTATTAATTAAAGTAAATGACAGAAACATTCAAATTTTTTATTGTACTATTGTCTCAATTAATATCATCATTTGTTACAATAAGTTGAACTTTTATGGCATTTAGAATTATATAGCAGCTTGTTATTTTTACACTTGCAGCGATTTGTTGTGCACTTAGTTGTGCAATTGCAGCGAGTGTAGCCTTGGACCCCAGTCATTGATTGTGAATTCTCCTCAGTGCCAACTGACGACAATAAGAGCAGTTTTTCGTGAAGAATTGAAAACTCACTTCTAGCATACATTTGTTTTAGAACACCATGTTCCGTTCCTAATTTGTAGAAACCGCCCTCTACGCTCATGACAACTGCAATCACGCTTCGGGGATCACCGTGACCTCTGTCAACATCTGGAAAACGGATGCGTACATTGTCACCCACTTCACTATCTTTAAATTTTGTATTTGATGTTTTAAGCATCTTAGCACCTTGAGTTTGCAAGCCAATATGAGCTGCTGATCTGTGTTCCATGATATCTTGTTTGTTGTGACACAATCTGCAGGTAATGTTCCCTCCGTACCCTTCGTCTGCTTCATTGGGTATTCCACAAATAGCATGGACATCGTTGCCACAGGATCCAAAAGAATGAGCTGAACTACAATGTTTTTCACAAACTATATAGAATCTGTTGAACACATTATTGTCACGCAACTGGTCTGGGCGTTCCGCCACGGCAGTAGATGTGTTAGCTGAGGATGTCGTTGCATTTATGGCAACCTCCATTTCTTGTTCAATGTTCTCAAGATCTTCCTCAGTAACTATTTTATTGAGAGCCCATATATGGAAACTAACATGGATTTACATTTTTTTCTTTTGACAGCCATCTGCTATGTCTGTCTCATGGTCTGACTGCCCTTTTGATCCATGTCGACTTGCATATAGAATGCTATACAAACAAGAGCTAAACAATACGTTACTCTCAATGAAAACGCACCCAGAATAATGAAAATGCGATCACAACTTAGTCTAGATAGAACATTGGCCAGGACATCCCGGCCAGTGAGCGCATTGGCCGGCCAATGTACAAAATACGCTGTCAAGTTTTAGCGCTTCGGACTCTGGCCAGCACGTCCCGGCCAGTGCGCGCATTGGCCGGCCAATGTTCGAAATACGATCTTAGTGCTAAGTTTTTCGGGCTTTGGCCAAGAGAGCCGGCCAATGCGCGGATTGGCCGGCCAATCCGCGCTTTGGCCGCACTTCGGGCTTTGACCGTAACATATATATATATATATATATATATATATATATATATATATATATATATATATATATATATATATATATACTTTGTTTCTTGGGGGGGGGGGGGGGGTGACAGCACGAAGTGCCGAACCGCTTGACACCTGACATACCGACGCCACGGGTATTTAATACAATCCAACCGCCGACCTTTGTCAACAAAGCAATGTGGATTGTTTATGTTGCCACATAGTTACATACATGAAACGCAGGAAAACACACATTAATGCGCGTTTTTCTGCTTATTGGTTTCAAAAATTTTAATGTCACGACACCGAAAAACACTATGCGTAATACATTACTTCGATCTAGATTATATCTAGATTCCATATATTTCATTTAAATATCACGAATAAAAAATCAAAACATTTAAATCTACTTGAAAAGTAACCATCATGTTTGTATTTCATAACAGGTAGGACCGAATGTAAAGGATACACCTAAGGTAATTTTTCTCTTAATAAAGTCTAAGATGTTAATCAAACGAGTATTTTCAAGTTATGCATTTATCAAGGTCTAATAGAAAAATATAGAAAATCTAGATCTAGATTTTGCATATATTTTTAACACTTAAAATTTCTAACGTTAAAAATTCATTTTAAGTATTCCTAGATCCTCTATGTCTATTGTGGAATCGAAACAACAGAACGGGGTTCTTTTCAATGTCAAAATAAATAAACCAGATAGACGTGTAAAGCAAAAATGCTAATTTTGCTAGCAATGATACTTATTCTTTTAATTTCACCAGGTAAGAAAGTTACTTAACAACGGATACTTGCGGTTCCAAACTGTACAAGTCTCCATTAAAAATAATAAATTATTTTCAGTAGCCTCACAAGGCGGCAGCGGGAGTGCTGAAAATAGAAAATTATATGGGAAAGTCAGCTTTTCCCAGTAAGTTTAAGGAAGTGTGCTCCGGAAAAAAAAACTTCTTAAAAATAAGCCTTATTTACTTAATTTGCGTGGTTCTATGTTAGGGTAAATAAAGGAAAATATGTAAATGCATCTGGGACTTTAGTGGAAGTCTGGTTGCCATGGTAACGGCGGCCATAGTGAAAAATTTTTTTATAGAGGTCTCAACGTTAAAAAATTAACATATATATTGTCATATAGTAATTGATCCTTCTTTTACTAACTATATATGTATATATATATATATATATATATATATATATATATATATATATATATATATATATATATATATATATATATATATATACATATATATATATATATATATATATATATATATATATATATATATACACATGTATATATACATATATATATATATGTATATATATATATATATATATATATATATATATATATATATATATATATATATATATATATATATATATATATATATATATATATATATATATTCATATATAATTTGTTCTGGTACAGTCTGATCGATTTGCTTGTATCTCAGGAAATAAGTTCTTTATTGAAATTAATTGAAATGTCATTTATCTGTTCCAGCCCCCATTGCCACCCCAATTGTTTTTGTTAAGTGTTTTTTTAATAGGAAAATTGTGTGGCATCTGCTTCATCTAAACATTGCATATTGTTTGTGCCTTCTAGCACATGATGCCCTGTGTTAAGGCATCTCCTGCTAGCTGCTTCTCCATCACGCTGCCATTTGCAAGGTCTCTATTTTTTCATAAATAGAGGATCTGAGCTTTGAAATTATTGTAGCACCCTTAGCTGGCCCTACAGCCTTTATCAACTCCTTCTGTTTAAGCACATTTTTCCATTGTTCCATCTGTTGCATGATGAACGACTTTGATTATTATCTCACCTCATCATCATAGAAAAGCTATCGCATACATCTGGGTGGACTACGGAGCACTTCGCCCGGTAATAAATCAACCTATATAGGATGTGTATAAGAGCAAGTTATAGAAATATTCGAAAGTTCCCTGTTCATGTACTCCAACCTAACGTTGATATGGGCATGTCCGTTGGCTTGGATGTGAATGTAACAGTTGATCGTTGAACATTTAGAATCAAGTAGGCCGAGTTGCCATAGAGGGTCTTTATGACTCTGAAATTCTCAGACTTAACGTGATTAATTTTTTTTTGATAAAAAAATAATCGGCCTGCGTTTTAAAGAAAATTATTTTTTACGTTTGCAATGCAGTATATGGGAAAGCTGGAGACGATATGGCAAGACTTTATGAGCTTTTATTTCTCAATCACAACAAAGATGTGCGTCCTATTTGCGATGGGAACATGCCCTTAGAAGTGAAAATCCAAGTGATTCTGAGGCAAATTGTTGAGCTGGTAAAGTTAAATAGTTGTAGGAATGCGTGTACATTGATATCGGTATTGGTGTAAATGTAGCCGTCTTGCAGAATACCAAGGAAAAAGGGCAAAAACCAGTGGCGGAACAAGAAAAAAAAGCCCCCCCCCCTCAGAATATATATATATATATATATATATATATATATATATATATATATATATATATATATATATATATATATATATATATATGTAAAAGTACATAAAAAGTAGCATTTAAAATACCCCTGTTTTACGTTGCGCTTTATCAATCCATGCTAATTATATAATTATGTGTTTTTTTTCAACATCAAAACAAACTAATAAAAATATTTTTTCCCGATGGGTCTAAAGTCTAATGGAGGTAAATTTTTTTAGTGATCTATCAAGGAAAGTAATTGGGGATAAGGATCTAAGGGAAGTAATTTGTACACTTTTTTCAGAGAGTACATATTTCAGACCGCAACTTCAAATATCAGCCACAACACGCTAGTGCAAAACAAACTTCAGGGAAGAATAAACTTACACGATATACAGACCAAAATCTATGCATTCAGACTAACATACATTAGCAGAATAATCAGTCAACCACACTTTCACCCACTAGCTCACTACAATATAGGCATTCAGCTCAACAAAATAACAAAAATAAATAATACAACTCCACATTACATAGGACAAATGATAAACATCGTAACTATTACGTCTGCAGTCCCTTTTACGCAGAATGCTTACAAATATTAATAAACCGGGAGTGATCTCCCCTAAACTTTCTCGAATATTCTTATATAACACTACGTGGGATGGCAACTCGGAAAATAGACATGATTTTTAATTACTTAAACTTTTAAAAATAGAATAGAATCTCGTAGAAAAAAAGAATTGCGCACCAATCGAACGCCAAAACAAAATATGCATAATAGTGCGGAATATTATTAGTACTTTTTAAATTTACATGCGTTTTTTTGAGAAATCGGAAATAGCGTAAATTACTACTTCCGGTCAACGGAAATTACTCAAAATTTGAAAGAAGGTAGATTAGATCTTTTACTTACATGTGAAATTTCATTTATCTATCTGAAATAGTACTCAAGTTATAGGCTTTTGAAAAATTCAAAGTAGAAAAAGTACCACTTACGGTTATCGGAAATCGCCCAAAAGTTGATACGGATCTACGATTTTGATAAAATACTTATATATGAAATTTCATCAACCTAGCTTTAACGGTACTGAAGTTATCGTGTTTACAGACACACAGACACACAGACACACATACACCCAGACACACAGACATACGGACAAGATTGCAAAAATATGTTTTTCCGACTCAGGGAGGTGTAAAAAAAAAAACGTCGAGATTTGTAAAAATCTTGATTTTTTTTTTTTGCACGATTACAAGACTTTCTCTATACTTCGTAAATACGAGAAAGTAAAAAACAACGAAAAACGCGTATACGAAAAGTCAAAAGCATTTACAAAAAGCTCGTACAAAAACTCTCAACCCCATTATTCAACAGATTCCAATGGAATTCATCTAATAACCATCAGACCCAAAGCCAAGGAAATAACATATAGACTCATTTACAACTCAACACCCTTAGTAGAACAACAGAAACACTATTGCCCACTATGCAGACAAAACACACCAGAAACCGAAACGCACATCTAGGCCTATTTAGAATGCCCCACCATACAAAACATAAAAAAGACACTAGAAACCAAATAACGACTAGAAACTAGATCTTCCAAATCCACACAGCTTTAACTCTAAACCAAATTCCTAAAACAAAGAGACAGGACGGACGTAGGGCAAAAAGTAAGGACGGTATCGTAGCTATTTGGAACCATTTGGAACAGTAGAATTAGAGTATCACTGAAAATCAATCTTATCATTGTAGCCATTTAAAAAACAAACGGGTCTGTTCACAAATCATTTTCTATGCTACCCATTCAATCTGATAAATAAAATTGGTATCAAATTAAATTGAAGGTAAATAAATGTTTATTTTTTTTTCAGTCATCATGAAGTTTAAGATCGCCCGTTGTTAAAACTAGACCGGTATACGCAAAAATAACGATTTTAATGACCATGAAATCTAATATATAAAGCTCAGTTCTGTAACGTGTGGCAAAAAAGTTTGTCGTTGACAGTTCTATGGATTTAAGTGTTAGATTTTTTATCGTGCTCATAGTCTAAATTTACGAGTCAAAAAATTACCATTGAAAGTCTTTAAAAACAATTTTCATTCTATTTACTTAGAAGAATAATTTTCAATTATGAACACGACATAAAATTTTTAAAAAGTGTATCGACGTTTATAAAATTTCTAAAATTGTGTCGGAAATGTATTGACTGCACAGTTACTTCCCTTTAATAAAAAAAAATCCTTAAGAAGAAAGAATTTACATTTTATTACTTTGTTTTTGGTGTTAAGAAAAAAAAAATAATTACATAATTAGCGGGGATTGATTAAGTGCAATGCCGTTAGGTATTTTTAACACTGCCTTTTATTTATTCTATACACTGAACATACTGTTCAATATTTTTTTTTTAAATCAATAACATTTAATAAGCCAGGTCCTACAAATCCTATATGTTTATTTCTTTCCATTTACGGATAAGCTTGGAGTATTATCATTTTTGTTCACTAAATTGAAACAGGCGCGTCCGCCGGCGCCCTTGCACGGTTCGATTTGGCACCCTGGGCTATCATGTGAGCGCTATGCTGCATAGTTTTGTTTTTAACAGTGCGATAGACTATGGGTAAAAAAGGTTACTATAGTCTTTAAGTGAATCAAATCCGGGCGTCCTCCGGCACACCGACAGGGTGCTATTTGGCGCCCCGGGCCTTCCGGTGTACGCTATGGTATATACGTTCGCGTGAGTTCAAAAGACTATGAATAAGTTATGTACTATAGTCGTTTACTAAGTTCAATCAGGCGGTGACGTCATGGTGCGTCCTCTGGCGCCCAGACAGGGTGCTATTTGGGGTCTCGGGCCTCCCGTGTTCGGTTTCGCGCCTACGTTCATTAAAGTGAGTGCAAAAGACTATGAATAAGTTGGGGTACTATAGTCGTTTATTAAGCTGAAACAGGCGATTCCGCCCCGGGCTAGACTCTGAGCACTGTGCGTTTATGTTCGCGTTAGTGTTTTCTTTGTGTTTAGGTTGGGTTTGCGTTAGTGGTTGCGTTTTGATTTGGTTCGTTTTTGTTCTTTCTTTTTTCGTTTTCGTTTGTGTTTTATCTTCTTTGCGTTTGTGTTTGTATTTGTGTTTGTGGTTGGTTTTGCGTTTGTATTTGGTTTGTTTTCGTTTGTTTTTTCGTTTGTGTTTTTTTCTTTGGGTTTGTGGTTGGTTTTGCATTTGGATTTGGTTTGTTTTCGTTTGCTTTTTCGTTTTTTTTTCTTTGTGTTTGTATTGGTGTTTGTGGTTGTGGTTGGGTTAGTTGTTAGGTTTTTGTTTTCGTTTGTATTTGTAATTGTGTTAGCGTTATGTTTGCGTTTTGTTGTTTTGGTTTTGGTTTGGGTGTGCAATGCCGGGTTTATGATGATTACTAAACACACAGGTAATGGTCTTTAACAGAAAGGTTTTTCACAGAAGCCAGAGCAGGGCCTGGCCGGGACGGCTAGTCTAATATATAAAGCTCAGTTCTGTAACGTGTGGCAAAAAAGTTTGTCGTTGACAGTTCTATGGATTTAAGTGTTAGATTTTTTATCGTGCTCATAGTCTAAATTTACGAGTCAAAAAATTACCATTGAAAGTCTTTAAAAACAATTTTCATTCTATTTACTTAGAAGAATAATTTTCAATTATGAACACGACATAAAATTTTTAAAAAGTGTATCGACGTTTATAAAATTTCTAAAATTGTGTCGGAAATGTATTGACTGCACAGTTACTTCCCTTTAATAAAAAAAAATTCTTAAGAAGAAAGAATTTACATTTTATTACTTTGTTTTTGGTGTTAAGAAAAAAAAAAGAATTACATAATTAGCGGGGATTGATTAAGTGCAATGTCGTTAGGTATTTTTAACACTGCCTTTTATTTATTCTATACACTGAACATACTGTTCAATATTTTTTTTTTTAAATCAATAACATTTAATAAGCCAGGTCCTACAAATCCTATATGTTTATTTCTTTCCATTTACGGATAAGCTTGGAGTATTATCATTTTTGTTCACTAAATTGAAACAGGCGCGTCCGCCGGCGCCCTTGCACGGTTCGATTTGGCACCCTGGGCTATCATGTGAGCGCTATGCTGCATAGTTTTGTTTTTAACAGTGCGATAGACTATGGGTAAGAAAGGTTACTATAGTCTTTAAGTGAAACAAATCAGGGCGTCCTCCGGCACCCCGACAGGGTGCTATTTGGCGCCCCGGGCCTTCCGGTGTACGCTATGGTATATACGTTCGCGTGAGTTCAAAAGACTATGAATAAGTTATGTACTATAGTCGTTTACTAAGTTCAATCAAGCGGTGACGTCATGGTGCGTCCTCTGGCGCCCAGACAGGGTGCTATTTGGGGTCCCGGGCCTCCCGTGTTCGGTTTCGCGCCTACGTTCATTAAAGTGAGTGCAAAAGACTATGAATAAGTTGGGGTACTATAGTCGTTTATTAAGCTGAAACAGGCGATTCCGCCCCGGGCTAGACTCTGAGCACTGTGCGTTTATGTTCGCGTTAGTGTTTTCTTTGTGTTTAGGTTGGGTTTGCGTTAGTGGTTGCGTTTTGATTTGGTTCGTTTTTGTTCTTTCTTTTTTCGTTTTCGTTTGTGTTTTATCTTCTTTGCGTTTGTGTTTGTATTTGTGTTTGTGGTTGGTTTTGCGTTTGTATTTGGTTTGTTTTCGTTTGTTTTTTTCGTGTGTGTTTTTTTCTTTGGGTTTGTGGTTGGTTTTGCATTTGGATTTGGTTTGTTTTCGTTTGCTTTTTCGTTTGTTTTTTTTTCTTTGTGTTCGTATTGGTGTTTGTGTTTGTGGTTGGGTTAGTTGTTAGGTTTTTGTTTTCGTTTGTATTTGTAATTGTGTTAGCTTTATGTTTGCGTTTTGTTGTTTTGGTTTGGGTTTGGGTGTGCAATGCCGGGTTTATGATGATTACTAAACACACAGGTAATGGTCTTTAACAGAAAGGTTTTTCACAGAAGCCAGAGCAGGGCCTGGCCGGGACGGCTAGTATTAAAATAAATAAAAAATGGAATCACGGTATCGCCGTTTTCGGCAGCCATCATTACTAACACGACGGTAAAAGAAAGTACGTCGAGCGACAACCTAAATTATTAGATATGTATCTGTTGCGTTTAAGTCTTGTTAGTTAATTGCTTATTCTTTCAGTCCAGTCCATGACTCAAAAAAGTGTATAAAAACTTTTTGTTTAGAACTTAATAGGTTCCAAGATACAAAAATGTCATAAGATTTTTAGCGCAATTTCCATTCTGGAGAATTGCGTTTATTAACCCGTCATTTCTGGATGTATGAATGTATGAATGTATGAATGTGTGTCCGCAGCTTTAAGTCGTATCTCCTCCTCAACGAAGCAATATCGAGGACTAGTTCCAAAGCAATTATGTTAAGCAAGTTACCAGGATGATAGTGGGCCAAAAAAATTCCGGGTTTCTTTCATGGATTTCCCGGAAAAGCCAAAAAACCTCGAAAAATGCAGTTTTCGGCCCATATCTCGGCAACCAGACCACTTAGCGACTTGAAACATTTACCAATCGATTCCTGCTATAATTTAGAACAATATTGCAGAAGAAAGTTTTCAAAAATATCCTTTCGTTCGGTCACAATTTTTTTTTTTAATTTGTTAAAATTTGGACCGAATTAGTAGGCATGTTTATCCAACCACACCACACGCGTCATCACGTTCAATAGCTGCGCCATCACGTTAAATGGATGCGTCATCACGTTCAGTAGCTAGGCGCGCAATGGTTTTTAGTCATGTAACTCTATTGTAAATAAAACATGTAAAATACTGAATTTTTTTAAATAAAAAACGTTTTAATAACTAACCAATGGTTTTACTAACCCTGCTCTTGATTTACGCTACGACAGAGCTATTTTTAGATAACAAGGAAATTGCGCTAAAATTGTCACTAGACTTTTTAATTACCTTGTATTTTTACTTATTAGAAATTTGTGTTTTACATTTTTAGAAATAAATAAATAGTTTCAGGGGCGGAACTACAGTGCCGCCAGACCCCGCAATGCGGGGGGGGGGGGGGGGGGGCACGCCATTTAGGGGCCCACAGCCGACCACAATACAAAAACTTTATAGTTAAAAAAAAAATCTCGCATTTTTGACTTGATGGTTGTATTGTAAAAAGATTACCATAGCTGCGGTTGGATTATCTTTATACTATAGTCACCACCCCACGCTCGTGTATATTCTTTTTCCCTTTGTTTTTAAACCACTGTGAAAGCCGAGTCCTCTTTCTCCTACAATCAAACGTATCAAAGATAAGCAAACGTTCAAACCACTTCCATGACTTATCTCCCTTTTTAAAATAGTCAAATAAGGGTGCTCATAAGCTCCTTTTAATAGATTTGTACTAAAATAATTAAAAGGCAATTACTTCACCTAATTATTATTTTAAAATAAATTACTCACTAAAGAATGACATTATATAAAAAGGAAATGTTTTTAAAATTAATAATATAAATACAAAAAAAAATTAAAAATAAACATAACACTAGACACCATTATTTATTCAAGCTTTCATGTTTTATATTCTTTTGACCTACTAGAGGTAAAGAGGTCTTATAGCAGAGATAAAATTAAACTGATTTTCAAAACAGACTAATGCACTTACAAACATTACATGTTGTTGTAGTTTGTTTTAATTTAAAAAAAATAATTCTCTTTTCAAAACTCGAACAGGCCAGAAATGAGTATTCTATGTTCGTATTATATATATATATATATATATATATATATATATATATATATATATATATATATATATATATATATATATATATATAATGTAGGGGGGGGGGGCAGACATTTTTTTTGCAGGGTGGCCCTTTTTTTTTAGTTCCGCCACTGAATTGTTTTATTATTTATTACAAGAGTTTATTTTACCCGCATCTTCCTGCTTTTGTCTGTTGTGTCTTTGTCTTCGTCAGTCATGTGTTAAACTGCCGAACGAAATTTTGACCACTTTAAACGGACTGATTCGTTTCAGACTTGGCAAGTACCGTGGGTCAAGACTCGATGACAATGCAACCTGACATCAAATTTGACTTAAGCGAATGCGTAATTTATGTTTTATGAATTAATTACAGATTCCAATATTAAGTACTATTTTCAGCGCTATTGTACGCACTTTTTGTGAAGAAAGTCTATATTGAAAATATATACTTTTACCAGTGTCCCTGTCCCCCCCCCCCCTTCCCCCGGAAAATAAGTTCCGCCCCCCCCCCCTCCCTTCGAAAATATCAAGAGCCCCTCCAGCGCAGAAAAATGATTGCAAGAAACACAGCTTCGTTCACTTTGGTTACATGGTTGTTACCCCACTTGTTAGGTTATTTTTTTTAAAATAAATTAAGCGAATTTATTGAGTGTAAAAGAGTGTTGAAGTAAGCACAGATGCCTAGAGTTTATAGTTGACATATAATAAGCGTTAATATATTTTTTAGTAACCAGATCTAAGTAAATTTTCGGTTTAAAGAGAGATAGATAGACTATAATAGCATCATATAATCCTGTTTATCTCCATGGACAGAATGAAAATAAACAAGAACTCTCTTTGACATTGGGGATCGGCTTTGTAAGTTGATATATTTGTGTTGATATATTTGTATTGATATATTTTATGTTACAACAAACTGATAAGAATAGTTGACTAATTACAAGTCAAATAATCCGAGCAGTACTGGTTCAACTGTTTCCTGCAATGGGACCCTGTCAGCTATGGTAACCTCACGAGTCTAACTGTCCCATTTAAAAGAATCTGGACACCAGATATTAGTAACTTTGAAAGGTAGGCCTAGTAGTTTACTTATACAAGTATTTAGAGTTTTAGATTAAGAACGAATTTTTTGGCAAAGTAAAAAAATAGAAAAACAATGAAGCAATGTTGTATAGAATTGTGTTGAACTGTGGCGAGGAGAACACTCCTTTGATTTTATTATGAGTGTGCAATAAATGAGCAATAGTTAGAGTAAAAACACCTGCGGTTTCGCCCATTTGGTATCACAATAAATAAACATTCTCTAGTCAGTATTTCCCTCTTAAAATGATATTACGCTGATAAAAATCGTGTCTCTCTAAACCATTTATTTTGCAAGGGAAGAGGTAAAAGAATATATTTACAGAATCCCGAAAAATGTAATTGCTTATTGCTTATACGTTGCCATATTTTTGACATTGAGAAAGAATTTCACTGAGCACTTCTCGGTATATCTCATTGCACGCATATTGTATTTAACAAACTCATCAGCACGACCTAGGCTCGAAGCGAACGGACCATTCGGAGTGGAGCCTGGATCAGCCGCCTAATTTTACTTCTAGGAAACGAATAAAATATTTTGATGGCCGATTCTAGGTAGTTTCGGGTTACGCGATTTGCGTGTAAAAGTAAGAAAAGTTCTCTTTTGGAACCTGACGGTCAATTAGGCAAGTGCAGTAGATTTCACCTGTTTCTGTGACCACGGCATGTGAAGAGATATTGTGGCATGCACCCTGATTCGAACTTGCGTACCGGTCCCGCGTTGCCGCGATCTGGTATTTTTTGAAGTGTGAACTTTTATCTAGAAATGAGTTATTTAAATGTAAACTATGTCGGCCCTATATTTATTGCATGTTATTTTTTTGAGTGCGGAATTGCCTGGAAACCTAGAGTGTACATTGATGCCCCTCCGTATTACCGAGGTTACACTCCCTCAGGGGCGCCGGGTTGTGACTCCTGATTCAGCTTAGTCACTGAATGTTGTGGCTCACTAACTTCCAGCGTATGGTGCTGTTTAAAACGAATGTAGGCACCATAGTGCTTATAAGGGAGTCTGGGCGCTACAGGTCACCCGAATGCAGGCGCCTGTCACGATGCGGCTCCCCAGTGACATGCACAACTATTAATAATTATATTATTTTATTTTCAAAACTCATTAAAATATTATACTGTAAAGAAAAACAACTTTAAACAGGATAAAAACACTTATCGGAGAACAATGATAGTAGCTTAGGTAGAAAGTATACGGACAGCTGACAGCCGCTTGGACACCAGGCCCAGCCCCCACAGCCGTGCTGTGGACAGCCACGCAGCAACAATTCCATTCTTGCCACTGCCGAAGTGCAGAATTTTTCGAAAATTGTTGAACGGGGAATGTTATTTTATCCAGAAAGCATTTCTCCATCTGTCACTATTCGTATGCATTAATTTGAATTGAGAGACGTAGTTTTTGTTTTAGTTATTAGTTTCTGAAGTGGGTAGGGATAGTCCTATAGTTCTATTATTTGATTACTAATTTTATCATAGCAGAGCTATCTAAGATACTTTATTATGTTTTGTGCGAAACATTTCTATGTTTTTATATAAATAAATATTACTTCATATTTAAACCTTTTTAAGTCAAAAATCACAATTTATTTACCTAATCCAGCCGATTAAACATTATTTTTAATGTAAGACTCGATGAAATTATCCCCATGAAACTTTGGGGAGTAAATGGGAATACTCCCGAGAAGATTTCTGCGGGAAAAAAAATTCAATTTCTCACGGGCGGCCCCCGGCAGGGTGCGATTTGTCGCCCCGGTCTTTCCCGTGAGAGCTGTGGCGCCTACGTTAGTTTTAAACAGTGCAATAGACTATGGATAAAATAGAGCATTATAATCGTTCAATAAATTGAATCAGGCTAATTTTCCGGCTCTCCGGCAGGGTGCGATTATTCGCTCTGGGTTATCCCGTATGCGCTATGGCGCCTTGGTTAGTTTCATAAAGTGTGATAGACTATGGATAAGTTGGTGCGATATAGTCGTTGACTAAATTGAATTAAGCGCGTCCACCTGTGCCCCAGCATGGTGCTATTTGGCGCCCTGTATTATCCTGTGAGCACCATGGCGCCTGCGTATGTTTTAAGCAGCCAGGGGCCGTACGCTGCGCCACTGCGGTTGTGTAACCTGGGACTCTCGACGTCCCTGACACCTGGGCGGTCACCGAATTGTGTTCCACCTCACTATTACGATAAATGATTAACGTACAGTCAAGGCTTTCATGCGGTAGGTAACCCGAGCCCCGATAAATATGATCAAAGTGCGGGCACTGTTTACATTTAAATTTAAACTAAGTTTTTGAAAAATAGGTCACACACCTCTAAGAAAATAAGATTGGTAACGCATTGATGAAACCTTTCTTATATATTTCGTCAGACTTTCTTTTATCCCCGCGGCAACGCGTGGAACTGGCACGCCAGTATTAGAATAAAAATGTTAGTGACTCTAAAATTTTTAAAAGAGGCACTGTGCAGAACGCCCAATCAATGGATCTATGGTGCTAAGATAGCCGCCGGGAAACTCAGGTTGCAAAACCACACCCAACTGCCAGGGCGCCGCCCCCCGTGCAGAAACCGACCCAGGAGTATTCTTAACAATTTTCCTAAGTTTCGCGGCGATCATTAGAGTAATGCATAAGACTAAAACACACACACTCACACAAATATAGCGCCGGATTTGTTTACAATAGTTACCCAGTTTTAGAAAACATGACCGTGCGTCTAAAAATACACCATTGGTAACGTGTTGAAAACCTTTATAAAACGTTTTGTCACCCTAGTGTGTAGTACTAAATCTCTCTTGTTTACTCATTAGCTGGGTGACCCCAGGTACGTTCTACTGATGGAAACAGGATATGATCTCGAGACTTTTGGATTAGCAATCTAGCGCCCTACCACGCCGTCCCATATATATATATATATATATATATATATATATATATATATATATATATATATATATATATATATATATATATATATATATATGCAATTTATTATTTTTACTCAGCAGCATACATGGTACTCTTATCGACTTCAGCAACCATTACGTGACTATCAAACATACCGGTGTCTGCATGCTACATTTTCCTATGCTAATGAAATCGTCTTGTAGCATTGATGTATATTTTTTCCCATATGATACACAGGTATATTTCTCCACTCACCACTTCTGAACTTGACCAACACAAAAATACTTATTTTTCTAAAATAATATTGACCACTAAAGTGATTAAATTACAAAAGAAGCGAAAGTAGTTTACTTTAGAAAAGTATCTGCATGATCACTTGTTACAACATAAAAAATAAACAAGTGAAACATATGGACAGGTGAGACATGGACAGGTGAGACATGGACAGGTGAGACATATGGACAGGTGAGACATATGAGCAGGTGAGACATATGGACAGGTGAGACATGGACAGGTGAGACATATGAACAGGTGAGACATATGGACAGGTGAGACATATGGACAGGTGAGACATATGAGCAGGTGAGACATGGATAGGTGAGACATGGACAGGTGAGACATATGAACAGGTGAGACATATGGACAGGTGAGACATGGACAGGTGAGACATGGACAGGTGAGACATATGAACAGGTGAGACATGGATAGGTGAGACATGGACAGGTGAGACATATGGACAGGTGAGACATATGAGCAGGTGAGACATGGACAGGTGAGACATGGACAGGTGAGACATGGACAGGTGAGACATATGAACAGGTGAGACATGGACAGGTGAGACATATGGACAGGTGAGACATGGACAGGTGAGACATATGAACAGGTGAGACATATGGACAGGTGAGACATATGGACAGGTGAGACATATGAGCAGGTGAGACATGGATAGGTGAGACATGGACAGGTGAGACATATGAACAGGTGAGACATATGGACAGGTGAGACATGGACAGGTGAGACATGGACAGGTGAGACATATGAACAGGTGAGACATGGACAGGTGAGACATGGACAGGTGAGACATGGACAGGTGAGACATATGAACAGGTGAGACATGGACAGGTGAGACATATGGACAGGTGAGACATATGAACAGGTGAGACATGGACAGGTGAGACATATGAACAGATGAGACATATGAACAGGTGAGACATCGACAGGTGAGACATATGAACAGGTGAGACATGGACCGGTGAGACATATGAACAGGTGAGACATGGACAGGTGAGACATATGAACAGGTTAGACATATGAACAGGTGAGACATCGACAGGTGAGACATATGAACAGGTGAGACATATGAACAGGTGAGACATCGACAGGTGAGACATATGAACAGGTGAGACATATGAGCAGGTGAGACATGGACAGGTGAGACATATGGACAGATGAGACATGGACAGGTGAGACATAGGGACAGGTGAGACATGGACAGGTGAGACATGAACAGGTGAGACATGGACTGGCGAGACATATTAACAGGTGAGACATATGAACAGGTGAGACATGGACAGGTGAGACATACGGACAGGTGAGACATGGACAGGTGAGACATATGAACAGGTGAGACATATGAACAGGTGAGACATGGACAGGTGAGACATATGAACAGGTGAGACATATGAGCAGGTGAGACATGGACAGGTGAGACATATGGACAGATGAGACATATGAACATGTGAGACATGGACAGGTGAGACATGGACAGGTGAGACATAGGGACAGGTGAGACATAGGGACAGGTGAGACATGGACAGGTGAGACATGAACAGGTGAGATATAGACAGGTGAGACATATGAACAGGTGAGACATATGAACATGTGAGACATCGACATGTGAGACATATGAACAGGTGAGACATATGGACAGGTGAGACATATGAACAGGTGAGACATATGAACAGGTGAGACATATGAACAGGTGAGACATATGAACAGGTGAGACATATGAACAGGTGAGACATCGACAGGTGAGACATATGAACAGGTGAGACTTAGGGACAGGTGAGACATATGGACAGGTGAGACATATGGACAAGTGAGACATAGGGACAGGTGAGACATAGGGACAGGTGAGAAATATCGACAGGTGAGACATATGGACAGGTGAGACATAGGGACAGGTGAGACATAGGGACAGGTGAGAAGTATCGACAGGTGAGACATATTGACAGGTGAGAACAGTGGCGTAGACAGGAGGATCCCCTCATGGACCCCTCTGTAAAAAAAAATTTAGTGTCATAATTTCACTGTTACTTATTTAAATCTATTTAACTCTATTTCCGAATCAGTATATATGTATAATTGTATATGTATGTTTAGAACAGTCACCTAAAAACTGACGCTATGTTCATAGTAATACTTTCAATTTATTTCACATCATAGCTATGCAATGACATACAGGTAGTATAAATATATATCTAAATCTATATATCTATATCTATATCAATATATATCTATATATCTATATACATAGGGTATATATATATATATATATATATATATATATATATATATATATATATATATATATATATATATATATATATATGGGTGAGACATATGGACAGGTGACATACATGGACGGTTGAGAAACATAAACTTTAATTACATAGCAGTAAAATTTGTTGGCTGAAAAATACTTCTTTCTTCCTTCTAAAAATATGTTGCTCATCAAATTCTATTAGATTTTTATTTTTTGCTTTCTAGAGTTGCTATTTGGTATTCGGATCATTGTCGTATTACATCAATACAATAACTCTAGAACGCCTGCCAGAATTATCACAGTTTATCGCCAACTCAGCATGGAGTTTGGTCAGCTTTCTGGCTGATAATACGACAGTGCGTGGATTCAATAGAGAGCCCTACACAATTGTCAGCTATCATTTGGTGCTTAAAAGAAGACCTTACTTTTATTTGATCAATTTAATCATTCCCAGTTTACTCTTCTCTCTCGTGGCTACGTTTGGTAATAATTAAAAAGTAGTTTGAATATATAAATTTTATAAAAATACGAATATATTAAATCTTACACTAAATTTTTGATTAAGAGCTGTAAATACTAGAGGTATCTATGACTCCACGATATATGAGTTATATATGAGTTAGATGTCCACTGTGCTGAGCAATTTAGACTCGTTACACATTTCCATAAGTATTGTAAATACACAACCATAATCGGGTAAACGTTATTCAAATAATTAGTTATTTAATTTACTTTAAAATCGAGTTGATAGGGGAGATGCTGGGGATATCAATAGAAGAAAGCGCTCATGGTTTTTAACTAGATAGGGGAGATGCTGGGGATATCAATAGAAGAAAGCGCTCATGGTTTTTAACTAGATAGGGGAGATGCTGGGGATATCAATAGAAGAAAGCGCTCATGGTTTTTAACTAGATAGGGGAGATGCTGGGGATATCAATAAAAGAAAGAGCTCATGGTTTTTAACTAGATAGGGGAGATGCTGGGGATATCAATAGAAGAAAGAGCTCATGGTTTTTAAATAGATAGGGGAGATGCTGGGGATATCAATAAAAGAAAGAGCTCATGGTTTTTAACTAGATATGGGAGATGCTCGGGATATCAATAGAAGAAAGAGCTCATGGTTTTTAAATAGATAGGGGAGATGCTGGGGATATCAATAGAAGAAAGAGCTCATGGTTTTTAACTAGGTGACAGTACAAGTGATCTCAGACTAAATATCCAAGTCAAAATATCTCACGGACAAATGATATCACGGATGAAAGAGCTCAGGACACAATATATTGAGACAAATGATATCACGGACAAATGGTCTCTGTTATTGATAAATGTGAAGATTAATACTCCCGACTGTAGAACGGATCCATAATTTAATGATTTATGCCGTTAGTATACAAACTATCAATTAATATATCTAATTTTTTCAGGCTTCCTATTACCCGTAGAATCAGACAATAAAATAAATTTGCAAGTGTCTGTATTTCTGTCCTTCTCGTTTTTTCTTCTGCTGGTTTCTAGACAAGTGCCCCCGAACTCCGAACATTTTCCACTTCTTGGTAATATTTTACAGAAAGCAAACTGTGTTTGTGCCTGTGTTAACGTACATTCTGAAGTGTTTTTGTACTTGTTTGTGTATATGTATAGAGTATGTGTGTGTTTTTACGTTCGGATAGTACCTAATGAAGATTAATTAAAATGTTGACGGTATGTTTTAATTTTCTGAATAACAAAAACAATTGTTTTTTTTAGAAGGGTTAGTTAGCAGAGGTGATAAAGAATATGGTTGTGTTTCTTGCAGGACTTTACTTTATCTCTCTCATGGTTCTGGTCAGCCTGTCTATAATGATGAACATACTAGTCCTAAACGTTCACCACAAATCTAGCGAGCACTCGCCTGTTCCTCTATGGCTCAAAGGATTTGTATTCCGTTTTCTGGACAAGTTTGCGTACCTGCATGACACAGATGTGCCACAGAGAGAGACAAACACCTCAAAAATACGTATATTCGATATCAACGAAATCAGGGTAACTAGTTTGTCATTTGCAGTGTTTCTTCCAGACTTTTTTCTCCTAAGGGGCACTTGAGATTTTCGGGGGGGGGGGGGGGGGAGGGGGGGAGGCGATAGACTTTCTTCGGGGGGCGGACACTGTTAAAAGTATATATTTTCTATATAAATTATATAAATTTCATTTCGTTCGGGGGGAGGGGGGGCGGTAAAAAAAATTCGGGGGGGGGGGGGGGGGGGGGCTTGCCTTCCCCCGAAGTGATGCCTGGAAGAAACTCTGGTCATTTGGCGTTAGCACATTTTTATCATTTCACACGTTGATCATATTAACGTTACAAAATTACAACTAATAAGTTGATTATCCGACTGTTTGAAATTAGAAATACATTTTTAAAAACTGATCATCTTAATGTAAGAAAGCTGTTGAAAAAATATTTCCCCCCTTTTTTAATACAAATAATTCGGTAATTTGATTTGTAATTTTAAAGTAAGCAAACATTTCTACACTAAACAACACTGATGTTAACTATTGGTATCTTTTCTCAGGAGCAAATTGAAAGCGAAATGTATTGCTATAGCCAGAGATGGGCCAATGCAAGTACATGGCCAAAAGATTTAATTGAAAACTATCTGCAGGTGATCCACCCTGTGTTAGAGATAGTAAATGTTCAGCTGGACGTGATGGAGAAATCAATGCGTAGAAAACAGTTGGAGCGGATTGAGAAACACCAGGGCTGTGATTGGATGAGAGCTGCTCACGTGCTCGATCGTCTGTTTCTAATGCTATTCGTCATCCTTGTTGGTACCTGCACCTGTTGTTTTTTGGCTATGATGGTCAACAACTAAAAGACCCTCCTACGCCTGAGTGCGGAGATATTCCTCTCCAGGTCTCGGTTGATATGTAATAAAAATGAGTATGTAAATAATGCATTCAACAATAATATGTGTACTTTTCTTTAGAAGATAATATTGTTTCGTTAAATAAACTTTTCTTTCCATCCGTTTAAAATTGCAGTGTTTTTTTTTTTGTCCTTCTATGCAAGCCAGATACGAATCTGTTTTTTAATTCGTTTCGGCACAAAGAATGTACAATATTATACCTTCTTTTAAATCACTTGAAGATAATTTGTTTCTTAGTTTAGGTAATTTTTGGGTAGAGAGCACGAAATTAATTAACTATGACTTATTATTACTTTCGATATACAAAAGAACATATTGCAGATTGGAATTAAAATATTAAGTGCAAATACTATGCAATAAATTTCTCTGTTTTCCTAACAATATCTCCCCTAACAACAGCTTCCAATCTCCCCTAAAAACAGCTTCCAATCTCACCTAACAACAGCTTCCAATCTCCCCTAACAACAGCTTCCAATCTCCCCTAACAACAGCTTCCAATCTCCCCTAACAACAGCTTCCAATCTCCCTTAACAACAGCTTCCAATCTCCCCTAACAACAGCTTCCAATCTCCCCTAACAACAGCTTCCAATCTCCCTTAACAACAGCTTCCAATCTCCCCTAACAACAACTTCCAATCTCCCCTAACAACAGCTTCCAATCTCCCTTAACAACAGCTTCCAATCTCCCTTAACAACAGCTTCCAATCTCCCCTAACAACAGCTTCCAATCTCCCTTAACAACAGCTTCCAATCTCCCTTAACAACAGCTTCCAATCTCCCCTAACAACAGCTTCCAATCTCCCTTAACAACAGCTTCCAATCTCCCCTAACAACAGCTTCCAATCTCCCCTAACAACAGCTTCCAATCTCCTCTAACAACAGCTTCCAATCTCCCTTAACAACAGCTTCCAATCTCCCCTAACAACAGCTTCCAATCTCCCTTAACAACAGCTTCCAATATCCCCTAACAACAGCTTACAATCTCCCCTAACAACAGCTTCCAATCTCCTCTTCGGAAAGCTTCCAACCCTCTCCTTCTAATTTTAAGAAGTAAATGTATTTAACATGGCTCTAGTAATAGAATTACCTACGTAGCATATCTGTTATTAGGTCTTAATAACTCTGTTTTTAACTATAATAAAATTAGTTATTACAAAGCCACGAAAATAAAATTTAAAAATAAAACTTGAAGAAAATTGCCCTTTAAAATAAATACAAATTTATTATTGTCTTTGAAATCTCGCCAGAGGCGTAGCGAGGGCGGGGCGGAGGGTGCGGGCCGCACCGGGTGACACTTTTGGAGGCGCGACAACAAAGCAAAACATTGCAAAATGTACAGAAAAATGCTTTTTTGCTAGTTCCTTTAAAGATTAATTAAAGTTAAATAGCCATTTAAGTACAAATCGTCATTTATTACAAAGAATAGAGGTGACATCATGACGTAAACGCGCTAAATTTAGAGAAAACAATGCTCCATCCAACTGTATTATTAACAGATTAAAGATAAACATCGTTACTATTACGTCTGCAGTGATTAAAGCTTCTACACATACATGTACGCGTATGTGGCATATATTTAAATTATAGGCCTATGTAGGCATATATATATACATATATATATATATATATATATATATATATATATATATATATATATATATATATATATATATATATATATATATATATATATATATATATATATATATATATATATATATATGTATATATATATATATATGTATATATATATATGTATATATATATATGTATATATATATATATATATATATTTATATATATATATATATATATATATATATATATATATATATATATATATATATACATATATATATATATACGCATGTGTATATGTATTCACATATATATTTTTTTATGTATTTAATTTTTTTACATCCCCCCCCCCCCCCCCTACATGGCTTAACACATAAGTTATTACGATTCTCACTCAAACCGTTTACCTCATGCATATTTTGCAACGTTGTAATGTAACTTTCCCCCACTCACCTCCGCCCCCACGGCGATTTCTTTAAAATGTGCTCAGATATAATACTAACGATATTTATCTCTAGTCAGCTTGATGTAGCATGTTTTCTCTATCATTATCAGATTTACGTCATGGTGTCACCCCCCCCCCCCCCCCCCCCCTCCACCCTTGTCGGGATTTGTCTAATTTGCTCTTAAAAGACTATTTAACACTCTAATTAATCACTTAATTAAGTGGAATTATCATTTTTTCTGTATATTTTGCTATTTTTTGCCTTTGTGTCACCCTCCCCCCCTCCCTAAATGGTGTCACCCTGTGCGGTCCGCACCCCCGCCCCCCCCCCCCTACCGCTACGCCTCTTCCGCACCGTATGACACCCGACATAGCGACGCCACAGAATCTCACTATAGTTTTAGTTAATATATAGGTAATTATTTCGTAAAATAAAAGTCAAATATGTGAAATGATTGTGGCGATTGTGGTAGGTCATGAAACGTGGTAAAGCAGTTTAAAAATAGTAAGACACAACACGGAAGTTGTTTCCATGAACAGCCAATGAGATGTTTAAACATTGATTAAAACTACTCGCTGATATTTATCAACCTCTAAATCTATCTACTTTTCTAAATCTAGAAACGTATTCAGATGTATATGCCGTTGCGGTAAGCCCATTTTTATTTTTACTTATAAAGTGCCAGGCAGCTACTTCAGTCTACAGTTTACACTACTCTACACGGTAAACGTTTGTTATAAAAAAAGTTATGATTATTCTGTACCGTATTCATATAGATGTAAATTATTGTAAATTGATGTAATTAAATTAGATCTATTTATTATTGTTCAAATCATGTACATGAAAACTTAATCTAGATCTACACTACAATAAATGTTTCTTATTTTAAAAAAAAACTTACACAGATTCTAATCTAACTTATTTTGTTGCTTCAGTATTTTTAAAAACACCGCTTTTCCTTTGTTTATTTTAATTTCAATTTCAATTATATATATATATATATATATATATATATATATATATATATATATATATATATATATATATATATACGCGTAAATACAATGGTTTCTGTTCTAAGTGATACATGATTCATCTTCTCACCCGTTCCGGTGTTGATCCTTCCCATTTGCTTTGGCTAAAAAGCGTCCTACCCACCACATTTCTCTTATTTAACTGTTACACAATACGCTTTAATACAATTTGTTTCTTTTAAAAGTTATCTACTCACTAATCCAGTACAATGCCTTGCGTTTTGTTGCGAAAAATCCCCCCCCCCCTAGACAAAGCTGGTAGAGCAGGTTTTAACGTCACTAATTTTTTTTTTTTTAATGTTACCCAATTGTACAATTCGCTTTAGTCTAATTGGTTTCCCTTCTAAGTGATAAAGGTTATATACCTACATATGAAGTGTAAATCCTTCTGATTTTAGTCGCGAAAAGTTAGAACCATTTCCGTGTACAGTTAGCCAGACCATTTCCGTGTACAGTCAGCTATAACAATTTCCGTGTACAGTCAGCTAGAACAATTTCCGTGTACAGTCAGCTAGAACCATTTCCTTGCACAGTAAGCTAGACCATTTCCGTGTACAGTCAGCCAGACCATTTCCGTGCACAGTCAGCCAGACCATTTCCGTGTACAGTCAGCCAGACCATTTCCGTGCACAGTCAGCCAGACCATTTCCGTGCACAGTTAGCTAGAACCATTTCCGTGTACGGTCAGCTAGAATCGTTTCAGTGTACAGTCAGCTAGAACCATTTCCGTGTACAGTCAGCTAGACCATTTCCGTGTACAGTCAGCAAGACCATTTCCGTGCACAGTTAGCCAGACCATTTCCGTGTACAGTCAGCTAGAACAATTTCCGTGTACAGTCAGCTAGAATCATTTCCGTGTACAGTCAGCTAGAACCATTTCCGTGTACAGTCAGCTAGACCATTTCCGTGTACAGTCAGCCAGACCATTTCCGTGCACAGTTAGCCAGACCATTTCCGTGCACATTTAGCTAGAACCATTTCCGTGTACAGTCAGCTAGAACCATTTCCGTGTACAGTCAGCTAGAATCATTTCCGTGTACAGTCAGCTAGACCATTTCCGTGTACAGTCAGCCAGACCATTTCCGTGTACAGTCAGCTAGAACCATTTCCGTGCACAGTCAGCCAGACCATTTCCGAGTACAGTCAGCTAGAATCATTTCCGTGTACAGGAGTTCACACAGACCATGTCGGCGTGGAGATAGTCAATCTGAACCATGTTCATACTCTGCTACTCAGTTTAGAAGGTTAGCGAAATGTTGGAGCCCCTGAACTACTGGTGGAGGAGCTCAAAAAATGCTTCACAAATACCATTGTTCTTAGGCAGTATGTTTTTACACAGGAAAATAAAAATACAAAATTATATTAAAAAACTCTTCTACAGTTATAATACGACTAGATGAAGTGAATCTTAAGGCTATATCTGAGAACACAACACTATCTCACGTTAATGACTAAATCGTTCGACTGTTATTTAGATTTATAATGATAGCCATAAAAACAATACACAACAAAAGCATGTTTCTTTGAATCTTAGAGTCTCCAGTACAGTGGGTTTAGGATTGTTTCATGTCTTAAGCTGATCCTGACGTGATCCTGACGTGATCCTGACGTGATCCTGACGTGATTCTGATGTGATCCTGACGTGATCCTGATGTGATCCTGACGTGATCCTGACGTGATCCTAATGTGATCCTGACGTGATTCTGATGTGATCCTGACGTGATTCTGATGTGATCCTGACGTGATTCTGATGTGATCCTGAAGTGATTCTGATGTGATCCTGACGTGATTCTGATGTGATCCTGAAGTGATTCTGATGTGATCCTGAAGTGATTCTGATGTGCATGCCAACTCAGATGACGTGTAACATTTCCCTCGCTCCAAAAGATAACACGGACTGCATGTGTGTGCATGGCCAGGATCATCAGTAAAGAAGATTTGTAAAGCAGATCGACTGATAAAGTCAAACTCAACGCTGTTATTGAAACTACTGAGACAAACACTACAATGTCGATGGTTCTTCTCATTGGATTATTGTACCACGTTTTAGCCGGTACGTTTTTAAACTTTTGCTGCAATAAAATTCTGGGACGACGTTATCGAATTCTAGAGCTTATGACTGCTAACTAGAAAGAATCGAGTTCTGATCCCGGGTTCATGTCAGTCCCTGAGTCCACCCAGCACTGATGGGTACCTGATTCACTGAGTCCACCCAGCTCTGATGGGTACCTGATTCACTGAGTCCACCCAGCTCTGATGGGTACCTGATTCACTGAGTCCACCCAGCACTGATGGGTACCTGATTCACTGAGTCCACCCAGCTCTGATGGGTACCTGATTCACTGAGTCCACCCAGCTCTGATGGGTACCTGATTCACTGAGTCCACCCAGCTCTGATGGGTACCTGATTCATTCACGTTAGGGAAAGTAAAGGCTGCTAAGCATAGTGCTGACCACAATATCTCCTTGTATGCCGAGGTATCTGAAACAGGTGAACTCTACTTCACCTGCCACATAGATTGTCAGGTTCCTACGGGTACAACAAATCCTTGAACTGAAAAATGTATCAAAATATTAAAACCAGATGTTGTATTTTTCTCTTTACCTGTACCATATAGCAATTATCATTAAAGGTCACCAGAAAAAAAGGCAATTGGCTAATTTGATGAGACGTAAAGAAGAGCTCACACAAAAACAAACACAATAAAGATGGAATACATCTTTGAAAAATAAGAAAGAAAAACAAACTCAGCGCTTTATTACACTGCCCTATATCACCAACTAGCCCATATATTAAACATGATTCTTCTTGAATTATGTAGTTTATTAATTAAAAATGCTAAATTTATTCACTCTTTATGATGTAGTTAGTTACAATGCAACTATTAAATTGAATACTCGAGAGGGATCCCCGGCGAATAAGTAAGTATAATTATGAAATTCAACGACTTTTCCTCATCTAAATGGATATACACAAATTTGAACGCTCACCTTGCATATCCATAATAGTTTTTGTAAGCAGCATTTTGTGCGCTCTTTCATGTTTGTGCGGTTTTTTTTTTACCGTGTGCTTAAAATTTCAGCGCGCTTCATTTTCCTGCTGGTTTTATGTTCCATTGCGTTTTTTTTACTTTCTCGTGTACAGAGTATAGAGGAGGTATCGTAATCGTGCACAAATATCACATTAAATTTTGACAGTTTTCATCATTTTACACCTCAGTAATTCATCATATACGGAGAATAAGGGAATTATTTTAATCGGGCAAAAATTATAAATGCAGATTTATCACAATTTCTGCGCCTTTTGCGTAATGGAGTCGGAAAAACTGGGCTTTGCAATTCTGTCCGTGTGTGTGTGTGTGTGTGTGTGTGTGTGTGTGGATGTTTGTATGTCCGTAAACACGATAATTTGAGTGCCGTTACAGCTAGGTTGATGAAATTTGTAGTTTTGTATCAACTTTTCAGCGATTTCAGATTACCGGAAGTGGAACTTATTCAACTTATAGTTTTTCAAAAGCCTATAACTTTAGCACTGTTTCACATAGATCTAGATAAACAACATTTCATAAAGAAGTAAACTATCTAATTCTCTGCCTTCTCTCAAATTTTAAGTAATTTCCACTGAACGAAAGTTGTACTTTACGCTATTCTGATTTCTCAAAAAAAAAAAAAAAAACGCAAATGTATTTATAAAGTAGGCCTGCTAGTATTCAGCAGACGTTATTATGAAACTAAAAATTGAAAATATTTGTGAAATTTAACTAATGATATTTGTGATTTTATTTTTAAATTAAAGTCAGCTCAAATGCTGGACAATCAATGTCGGATCTCTATGGCTTTTTGTTCAATAACTACACTCAAGAAATTCGACCTGTGTGTGAAAGAAATCTGGCCGTACATATCTATGTAGAATTGACTATTCGACAAATTATTGAACTGGTAAACAATGGCTTTTAAACGGTGTTTATGTCTTGTCCATTTAAGATGGCCACACGTTGGATACTTCGACTTTAGTTCACCTGTGTTGACGTGGACAATTCGACTTTTGTTCACCTGTGTTGACGTGGACAATTTGACTTTAGTTCACCTGTGTTGACGTGGACTATTCGACTTTAGTTCACCTGTGTTGACGTGGACAATTTGACTTTTGCTCACCTGTGTTGGCGTGGACAATTCGACTTTTGTTCACCTGTGTTGACGTGGACAATTCGACTTTTGCTCACCTGTGTTGACGTGGACAATTTGACTTTTGCTCACCTGTGTTGGCGTGGACAATTCGACTTTTGTTCACCTGTGTTGACGTGGACAATTCGACTTTAGTTCACCTGTGTTGACGTGGACAATTCGACTTTAGTTCACCTGTGTTGACGTGGACAATTCGACTTTTGCTCACCTGTTTTGAGTCCACACTTTGAAAACTTTCCACGCAAGAATAACCAACTATAACGCTATTCTTTAATGTTTTATATGGGTAAAAATCATCAAAACAAATGAAAACAAGCGATAATTAAAAATGTATACATACATAAATACACATATATATATATATATATATATATATATATATATATATATATATATATATATATATATATATATATATATATATATATATATATATATATATATACATAATTTGTTATTAAAATCATTAGAAATTGATGAATAATAATTATTATCAATAGATTATTCACCGGTTTGATACTGAGCCGACACAAAAATCTTTAAAATAATGAATGACTGTTACTCATTAATGATTCTGATCACAGGCTGCAAATACACAGCGACTCACGGTAAACGCCTGGTTGAAGATGGTAAGTCTATGTCCTTCCAGATGTAGTAGGTATGTACCGTTGGGGTTGTGGCTTCTAGAATTGTGTAATGTTGTGATAATGGCCTCTAGAAATGTGTAATGTTGGGATGGTGGCTTCTAGAAATGTGTAATTGGGTGGTGGCCTCTAGAAATGTGTAATGGGGTGGTGGCCTATAGAAATATGTAATGGGATGGTAGCTTCTAGAATTGTGTAATGGGTTGGTGGCCTCTAGAAATATGTAATGTTAGGATGGTGGCCTCTAGAAATGTGTAATGTTAGGATGGTGGCCTCTAGAAATGTGTAATGTTAGGATGGTGGCTTCTAGAATTGTGTAATGGGTTGGTGGCCTATAGAAATATGTAATGGGATGGTAGCTTCTAGAATTGTGTAATGGGTTGGTGGCCTCTAGAAATATGTAATGTTGGGGTGGTGGCCTCTAGAAATGTGTAATGGGGTGGTGGTCTCTAGAAATGTGTAATGGGATGGTGGCCTCTAGAAATGTGTAATGGGGTGGTGGTCTCTAGAAATGTGTAATGTTGGGATGGTAGCTTCTAGAATTGTGTAATGGGGTGGTGGTCTCTAGAAATGTGTAATGTTGGGATGGTGGCCTCTAGAAATGTGTAATGGGGTGGTGGTCTCTAGAAATGTGTAATGGGATGGTGGCCTCTAGAAATGTGTAATGGGGTGGTGGTCTCTAGAAATCTGTAATGTTGGGATGGTGGCCTCTAGAAATGTGTAATGGGGTGGTGGTCTCTAGAAATGTGTAATGTTGGGATGGTGGCCTCTAGAAATGTGTAATGGGGTGGTGGTCTCTAGAAATGTGTAATGGGTGGTGGTCTCTAGAAATGTGTAATGGGGTGGTGGTCTCTAGAAATGTGTAATGGGATGGTGGCCTCTAGAAATGTGTAATGGGGTGGTGGCTTCTAGAAATGTGTAATGGGATGGTGGCCTCTGTGTTTCTGTGAACCACATCTGTGGTATATCCTGCCAGACTTGGTTTAACTGTCACCTGACATGGCAGCCGTCCAAGTACAGTAACATCACCCACTTGGTTGTGCCATTTAAAAATGTCTGGGTTCCAGATCTGACAATGTATGATAGGTATGTACCTCAGCTTATCTTAGTTCTTATTTCAACAAATGCAATATATATATATATATATATATATATATATATATATATATATATATATATATATATATATATATATATATATATATATATATATATATATATATATATATATATATACATATACATACATATATATATTATATATATATATATATATATATATATATATATATATATATATATATATATATATATATATATATATATATATATATATATATATATATATATATGCGCAGCGCAGGTGAAGGTGGCGCCATTAACACTGGCTTTAATGTGGTTGTATCAAGGGACGGAATTTGCCAATACCACTACCCAACGGTGATCACTTCTGTTTGTAAAATAGATGTCACCTTCTTCCCTTTTGATAAACAGGTTGGATGTTCAGTTCTATGTTCTAAGTTTGTTTCGGTTTGGCCAAGTTTAAAACTCAGAATTTGGTGTCATAAAACTACGACTTTTTTATGTCAACTAGATGTATGTCAACTTTATTTGATAAAATGTCGCCTTTTTTGTGAACTAGATTTATGTCAAATTCAAATGTTTCTGTCCTGTTGCAGACGTGTGTCCTGACATTTGGTTCCCTGTCCTGTTGCAGACGTGTGTCCTGACATTTGGTTCCCTGTCCTGTTGCAGACGTGTCTCCTGACATTTGGTTCCCTGTCCTGTTGCAGACGTGTCTCCTGACATTTGGTTCCCTGTCCTGTTGCAGACGTGCCTCCTGACATTTGGTTCCCTGTCCTGTTGCAGACGTGTCTCCTGACATTTGGTTCCCTGCCCTGTTGCAGACGTGTCTCCTGACATTTGGTTCCCTGTCCTGTTGCAGACGTGTCTCCTGACATTTGGTTCCCTGTCCTGTTGCAGACGTGTCTCCTGACATTTGGTTCCCTGTCCTGTTGCAGACGTGTCTCCTGACATTTGGTTCCCTGTCCTGTTGCAGACGTGTCTCCTGACATTTGGTTCCCTGTCCTGTTGCAGACGTGTCTCCTGACATTTGGTTCCCTGCCCTGTTGCAGACGTGTCTCCTGACATTTGGTTCCCTGTCCTGTTGCAGACGTGTCTCCTGACATTTGGTTCCCTGTCCTGTTGCAGACGTGTCTCCTGACATTTGGTTCCCTGTCCTGTTGCAGACTTGTCTCCTGACATTTGGTTCCCTGTCCTGTTGCAGACGTGTCTCCTGACATTTGGTTCCCTGCCCTGTTGCAGACGTGTCTCCTGACATTTGGTTCCCTGTCCTGTTGCAGACGTGTCTCCTGACATTTGGTTCCCTGTCCTGTTGCAGACGTGTCTCCTGACATTTGGTTCCCTGTCCTACAACGCCCACCAAGTTTACATCACCAGCAGCCTGTCCAGTGCCGACCTGAGCAACTTTGTCCCCAGCACGGAATGGCGCCTGATCAACTTCACGTCCTACGACACGACACGCTACTTTCACGGGGTACCGGAACCTTACCGGGATGTCACCTTCAGTTTACTTGTCCGCAGGAAACCATTTTTTTATTTCACAAACTTGGTTATACCCTGTTGTTTGATCTCATTTGTTGCAATTTTAGGTAAGACATTTTATGTAGATAGTTTTATGTAAGACATTCATATAGGTCATTATGTCAATCTTTGTAGATAGAACTTGTAGGTCATTGTGGGCTATTTTAAAATTGTAAGAAAGCCAAGTTTTATGAAAAAATAACTATTTTTGAAAGTTAAATAATTTTAATGAGCTGTTTTTATATAGAACATTTAAAGATAAGTAATTTTAAACCCAAATTCTTCATTAACTTGAAAATCCTAATGATTATTGAGTGTAAAAACATTTAGCTATTAGAGTGTGGGAGGATTAATCTATAAAAATCTGCGGATGTGAGTGAAGTAAGCCTATAGTATATATATAAGAGGATTGAGGCTGTTAGAGATTTCCCTAATTGAAGTGGCATCGGTTGAGTGATTTTGTTTGATACACGCGGCAAAAACTTGAGGCGACTGTACCCAATGACGATCTCAACAAAAACTTGAGGCGACTGTACCCAAAGACGACTGTACCCAAAGACGGTCTCAACAAAAACTTGAGGCGACTGTACCCAATGACGGTCTCAACAAAAACTTGAGGCGGCTGTACCCAAAGACGACTGTACCCAAAGACGGTCTCAACAAAAACTTGAGGCGACTGTACCCAATGACGGTCTCAACAAAAACTTGAGGCGGCTGTACCCAAAGACGACTGTACCCAAAGACGGTCTCAACAAAAACTTGAGGCGACTGTACCCAATGACGGTCTCAACAAAAACTTGAGGCGACTGTACCCAATGACGATCTCAACAAAAACTTGAGGCGACTGTACCCAATGACGGTCTCAACAAAAACTTGAGGCGACTGTACCCAATGACGATCTCAACAAAAACTTGAGGCGACTGTACCCAATGACGGTCTCAACAAAAACTTGAGGCGACTGTACCCAATGACGGTCTCAACAAAAACTTGAGGCGACTGTACCCAATGACGGTCTCAACAAAAACTTGAGGCGACTGTACCCAATGACGATCTCAACAAAAACTTGAGGCGACTGTACCCAATAACGGTCTCAACAAAAACTTGAGGCGACTGTACCCAATGACGGTCTCAACAAAAACTTGAGGCGACTGTACCCAATGACGGTCTCAACAAAAACTTGAGGCGACTGTACCCAATGACGGTCACAACAAAAACTTGAGGCGACTGTACACAATGACGGTCTCAACAAAAAGGCGACTGTACCCAAAGACGATCTCAACAAAAACTTGAGGCGACTGTACCCAATGACGATCTCAACAAAAACTTGAGGCGACTGTACCCAATGACGATCTAAACAAAAACTTGAGGCGACTGTACCCAATGACGATCTCAACAAAAACTTGAGGCGACTGTACCCAAAGACGATCTCAACAAAAACTTGAGGCGACTGTACCCAATGACGGTCTCAACAAAAAGGCGACTGTACCCAAAGACGATCTCAACAAAAACTTGAGGCGACTGTACCCAATGACGGTCTCAACAAAAACTTGAGGCGACTGTACCCAATGACGATCTCAACAAAAACTTGAGGCAACTGTACCCAAAGACGACTGTACCCAATGACGATCTCAACAAAAACTTGAGGCGACCTTACCCAAAGACGACTGTACCCAAAGACGACTGTACCCAATGACGGTCTCAACAAAAACTTGAGGCGACTGTACCCAAAGACGACTGTACCCAATGACGGTCTCAACAATAAGGCGACTGTACCCAATGACGGTCACAACAAAAACTTGAGGCGACTGTACCCAAAGACGGTCTCAACAAAAACTTGAGGCGACTGTACCCAATGACGGTCACAACAAAAACTTGAGGCGACTGTACCCAATGACGATCTCAACAAAAACTTGAGGCGACTGTACCCAATGACGGTCTCAACAAAAACTTGAGGCGACTGTACCCAAAGACGACTGTACCCAATGACGATCTCAACAAAAACTTGAGGCGACTGTACCCAAAGACGACTGTACCCAAAGACGACTGTACCCAATGACGGTCTCAACAAAAACTTGAGGCGACTGTACCCAATGACGGTCTCAACAAAAACTTGAGGCGACTGTACCCAATGACGGTATCAACAAAAACTTGAGGCGACTGTACCCAAAGACGACTGTACCCAATGACGATCTCAACAAAAACTTGAGGCGACTGTACCCAATGACGGTCTCAACAAAAACTTGAGGCGACTGTACCCAAAGACGACTGTACCCAATGACGATCTCAACAAAAACTTGAGGCGACTGTACCCAATGACGGTCTCAACAAAAACTTGAGGCGACTGTACCCAATGACGATCTCAACAAAAACTTGAGGCGACTGTACCCAATGACGGTCTCAACAAAAACTTGAGGCGACTGTACCCAATGACGGTCTCAACAAAAACTTGAGGCGACTGTACCCAATGACGGTCTCAACAAAAACTTGAGGCGACTGTACCCAATGACGGTCTCAACAAAAAGGCGACTGTACCCAAAGACGATCTCAACAAAAACTTGAGGCGACTGTACCCAATGACGGTCTCAACAAAAACTTGAGGCGACTGTACCCAATGACGATCTCAACAAAAACTTGAGGCAACTGTACCCAAAGACGACTGTACCCAATGACGATCTCAACAAAAACTTGAGGCGACTGTACCCAAAGACGACTGTACCCAAAGACGACTGTACCCAATGACGGTCTCAACAAAAACTTGAGGCGACTGTACCCAAAGACGATCTCAACAAAAACTTGAGGCGACTGTACCCAAAGACGACTGTACCCAATGACGGTCTCAACAATAAGGCGACTGTACCCAATGACGGTCACAACAAAAACTTGAGGCGACTTTACCCAAAGACGGTCTCAACAAAAACTTGAGGCGACTGTACCCAATGACGGTCACAACAAAAACTTGAGGCGACTGTACCCAATGACGATCTCAACAAAAACTTGAGGCGACTGTACCCAATGACGGTCTCAACAAAAACTTGAGGCGACTGTACCCAAAGACGACTGTACCCAAAGACGACGGTACCCAATGACGGTCTCAACAAAAACTTGAGGCGACTGTACCCAATGACGGTCTCAACAAAAACTTGAGGCGACTGTACCCAATGACGGTCTCAACAAAAACTTGAGGCGACTGTACCCAAAGACGACTGTACCCAATGACGATCTCAACAAAAACTTGAGGCGACTGTACCCAATGACGGTCTCAACAAAAACTTGAGGCGACTGTACCCAAAGACGACTGTACCCAATGACGATCTCAACAAAAACTTGAGGCGACTGTACCCAATGACGGTCTCAACAAAAACTTGAGGCGACTGTACCCAAAGACGACTGTAAATAATGACGTTCTCAACAAAAACTTGAGGCGACTGTACCCAATGACGATCTCAACAAAAACTTGAGGCGACTGTACCCAATGACGATCTCAACAAAAACTTGAGGCGACTGTACCCAATGACGGTCTCAACAAAAACTTGAGGCGACTGTACCCAATGACGGTCTCAACAAAAACGGGAGGCGACTGTACCCAATGACGATTTAAACAAAAACTTGAGGTGACTGTACCCAATAACGATCTCAACAAAAACTTGAGGCGACTTTACCCAATGACGGTCTCAACAAAAACGGGAGGCGACTGTACCCAATGACGGTCTCAACAAAAACTTGAGGCGACTGTACCCAATGACGGTCTCAACAAAAACTTGAGGCGACTGTACCCAATGACGGTCACAACAAAAACTTGAGGCGACTGTACCCAATGACGGTCTCAACAAAAACTTGAGGCGACTGTACCCAATGACGGTCACAACAAAAACTTGAGGCGACTGTACCCAATGACGATCTCAACAAAAACTTGAGGCGGCTGTACCCAAAGACGACTGTACCCAATGACGGTCTCAACAAAAACTTGAGGCGACTGTACCCAATGACGGTCTCAACAAAAACTTGAGGCGACTGTACCCAATGACGGTCTCAACAAAAACTTGAGGCGACTGTACCCAATGACGGTCTCAACAAAAACTTGAGGCGACTGTACCCAATGACGGTCTCAACAAAAACTTGAGGCGACTGTACCCAATGACGGTCACAACAAAAACTTGAGGCGACTGTACCCAATGACGATCTCAACAAAAACTTGAGGCGGCTGTACCCAAAGACGACTGTACCCAATGACGGTCTCAACAAAAACTTGAGGCGACTGTACCCAATGACGATCTCAACAAAAACTTGAGGCGACTGTACCCAATGACGGTCTCAACAAAAACTTGAGGCGACTGTACCCAATGACGGTCTCAACAAAAACGGGAGGCGACTGTACCCAATGACGATTTAAACAAAAACTTGAGGTGACTGTACCCAATAACGATCTCAACAAAAACTTGAGGCGACTTTACCCAATGACGGTCTCAACAAAAACGGGAGGCGACTGTACCCAATGACGGTCTCAACAAAAACTTGAGGCGACTGTACCCAATGACGGTCTCAACAAAAACTTGAGGCGACTGTACCCAATGACGATCTCAACATTCTGAACGTTTGTTTTGTCGTTCAGGCTTTATACTGCCAGCAGAATCTGGTGAAAAAATCTCGCTAGAGATCACGGTCCTCCTGTCGCTCTCCGTGTTTCTGTTGATGGTCGCTGATCTGGTACCTCCGTCGTCGGAGCACTATCCACTGCTGGGTACACAAACAATTTAACTCACTTAGTCGCACCACTTACTTTTGACATTTGAACAATTCATCTCACTTAGTAGCACCACTTACTTTTGACATTTAAACAATTCATCTCACTTAGTAGCACCACTTACTTTTGACATTTGAACAATTCATCTCACTTAGTAGCACCACTTACTTTTGACATTTGAACAATTCAACTCACTTAGTCTCACCACCAACGTTTGACATTTGAACAATTCATCTCACTTAGTCGCACCACTTACTTTTGACATTTGAACAATTCAACTCACTTAGTCGCACCACTTACTTTTGACATTTGAACAATTCAACTCACTTAGTCGCACCACTTACTTTTGACATTTGAACAATTCATCTCACTTAGTAGCACCACTTACTTTTGACATTTGAACAATTCATCTCACTTAGTCGCACCACCAACGTTTGACATTTGAACAATTCATCTCACTTAGTCGCACCACTTACTTTTGACATTTGAACAATTCAACTCACTTAGTCTCACCACCAACGTTTGACATTTGAACAATTCATCTCACTTAGTCGCACCACTTACTTTTGACATTTGAACAATTCATCTCACTTAGTCTCACCACCAACGTTTGACGTTTGAAAAATTCATCTCACTTAGTCTCACCACCAACGTTTGACATTTGAACAAATCAACTATCTTAGTCGCACCACTAACTTTTGACATTTGAACAATTCATCTCACATAGTCTCACCACCAACGTTTGACATTTGAACAAATCAACTAACTTAGTCGCACCACTAACTTTTGACATTTGAACAAATCAACTCACTTAGTCTCACCACCAACGAACTAAAGTACTAACTTGATCTGACGACAAACGAAGTAATGGACTAACAAACTGACTTTAAGCACAAGCACTTGACAGTAATCATTTGCTGTAATCATGTGACTGTAAGCATTTGACTGTAAACATTTGACTAATCACAAACATGTGACTGTAAACATTTGACTAATCACAAACATGTGACTGTAAACATTTGACTAATCACAAACATGTGACTGTAAACATGTGACTGTAAACATGTGACTGTAAGCATTTGACTGTAAACATTGTAAGCTTCTGTTTGTCAGGTCTATATTTTGTATCGGTCATGTGCTTGGTCACCCTGTCGACTCTGCTCAGTGTTATGGTACTCAACGTGCATCATAAGGGCAACAAAAACCGACAAGTTCCGCGCTGGTTGCACTCCCTGGCCTTCACGTACCTGCGGAAACTTGACACGTTTGGAATATTGGATGTGCCACACCATAAGAAAATCTCAGACATCAACTCGGGTTCGTTCTTGGATGCCTTACGTGTAGGTGGTGATGAGATGCTTTAGTTATTGTGTTGTGATTCACTATATTATGCTTGGTTCCCTGGGGCTTTGGCTGAGTGCTTTTTGTGGCTTATTAGACTAAAGAACTTGATACGCTAGGAAAAAAGCAATCGTATAGTCAAAACTAGACGTGCTTTATATGAAATAAGATTTAAGGATACCGTATCTATTGGGTAATTTCTACTACAGAATCTATACGTGAGCTCTTGTGTGGCAGACAGAGGCAGGCCACATGATACATTGATTAACAATGGCGGATTAGAAGTGCGTAACAATTAAGGAAAGTGCCCAACCTAATGGTTAACTTACATCGCCTTCTTCTTGTGTAACGATCCATCTTAAGAACAGCATCTGCACATATCTGTTGGTTAATGAAGGCGTCTATCTTGTGGTTGTACTCAACTGTTGGTTAATGAAGGCGTCTATCTTGTGGTCGGTGCCTGTACTCAACTGTTGGTTAATGAAGGCGTCTATCTTGTGGTTGTACTCAACTGTTGGTTAATGAAGGCGTCTATCTTGTGGTTGTACTCAACTGTTGGTTAATGAAGGCGTCTATCTTGTGGTTGTACTCAACTGTTGGTTAATGAAGGCGTCTATCTTGTGGTTGTACTCAACTGTTGGTTAATGAAGGCGTCTATCTTGTGGTTGTACTCAACTGTTGGTTAATGAAGGCGTCTATCTTGTGGTTGTACTCAACTGTTGGTTAATGAAGGCGTCAATCTTGTGGTTGTACTCAACTGTTGGTTAATGAAGGCGTCTATCTTGTGGTTGTACTCAACTGTTGGTTAATGAAGGCGTCAATCTTGTGGTTGTACTCAACTGTTGGTTAATGAAGGCGTCTATCTTGTGGTTGTACTCAACTGTTGGTTAATGAAGGCGTCTATCTTGTGGTCGGTGCCTGTACTCAACTGTTGGTTAATGAAGGCGTCAATCTTGTGGTTGTACTCAACTGTTGGTTAATGAAGGCGTCAATCTTGTGGTTGTACTCAACTGTTGGTTAATGAAGGCGTCTATCTTGTGGTTGTACTCAACTGTTGGTTAATGAAGGCGTCAATCTTGTGGTTGTACTCAACTGTTGGTTAATGAAGGCGTCAATCTTGTGGTTGTACTCAACTGTTGGTTAATGAAGGCGTCTATCTTGTGGTTGTACTCAACTGTTGGTTAATGAAGGCGTCAATCTTGTGGTTGTACTCAACTGTTGGTTAATGAAGGCGTCTATCTTGTGGTCGGTGCCTGTACTCAACTGTTGGTTAATGAAGGCGTCTATCTTGTGGTTGTACTCAACTGTTGGTTAATGAAGGCGTCAATCTTGTGGTTGTACTCAACTGTTGGTTAATGAAGGCGTCTATCTTGTGGTTGTACTCAACTGTTGGTTAATGAAGGCGTCTATCTTGTGGTTGTACTCAACTGTTGGTTAATGAAGGCGTCTATCTTGTGGTCGGTGCCTGTACTCAACTGTTGGTTAATGAAGGCGTCAATCTTGTGGTTGTACTCAACTGTTGGTTAATGAAGGCGTCTATCTTGTGGTTGTACTCAACTGTTGGTTAATGAAGGCGTCTATCTTGTGGTTGTACTCAATAGTTGGTTAATGAAGGCGTTTATCTTGTGGTCGGTGCCTGTACTCAACTGTTGGTTAATGAAGGCGTCTATCTTGTGGTTGTACTCAACTGTTGGTTAATGAAGGCGTCAATCTTGTGGTTGTACTCAACTGTTGGTTAATGAAGGCGTCTATCTTGTGGTTGTACTCAACTGTTGGTTAATGAAGGCGTCAATCTTGTGGTTGTACTCAACTGTTGGTTAATGAAGGCGTCTATCTTGTGGTTGTACTCAACTGTTGGTTAATGAAGGCGTCTATCTTGTGGTCGGTGCCTGTACTCAACTGTTGGTTAATGAAGGCGTCAATCTTGTGGTTGTACTCAACTGTTGGTTAATGAAGGCGTCAATCTTGTGGTTGTACTCAACTGTTGGTTAATGAAGGCGTCTATCTTGTGGTTGTACTCAACTGTTGGTTAATGAAGGCGTCAATCTTGTGGTTGTACTCAACTGTTGGTTAATGAAGGCGTCAATCTTGTGGTTGTACTCAACTGTTGGTTAATGAAGGCGTCTATCTTGTGGTTGTACTCAACTGTTGGTTAATGAAGGCGTCAATCTTGTGGTTGTACTCAACTGTTGGTTAATGAAGGCGTCTATCTTGTGGTCGGTGCCTGTACTCAACTGTTGGTTAATGAAGGCGTCTATCTTGTGGTTGTACTCAACTGTTGGTTAATGAAGGCGTCAATCTTGTGGTTGTACTCAACTGTTGGTTAATGAAGGCGTCTATCTTGTGGTTGTACTCAACTGTTGGTTAATGAAGGCGTCTATCTTGTGGTTGTACTCAACTGTTGGTTAATGAAGGCGTCTATCTTGTGGTCGGTGCCTGTACTCAACTGTTGGTTAATGAAGGCGTCAATCTTGTGGTTGTACTCAACTGTTGGTTAATGAAGGCGTCTATCTTGTGGTTGTACTCAACTGTTGGTTAATGAAGGCGTCTATCTTGTGGTTGTACTCAATAGTTGGTTAATGAAGGCGTTTATCTTGTGGTCGGTGCCTGTACTCAACTGTTGGTTAATGAAGGCGTCTATCTTGTGGTTGTACTCAACTGTTGGTTAATGAAGGCGTCAATCTTGTGGTTGTACTCAACTGTTGGTTAATGAAGGCGTCAATCTTGTGGTTGTACTCAACTTTTGGTTAATGAAGGCGTCTGTCTTGTGGTTGTACTCAACTGTTGGTTAATGAAGGCGTCAATCTTGTGGTTGTACTCAACTGTTGGTTAATGAAGGCGGCTATCTTGTGGTCGGTGCCTGTACTCAACTGTTGGTTAATGAAGGCGTCAATCTTGTGGTTGTACTCAATTGTTGGTTAATGAAGGCGTCTATCTTGTGGTTGTACTCAACTGTTGGTTAATGAAGGCGTCAATCTTGTGGTTGTACTCAACTGTTGGTTAATGAAGGCGTCAATCTTGTGGTTGTACTCAACTGTTGGTTAATGAAGGCGTCAATCTTGTGGTTGTACTCAACTGTTGGTTAATGAAGGCGTCTATCTTGTGGTTGTACTCAACTGTTGGTTAATGAAGGCGTCTATCTTGTGGTTGTACTCAACTGTTGGTTAATGAAGGCGTCTATCTTGTGGTTGTACTCAACTGTTGGTTAATGAAGGCGTCTATCTTGTGGTTGTACTCAACTGTTGGTTAATGAAGGCGTCTATCTTGTGGTTGTACTCAACTGTTGGTTAATGAAGGCGTCTATCTTGTGGTTGTACTCAACTGTTGGTTAATGAAGGCGTCTATCTTGTGGTTGTACTCAACTGTTGGTTAATGAAGGCGTCAATCTTGTGGTTGTACTCAACTGTTGGTTAATGAAGGCGTCTATCTTGTGGTTGTACTCAACTGTTGGTTAATGAAGGCGTCTATCTTGTGGTTGTACTCAACTGTTGGTTAATGAAGGCGTCAATCTTGTGGTTGTACTCAACTGTTGGTTAATGAAGGCGGCTATCTTGTGGTCGGTGCCTGTACTCAACTGTTGGTTAATGAAGGCGTCAATCTTGTGGTTGTACTCAACTGTTGGTTAATGAAGGCGTCAATCTTGTGGTTGTACTCAATTGTTGGTTAATGAAGGCGTCTATCTTGTGGTTGTACTCAACTGTTGGTTAATGAAGGCGTCAATCTTGTGGTTGTACTCAACTGTTGGTTAATGAAGGCGTCAATCTTGTGGTCGGTGCCTGTACTCAACTGTTGGTTAATGAAGGCGTCAATCTTGTGGTTGTACTCAACTGTTGGTTAACGAAGGCGTCTATCTTGTGGTTGTACTCAACTGTTGGTTAATGAAGGCGTCTATCTTGTGGTCGGTGCCTGTACTCAACTGTTGGTTAATGAAGGCGTCAATCTTGTGGTTGTACTCAACTGTTGGTTAATGAAGGCGTCTATCTTGTGTTTAATGTATGTACTCTACTCTCCCTCTAGCTGGTAGCTGAAAGCCCTCTACTCTCTCTCTCTCTCTCTGTCTCTAGCCGGTAGCTGTATGCCCTCTAATCTCTCTCTAGCCGGTAGCTGTATGCACTTTACTCTCTCTCTATCTCTAGCCGTTAGCTGTATGCACTCTACTCGATCTTTCTAGCTGGTAGCTGTATGCACTCCATTAACTCTCTAGCTGGTACTTGTATGCACTCTACTCTCTCTCTGTCTCTAGCCGGTAGCTGTATGCCCTCTACTCTCTCTCTCTCTCTCTCTAGCCGGTAGCTGTATGCACTCTACTCTCTTTCTAGCTGGTAGCTGTATGCACTCTACTATCTCTCTCTAGCTGGTAGCTGTATGCCCTCTACTCTCTCTCTCTGTTTCTAGCCAGTAGCTGTATGTCCTCTACTCTCTCTCTCTAGCCGGTAGCTGTATGCACTCTACTCTCTCTCTAGCCGGTAGCTGTATGCACTCTACTCTCTCTCTAGCTGGTAGCTGTATGCACTCTTTTCTCTCCTCCTCCATTCCTCTCTGTCGTCTGCCACCATCTTAGACAGTCTAGCCTCGGATGTCTTATGATTGCTTGTTTTTATTACAAGCTTTTATTTAACTTGCTTCCTCTTTCGTCAGTCTGTGGTGAGTCTTGCTAGATCTAAACGCCCGAGCGAAATTTCGGGCACTTCTAACTGACAGATTCGGTTCAAAGTTGGCACTTGGGTCAAGACATGAGGAAAATACAATGCGACATTAAACTTTGCTAATTAATTTTTAATGAACTAATTAAAATTTTGACTTAATTAGTAGGCAGTCTTACCCAACGATTTCGCACTATTATACGAACGTTATCACGTTCATTAGGTGCGCAATGGTTTTTAGTCATGCAACTCTGTCGTAAATTTTAAAAATGTAAAGTACAGATAATAAACCGGGAGTGATCTCCCCTAAACTTTCTGGAATCCATATATATTATTCTCTTCTGGGAGACATTAGAAAACAAGCTGCAAGCGTGCCTTACAGTCCCCTCTCTTCCTCTCTATCGCTACTTATTAGTAGGCCTACTTTATAAATTCACATGCGTTTTTTTGAGAAATCGGAAATAGCGTAAATTACTAGTTCCGGTCTACGGACATTACTTAAAATTTGAAAGAAGGCAGGCAATTAGATATTTTACTTATTTTTTTAAATTTCGTTTATCTATCTGAAATAGTACTCAAGTTATAGGCTTTTGAAAATTTGAAAGTAGAAAAAGTTCCACTTCCGGTTATCGGAAATGGCTGAAAAGTTGATACGGAAATTACAAATTTGATATAATACTTATATATGAAATTTCATCAACCTAATTGTAACGGCACTCAAGTTATCGTGTTTACAGACACACACACACACATACATACATACATACACACACACGATTACAATACTTTCTCTATACTTCGTGTACGAGATGGTAAAAATCATTTTAAAAAGTTTTAATACCAAGCTTTTATGTAATCATACAATAAAAAGTAGAAAATATTTTTTTTTAAATATATCATAATACACAACTATTTAAATAACTATAAAGATAAGATATTTAAATAAAATATATTTTAACAAAAGATGTTTAAACAAAATATATTTTAACAAAAGATATTTCAACTAAAGATATTTTTCAACTAAAGATATTTTAACAAAAGATATTTAAACAAAAGATGTTTCAAACTCTCAGAAAAAATTTACCAGTTTAACGACGTCGAGCTACACTGAAGATGACTTATGGGATGATAATAGTGATGATGATGAAGATGACTTGAAGACGAAATACTTGGCGCTTCTGAAGCCAGTGGCTGATCTTCTCCAGAGGCAACTGGCCATCATGGAGGAGGATTTCATTCGACACGAGAAGAAGAGAAACCAAGAGAAGCTGTGCATGGAGTGGATGAGAGTTGCTCACATCCTCGATCGTTTTTTTCTAATTGTGATGACACTATTGATCACTTGTTGTACAGCTTATTTTTTCATTGTCATCATTGGTGGTTTGTAAAGCGCTTTATTGTGTATGTACAGTTTGTTTAGCTAATACCCTTCCTATTTATATTACAGGTAATGCTTTCAAATAAAAAAGTTTCAAATGACCGTGACTCGAATACTTTCTGTTTGAGGTATCAGTGTTGTACCAGCTGATCAGATTCTACTGCCATAATTGTGCACATAACTAGATGACACATTCATCTGACATTTTCAATACACCCTGCACTGTATCACGTTAGCATTTTCTTAGACCATGAACCTCTCATACAATACAAATGTTCGAGAAATCATCCCTTCCTCCACATTCCACAAACTAAGTAGAAAAAATGCTGGCTAATTACATCATTTTAGAGAAATTGGCTAATTACATCATTTTAGAGAACTTGGCTAATTATATCATTTAGAGAACTTAGCTGATTACACCTTGGTACTTGTCTTGGGTTTTGAAAATGACGTGTCTTGTCTATGATGGAAATAGTCCATCGAGTCATTTCCAAACTTTCCCGTACCGGTGCTACACCATGTGTTGTTCGAGTGTTCCAAACTTTCCCGTACCGGCGCTAGACGATGTATTGTTCGAGTGTTCCAAACTTTCCCGTACCGATACAACACGATGTATTGTTCGAGTGTTCCAAACTTTCCCGTACCGATACAACACGATGTATTGTTCGAGTGTTCCAAACTTTCCCGTACCGATACAACACGATATGTTGTTCGAGTGTTCCAAACTTTCCCGTACCGATACAACACGATGTGTTGTTCGAGTGTTCCAAACTTTCCCGTACCGATACAACACGATGTGTTGTTCGAGTGTTCCAAACTTTCCCGTACCGATACAACACGATGTGTTGTTCGAGTGTTCCAAACTTTCCCGTACCGATACAACACGATGTGTTGTTCGAGTGTTCCAAACTTTCCCGTACCGATACAACACGATGTGTTGTTCGAGTGTTCCAAACTTTCCCGTACCAGCGCTACATGATGTTGGACGACAATTTTCCTGTTAGAAGTTGGGCGATGGCGTGGATTCGGTGAGTTGGGCGATGGCGTGGATTCGGTGAGTTGGGCGATGGCTGTGTTCTTCCTGTTGATTTAATTGCGTGACATTAGCAAAAATTAGGTTTGATTTTAAATGACTGGGATTGGTGGGATGTTTATGTTTAGATACCTGATGGTGGGATGTTGCTGTTTAGATTAGCTGGTGGTGGGATGATGTTTAGATACCTGATGGTGGGATGTTGCTGTTTAGATTAGCTGGTGGTGGGATGATGTTTAGATACCTGATGGTGGGATGTTGCTGTTTAGATCAGCTGATGGTGGGATGTTGATGTTTAGATAAGCTGATGGTGAGATGTTGATGTTTAGATTAGCTGATGGTGGGATGTTGATGTTTAGATAAGCTGATGGTGGGGTGTTGATGTTTAGATTAGCTGATGGTGGGATGTTGATGTTTAGATAAACTGATGGTGGATGTTGATGTTTAGATAAGCTGATGGTGGGATGTTGCTGTTTAGATTAGCTGGTGGTGGGATGTTGATGTTTAGATAAGCTGGTGGTGGGATGTTGATGTTTAGATTAGCTGGTGGTAGGATGTTGATGTTTAGATACGCTGATGGTGGGATGTTGCTGTTTAGATTAGCTGGTGGTGGGATGTTGATGTTTAGATAAGCTGATGGTGGGATGTTGCTGTTTAGATTAGCTGGTGGTGGGATGTTGATGTTTAGATAAGCTGATGGTGGGATGTTGATGTTTAGATTAGCTGGTGGTGGGATGATGTTTAGATACCTGATGGTGGGATGTTGCTGTTTAGATTAGCTGGTGGTGGGATGTTGATGTTTAGATAACCTGGTGGTGGGATGTTGATGTTTAGATTAGCTGGTGGTGAGATGTTGCTGTTTAAATAAGCTGATGGTGAGATGTTGATGTTTAGATTAGCTGGTGGTGGGATGTTGCTGTTTAGATTAGCTGGTGGTGGGATGTTGATGTTTAGATAAGCTGATGGTGGGATGTTGATGTTTAGATTAGCTGGTGGTGGGATGATGTTTAGATACCTGATGGTGGGATGTGGCTGTTTAGATTAGCTGGTGGTGGGATGTTAATGATTAGATAACCTGGTGGTGGGATGTTAATGTTTAGATAAGCTGGTGGTGGGATGTTGATGTTTAGATTAGCAGATGGTGGGATGTTGATGTTTAGATAGCTGACCTACCCGACGAAGATAGTTGACTTCAAGATAACTGGTAAGTTATTGTCTCGTTAAAAGTTTGTTGGCAGAGGTTAACATTTGTTGCCAAACTTGAGAAACTTGAGAGCCAGTCATTGCATTCAGGAACCTCCTGGCCCGGACATGTACTGTGCCGTGTACTTGGACAACATGTTCATCTTCAGGTCTGGCTTCAGCTATCATAGAATGTTCATCTTCAGGTCTGGCTTCAGCTGCCATAGAAAATCCACCTGCATTGCTTGCTTGAACTTTGAACTTTAACCGTATTAGAACTGAAACATTTTAAAATTTATTTATCTTTAAATCAAATAGGTCTAAATAGGATGTTTAATTTTAGTTGTTTTAGGAAAAAAATGAGTACATTATGTATGCTTCTGAAACACAAGGTCTTTCAATAACTTATAACTGCCACGTAAATGTAAACCTCACTGTCAGTGTGAAGGTCAGGGGACTAAGGGGTACAATGGCAGGGGTCTACGACAAATTCCCGAAAGAAACTTGCCCGAAGGCAGTTTGCCCGAAAGACACGTCCGGCTCCCCAGTGGGAGAAGGTGAAGGTCAGGGAATTGTGGGATACAGTGGGTGAAGGTCAGGGGATTGTGGGATACAGTGGGTGAAGGTCAGGGGATTATGGGATACAGTGGGTGAAGGTCAGGGGACTGGGAGATGGCACAAAGGTGTTAGCCTGCACATATATTGTGGGACTTTTTAAAGCGTTTGAATAGATTCTAAATGTTTAGGTCACGCATCCTACCTGTGTATGAAAGTGTTTAAACGTTGTGTTGACATATCTTACCATAGGCGTAGTCTGAAAACGAAACAAATTGAATGTCTTCTGTGAGGTAAAACACAGACATTTTAAAAGTCTTCTTTCCTATGATGTACCCAAAATCCTCCACAATTTGGAATGTCAGCCCATTGTTTTCCGTTTGGACGTTGAAGACGTGTTCTCTGTGTATAGAAATGTTCCAGTTTGAATGATGAGTAAACTATAATACAGTATTGGTTAGTTACTCATGGCCACTTGATATGTGGGCGTGGTCTATGATAATTCACTATTGGAATAGATACGGGCAATGTGGAGTAAGGGATGACGCATGCACGGAAAATAGAATGTGATTTGATATTTTCACTTGACTCTGGATAATATTATTAAACTATAAATAGAAAAAGACTTATGACTATGATAAGATTGTATTATCATAAATTTTAATGGTGTAAGATTAAGATATTTCATTTTCCCAAGGAAAATAAACAACGGTATTAGACTACGAGCTTTTGAACTATAAACTAAGTATTTCATAATAAGAGAGAGAGAGTTTCATTACGTGCACTAATTCTCTCAGCCCCCCCCCCCCCTTCCCCCCCACACACACATTATTCCACTAGCGCTTATAAAAGATGATAACATGAACTATAGGAGCATCTGAATTATTAAGTGGGATATAAAAAAAACCATCAAACACTGGCCCCTATACCACCCCCCCTCAAGGAAGAGCTACATTGGGCTACCAGCAGATCTGGAGACCACAGTCCAGTTCATCCTCGAAGTTGGACTTGTTGTTTAAATCCTCCAACAGAAATTCAATTAAGAAGCCGGAAAAAGAGGATAATATGAACAGTAGAAACATCCAGATATATACTGAAATTGTAAGTATAGCAAAAAAACATTTGGAACATGCAGAGTTTCTTCCAGGCATCTCTTCGGGGGTTATGCCCCCCCCCCCGAAGAAAGTCTACCGCCCCCCCCCCCCCTCCCGTACGAGATGGAATTTATATAGTAGACATACACTTTTACTAGTGTCCGCCCTCCCCCCCCTGAAAAATGTTGACCCCCCCCCCCCCCCCCGAAAATATCAAGTGCCCCCCTACCCGGAAAAAAAAAGTCTGGAAGAAACACTGGGAACATGTGGATGCAGACTGAAGTACGACTCAAATATTTGAAACTTGTAGATCTGGACTTACATGCGAGGATGAACCTGAATTAAATTGTTTGGGTTTCTGAGGAAACCGACGAGATCGTGTAGAGGGACGTTCATGTCACACGTGAAGTTGGTGTCTGTTTGAATATCTTCTGCCAGCCAGCACACTAGCACAGCAACAACAACACCAACAAAAGCTAATACATACATACTGTGATTGAGATAAAACATAAGATTAGCTGGATACAAGGGCGGATACAAGGTAATATGGGCGGATACAATGGAATGTAAGATCAACCAACGTCTAGTGTGTTCCAGTCAATGGTTAGATCAACGTCTAGTGTGTTCAAGTCAGTGGTTAGATCAATCAACGTCTAGTGTGTTCAAGTCAATGGTTAGATCAACCAACGTCTAGTGTGTTCCAGTCAATGGTTAGACCAAAGTCTAGTGTGTTCAAGTCAGTGGTTAGATCAACCAACGTGAAGTGTTCCATTCAATGGTTAGATCAACCAACGTCTAGTGTGTTCCAGTCAATGGTTCGACCAACGTCTAGTGTGTTCAAGTCGGTGGTTAGATCAACCAACGTCTAGTGTGTTCCAGTCAATGGTTAGATCAACCAACGTCTAGTGTGTTTAAGTCAGTGGTTAGATCAACCAACGTCTAGTGTGTTCCAGTCAATGGTTAGATCAACCAACGTCTAGTGTGTTCCAGTCAATGGTTAGACCAACGTCTAGTGTGTTCAAGTCGGTGGTTAGATCAACCAACGTCTAGTGTGTTCCAGTCAATGGTTAGATCAACCAACGTCTAGTGTGTTCAAGTCAGTGGTGAGATCAACCAACGTCTAGTGTGTTCCAGTCAATGGTTAGATCAACGTCTAGTGTGTTCCAGTTAATGGTTAGATCAACATCTAGTGTGTTCAAGTCAATGGTTAGACCAACGTCTAGTGTGTTCCAGCCAATGGTTAGATCAACCAACGTGAAGTGTTCCATTCAATGGTTAGATCAACCAACGTCTAGTGTGTTCCAGTCAGTGATTAGATCAACGTCTAGTGTGTTCCAGTCAGTGGTTAGATCAACCAACGTCTAGTGTGTTCAAGTCAGTGGTTAGATCAACGTCTAGTGTGTTCAAGTCAGTGGTTAGATCAACGTCTAGTGTGTTCAAGTCAATGGTTAGATCAACCAACGTCTAGTGTGTTCCAGTCAGTGGTTAGATCAACCAACGTCTAGTGTGTTCAAATCAATGGTTAGACCAACGTCTAGTGTGTTCAAGTCAATGGTTAGATCAACCAACGTCTAGTGTGTTCCAGTCAATGGTTAGATCAACGTCTAGTGTGTTCAAGTCAGTGGTTAGATCAACGTCTAGTGTGTTCCAGTCAATGGTTAGATCAACGTCTAGTGTGTTCCAGTCAATGGTTAGATCAACCAACGTCTAGTGTGTTCAAGTCAGTGGTTAGATCAACCAACGTCTAGTGTGTTAAAGTCAGTGGTTAGATCAACCAACGTCTAGTGTGTTCCAGTCAATGGTTAGATCAACGTCTAGTGTGTTCAAGTCAGTGGTTAGATCAACGTCTAGTGTGTTCAAGTCAATGGTTAGATCAACCAACGTCTAGTGTGTTCCAGTCAATGGTTAGATCAACCAACGTCTAGTGTGTTCAAGTCAGTGGTTAGATCAACCAACGTCTAGTGTGTTAAAGTCAGTGGTTAGATCAACCAACGTCTAGTGTGTTCCAGTCAATGGTTAGATCAACCAACGTCTAGTGTGTTCAAGTCAGTGGTTAGATCAACGTCTAGTGTGTTCAAGTCAATTGTTAGATCAACGTCTAGTGTGTTACAGTCAATGGTTAGATCAACCAACGTCTAGTGTGTTCAAGTCAGCGGTTAGATCAACCAACGTCTAGTGTTCCAGTCAATGGTTAGATCAACCAACGTCTAGTGTGTTCAAGTCAATGGTTAGATCAACCAACGTCTAGTGTGTTCAAGTCAGTGGTTAGATCAACGTCTAGTGTGTTCAAGTCAATGGTTAGACCAACGTGAAGTGTTCCAGTCAATGGATAGATCAACCAACGTCTAATGTGTTCCAGTCAATGGTTAGATCAACCAACGTCTAGTTTGTTCAAGTCAATGGTTAGATCAACCAACGTGAAGTGTTCCAGTCAATGGTTAGATCAACCAACGTCTAGTGTGTTCCAGTCAATGGTTAGATCAACCAACGTCTAGTGTGTTCCAGTCAATGGTTAGATCAACCAACGTCTAGTGTGTTCCAGTCAATGGTTAGATCAACCAACGTCTAGTGTGTTCCAGTCAATGGTTAGATCAACGTCTAGTGTGTTCAAGTTAATGGTTAGATCAACGTCTAGTGTGTTCCAGTCAATGGTTAGATCAACCAACGTCTAGTGTGTTCCAGTCAATGGTTAGATCAACCAACGTCTAGTGTGTTCAAGTCAGTGGTGAGATCAACGTCTAGTGTGTTCCAGTCAATGGTTAGATCAACCAACGTCTAGTGTGTTCCAGTCAATGGTTAGATCAACCAACGTCTAGTGTGTTCAAGTCAATGGTTAGATCAACCAACGTCTAGTGTGTTCAAGTCAGTGGTTAGATCAACCAACGTGAAGTGTTCCAGTCAATGGTTAGATCAACCAACGTCTAGTTTGTTCCACTCAATGGTTAGATCAACCAACGTCTAGTGTGTTCCAGTCAATGGTTAGATCAACCAACGTCTAGTGTGTTCAAGTCAATGGTTAAATCAACCAACGTCTAGTTTGTTCCACTCAATGGTTAGATCAACCAACGTCTAGTGTGTTCAAGTCAGTGGTAAGATCAACCAACGTCTAGTGTGTTCCAGTCAATAGTTAGATCAACATCTAGTGTGTTCCAGTCAATGGTTAGACCAACGTCTAGTGTGTTCAAGTCAGTGGTTAGACCAACGTCTAGTGTGTTTCAGTCAATGGTTAGATCAACGTCTAGTGTGTTCAAGTCAATGGTTAGATCAACGTCTAGTGTGTTCCAGTCAATGGTTAGATCAACGTTTAGTGTGTTCAAGTCAGTGGTTAGATCAACCAACGTCTAGTGTGTTTAAGTCAGTGGTTAGATCAACGTCTAGTGTGTTCAAGTCAGTGGTTAGATCAATCAACGTCTAGTGTGTTCAAGTCAGTGGTTAGACCAACGTCTAGTGTGTTCCAGTCAATGGTTAGACCAACGTCTAGTGTGTTCCAGTCAATGGTTAGATCAATCAACGTCTAGTGTGTTCGAGTCAGTGGTTAGATCAACCAACGTCTAGTGTGTTCAAGTCAATGGTTAGATCAACGTCTAGTGTGTTCCAGTCAATGGTTAGATCAACGTTTAGTGTGTTCAAGTCAGTGGTTAGATCAACCAACGTCTAGTGTGTTTACGTCAGTGGTTAGATTAAAGTCTAGTGTGTTCAACTCAGTGGTTAGATCAACCAACGTCTAGCGTGTTCAAGTCAGTGGTTAGACCAACGTCTAGTGTGTTCCAGTCAATGGTTAGATCAATCAATGTCTAGTGTGTTCAAGTCAGTGGTTAAATCAACCAACGTCTAGTGTGTTCCAGTCAATGGTTAGATCAACGTCTAGTGTGTTCCAGTCAATGGTTAGATCAACGTCTAGTGTGTTCAAGTCAGGGTTAGATCAACCAACGTCTACTGTGTTCCAGTCAATGGTTAGATCAACGTCTAGTGTGTTCAAGTCAATGGTTAGATCAACCAACGTCTAGTGTGTTCAAGTCAGTGGTTAGATCAACCAACGTCTAGTGTGTTCAATCAATGGTTAGATCAATCAACGTCTAGTGTGTTCCAGTCAGTGGTTAGATCAACCAACGTCTAGTGTGTTCAAGTCAGTGGTTAGATCAACGTCTAGTGTGTTCAAGTCAATGGTTAGATCAACCAACGTCTAGTGTGTTCAAGTCAATGGTTAGATCAACGTCTAGTGTGTTCCAGTCAATGGTTAGATCAACGTCTAGTGTGTTCCAGTCAATGGTTAGATCAACGTCTAGCGTGTTCAAGTCAGTGGTTAGATCAACCAACGTCTAGTGTGTTTAAGTCAGTGGTTAGATCAACGTCTAGTGTGTTCAACTCAGTGGTTAGATCAACCAACGTCTAGCGTGTTCAAGTCAGTGGTTAGACCAACGTCTAGTGTGTTCCAGTCAATGGTTAGACCAACGTCTAGTGTGTTCCAGTCAATGGTTAGATCAACCAACGTCTAGTGTGTTCAAGTCAGCGGTTAGATCAACCAACGTCTAGTGTTCCAGTCAATGGTTAGATCAACCAACGTCTAGTGTGTTCAAGTCAGTGGTTAGATCAACGTCTATTGTGTTCAAGGCAATGGTTAGATCAACCAACGTCTAGTGTGTTCAAGTCAGTGGTTAGATCAACCAACGTCTAGTGTGTTCCAGTCAATGGTTAGATCAACCAACGTCTAGTGTGTTCAAGTCAGTGGTTAGATCAACCAACGTGAAGTGTTCCAGTCAATGGTTAGATCAACCAACGTCTAGTGTGTTCCAGTCAATGGTTAGATCAACCAACGTCTAGTGTGTTCAAGTCAGTGGTTAGATCAACCAACGTGAAGTGTTCCAGTCAATGGTTAGATCAACCAACGTCTAGTTTGTTCCACTCAATGGTTAGATCAACCAACGTCTAGTGTGTTCCAGTCAATGGTTAGATCAACCAACGTCTAGTGTGTTCAAGTAAATGGTTAGATCAACCAACGTCTAGTGTGTTCCAGTCAATGTTTAGATCAACCAACGTCTAGTTTGTTCCACTCAATGGTTAGATCAACCAACGTCTAGTGTGTTCAAGTCAGTGGTTAGATCAACCAACGTCTAGTGTGTTCAAGTCAGTGGTTAGACCAACGTCTAGTGTGTTTCAGTCAATGGTTAGATCAACATCTAGTGTGTTCAAGTCAATTTTTAGATCAACGTCTAGTGTGTTCAAGTCAGTGGTTAGATCAACCAACGTCTAGTGTGTTCAAGTCAGTGGTTAGATCAACGTCTAGTGTGTTCCAGTCAATGATTAGATCAACGTCTAGTGTGTTCCAGTCAATGGTTAGATCAATCAACGTCTAGTGTGTTCAAGTCAGTGGTTAGATCAACCAACGTCTAGTGTGTTCCAGTCAATGGTTAGATCAACCAACGTCTAGTGTGTTCCAGTCAATGGTTAGATCAACGTTTAGTGTGTTCAAGTCAATGGTTAGATCAACCA